TTTAAGGGAAAAAAAACATTTAATATGTTTTTATACACTCAAATGTTAGGGTGATGATCATGTGTAAAACATTAGTTCAGCATGTCCTCTAACACAGCAAATGAACAAACGGCCAGATCTCAGGAGGGACCGTTTTTGTATAAATAATTTTTATACTTTTGACTAGGCCTGGGAAAGTAACACATTTTGCTGGACGATATTTTGTCCAACAAATTGTTGATGATAAACGATATCATTGTCAACATTATCTAGACCAAAATAACCACTAATATAATGTTAATATATCATAATAATGCAAGTACACCCTTTAAAATGCAACAAATAAACCTTCATTTAACATTGAAATGTCCAGAACCAGAACTTCTAAATGAATAAAAATAACAAACAAAAATTAAATAAAAAAGGAATCTCACTCCGTTTGAAAATGTTGCACCAAAAACAATAAAAAAAGACCCAAAACAATAAATACAATGACCTATCCATTGTCAACAGCCAAAACTGCACTTCAATAATGATAATAAATAAAAATAATAATAGAGTTGTACATTTTTTAACTTTGATATATATATATAAAGAGAGAGAGAGAGAGAGAGAGAAAGAGAGAGAGAGAGAGAGAGAGAGAGAGAGAGAGAGAGAGAGAGAGGATGGAAAATTATTGAGATGGGCACGTGACGTGTCAAGGGGTCTTTACATAACACCCCCCACCCCAAATCCGCACAGGCCTGCTGTGTCCCCCCCACTTCTGAAATCAAAATTTCGTCCCTGGCTACAGCATTATCTTGTCAGCCTTTTGCATAGACATGCCCCTTCGCGGGACCTTTGCTCTGATGACAGGGAGCTGTTGATGTTTCTGTGCACCAAGTGCAGGTCACGAGGGGACCGTGCGTTTTTCTGGTGTTGGCTCATACACTTTGAAACCAGATGCCTTTGGTGGTGCACCAGTCACCTCCATTGATGGTTTTTAAAGACCCATTTTTATGTCAAGGCATTCCAGGATTAGCATTTTTTTAACTTGGTTTTGTTGCCCCTGCCTCTTATTATTTTTACTGTATTTTAATTGTCTGTTTTAACTTCTCTCCTTTAATATTTCTATGTTGGTTTTACGATTGTTACACTTTATTTAAAGCTTTTATGTTTTATTTGTGTTGTGTTCAGCACCTTGGATCCGTCATGGAATCTTATAGAATGAATGAGATGAAATAGACATGTAAATGTAGACCCTTATTACACACTGGATCACTCTCCAGGAAACTCGTTTTGGTCGCTTGTATCTGCGATCTCATTCTTTCTGTCACTACCCAAAGCTTGTGACCATAGGTGAGGGTAGGAACGTAGATCGACTGATAAATCAAGAGCTTTGCCTTCTGGCTCAGCTCTCTCTTCACCATGACAGATCAGTACAACGCCTGCGTCACTGCAGAAGCAGCACCAATCTGCCTATCGATCTAGCGCTCCATCTTTCCCTCTCTCGTGAACAAGACCCCGAGATACTTAAACTCCTCCACTTGAGGCACTAATTTTCCTTTCTTTTTTCAGTTTCATATTCACCAGCCTTTGTTAGCACTCCACCTTCTAGTAAATTTAGCTGTCTGTTGTAACCTCAAAGTCAGCCACTCCTGCAAGATTTGCAATGAGATCTTTCAGGATCACAATCTCATTACAGGGCTGTAGTTCAAAGCCCTTTATTTAACTGGATCTACGCTGGATTTGGATTTTATAGCATTTTCCCAAAAGCTTTGGCTATTACTAATCTTTGTTTTTGTACAAAGATTTCATATAGCACGTTACAATGTTAGCTCTTTTTTTTTTATATATTAATTTGAAAATCACTTGCTAAATATATTTTGTCATGCTAGGTTCAAAGATGGCTTAAAGACCCTGGGTGTTTATTCTGCCATGATGGAAAACAAGGAGTTCTTCTTGAAGATCATGTGTCATCACGACAACCGAATAACAGCCAAAAACATCAAAAATGCATTCAGACCTGTGCTACACACCCCTGGGTCCAACAAGCGTTCCACTGAGAACTTGATACTCTGTCTGTGGGAAAACTTCATCTTGGAAGCAGAGGGTATGGGAGGCATACTAAAAAAATGAGAATATGATGCAAAGTCCATTTATTTCAGTAATGTTTCATAAATTTTTGAGATGTTTAATGTGGGGTTTTCATCAGCTGTAAGCCATAACATTTTGTTACAGTTATAACAAATAAACAGTTGAATTATCTGGATTTGCATGGAATGCGTCTACTCATAGATTTGTTTCACCTTTAAGTTGAATTACTGACATAAAGTAACTTTTGCTCCAGATTCTCATTTTTCTAATTTCACCTGTACGTTGTAAGAACACAAACTGTTTTTATTTCTGCTTTGTTTTTGTTTCTGAAATAGAACAACTCATAACAATTTAACCTGGAAGATGATAAAAAACAACTACAATTTACATGGTTAGGCCTTTTTAAAAACTTTACATTTTTATGCATTATATTTAGAATGTCACTTTAACCCTACAGTTTATGAATATACATGCTTATAGAAACAATGCTTCCAGTACTTTCCAACATTATGTCATTTTTTCTTTATTTTGTAGATGAAGATTCAGATGTCTCGTTGGAGATGATCCTGTTTTTCTCCACTGGCTTGAAATCCTTTCCTCCACTTGACCTAAGGTCCAGTCCAACTCTGTGCTTTCTACATGATCCTGAGGAATGTGGGGAGTTTTCCAAATACCCAAAAGCTAACACATGCACAAACCGGCTGTATCTCCCCATAGTCCACACAACATACCAAGAATTCAAAAGCCACATGGTTTTTGGGATTGGTGCAAGTGAAGGGTTTGGACTATCATAGTTATTAAATGATTGTTCCTTTGTTCAAGGTTGGCTAATAGAATTATTTTGAAATGTTTTATTCATATTAGCCTTTGCATTTTAGGTGCCAATTTCTCCCACAGAAAACAGTTTTATTGGTTAGAGTACAGATTTTACCAAATGTGCTCCATTGTTCTCATTCTGATTCTATTGAGTCTATTGTTTTGAATATTTGTTTGTCCACACAGGTCAGCCTCAGTGAATGGGGCAATGACTTTGAGGGATCTTTACCCGCCTCTGATTCCACTGCTGACATTGTCGTGCCAGAGCATCCAGACTCATTAATATAAAATGTCAACAGATTGTTGGACAGAATAGACCCGTTAACAGCCAGCTCATGTTTTGGAGCAGATTTGTACATGGAAGCACTGCGGCTGGCTGAATTTTTGATGGCAACATTAAAAAAATCTTTAGCTCACTACTGCAGAGTGTTCTGTATTTCTTCCACTTAAGTGATTTTTATTGAGGCATGAGTACTTGTAGCACTACATGAATGTCGTTCCTATACCTTTTTGAATGAACAACCAGCCCTTATTAAACAAACTGCACCAAAATGCAAAAATACTGACTACACATCTACAACACTGTTAAGACAGTCATTTTTATCAGTAAAATATGTGACTTTCTTGTGATATTGGTGAATTTCTTTAATCTACAAAAACTTATTGAAGAAGTGCTACAGTTTTATTGAGCTTTAAATTTGAATACATTAGCAGGCGGTGACTTAGGATACTGAATAGTTAAATAAAGTTCTTTTTCCACTTTTAAAATTCAGGTCAAACTCCAGCTGTTTGTTGTAGTAAAGTTTGACTTACTGTGTGTGGTATAAAGTATAAATTCAGCCATACTCTATTTTTCTTTTGACAAGATCATCTGAGGAGAAAACTTCACATCCCATAACCTTCAGCAGAGACAACAGTAAGTTTAGTGCAACAAAACTATTGTTCCCCTAAGGGAAATGATTATCAGACACATTTTACATATGTAGTTTTAATAAAGATAACATCACAATTTTAATAATTACTAACCTGTAATTCAATACAAAGGATTTAAAATTCAGAGATGAAAAGTACATATTAGTTAGCTCTGGCTTTTTCTCTGATATGTGCAAAAAAAAAACTAAAAAGAAAACGCCATCAACATGTAATTAATAGAATGGAGTTTACGCAGCACCTGATCAATGCTAACAGGCTGTCAGCTTTACAATATGCTTAAAGTTAATATGTATAACAGTGTGTTCTGTCAAAGAAGCAACTGTGATTGCTGGTCTCACCGTATGTCATACGTTTAATAAAAGTTAAAACAAAAAAAAAACCGCATCTAATAAAGTGACTCTCCGAGACATGCTAATGGCTAGCCTCTCCGATGCTAACGCCAGCCTATCCATGCTAATGGTCCGTCGAGGAGGTAGGAAATCCAGCTAGTGGCCAGCCTAGGCACGCTTATGGCTAGCCTCTCCGATGCTAACGCCAGCCTATCCATGCTAATGGTCCGTCGAGGAGGTAGGAAATCCAGCTAGTGGCCAGCCTAGGCACGCTTATGGCTAGCCTCTCCGATGCTAACGCCAGCCTATCCATGCTAATGGTCCGTCGAGGAGGTAGGAAATCCAGCTAGTGGCCAGCCTAGGCACGCTAATGGCTAGCCTCTCCAATGCTAACACCAGCCCGTCCAGGCTAACGCTAGCCTATCCATGCTAATAGACAGCAGAGGGAGTGTGAGATCCAGTCAATTACCAGCCGAGGGCTGCTAGTCCCTAGCATATCTAGTAGTGACGCCGGTAAAGGTGCTACTTCTCAGTAAGCAGCGCCAGCCTCTCAGTTACCGGCGCCAGCTTATCATTAATCAGATCAGTAGTTTGCTTCGGAACTTATATAGCCTCCTGCTGCTGGGCAGTAGTCTTAATTTTGGCCCCCATACCGCGCCATATACCCCTGCATCGGCCTGGACCGCTACTCTAATTTTAAAAGCTTTGGATATGCGTTTCTGACCGTCATCAGGATCTTCACAGGCGACGGCTGGGTTGACATCTGGACCGTACGTCTAAACTCACACATGCATTTCACCATGTTGACTCTGGCCGCTCACGCCTGCCTGCCAGAGAGGGAATGACATTGTCTCTCCTGTAATGCAGGACCATGCAGACCCGGAGACGACTCGTGCTCTTCCGTTTGGATCTCATTGCTTTATTCGGTTTCGTTTGTCATCATCTCCCAGCTCATCCTCTGGAACATGATGCCAGCATTCATCGTAGAGGCCGTGGAGCAGAACTTGGAGGTAATGCACAAAACACTAAAACACAACAGCTACTCACGATGCAGCTAAGAACATCCATGTTTAGTGGAATCATCATCTGACATGAAATCATGTCAAAGCCCCAGAGTTTGAGCACATTGTTACCACAAAGTCAAGCTTGTTCCCAGAGCGGGTTGAACTCTGCTAGGACGTTCTTTGGTCTCTGATCTTGTTGGTGGAACCTGTGGAAAAGAGAACCTGTGGTTTGGGAATCCTGGGATCTCATCTCTGCCTCCTGCAGATGATGTGGTTGTTCTTTGGCATGCACTGGGGCTGAAGATGCTGGGATGGGAGACCGCTCCTTTAGATCTGAGGCCACAAGAAGTTTAGCAGGATTTTTCTGAGACACTTTTACTATTGAAACAAACATGTTCATTTGTGTTTTTAGGAGAAAATATTCACTGTTTCATCATTACTGATCCTGGGAAAAAAGGGTGTTGGAATGTTATGAATGTTGTTTATTGAGAAACGGGTGAAAAACCAGTGTTGGTAGATCCAGCTCTTTAAGATTGTTATGTCTTTTTTCAGATAAGATACGAAGAACAGCTGAAGGAGGATGAGCGGGAGTGGGATCTGGAGGACCAGCAGAGGAGAGTTGCAGCAGCATTAGCAGCAGCAGGGTCCGTGAGCAGGAGCAGAAGTACCAGCAGTGGGAGCAGCAGCAGCAGATACAGTATTAGCAGCAGCAGGAGCAAAAGTAGCGGCAGCTGGAGCAGCAGCGGGAGCTGCAGCAGGAACTTGAGTAGTAGCAGAGGGAGCTGCAGCAGGAGAAGCCGCAGCAGCGGGGAGCTGGAGCAGGAGGAGCAGCAGCAGCGGGGAGCTGCAGCAGGAGAAGCAGCAGCAGCGGGGAGCTGGAGCAGGAGGAGCAGCAGCGAGAGCTGCAGCAGGTGCAGGAGGAGCAAGAGTCGGAATAGACGGACAGCAGTACTCCTCCGACAAAAACGTTGAAGTTTCAGGACATTTTATAAGTTTTCCAGGTTTTTGTTGTTGTTTTTGTTTGGAGTTAAAAAGTTTTCCAGTTTGTTTATTCGTTTGGTGTTAAAAATTAAAGTTCACAGTTACCTACTGAAACAGCTCTAGTGGTCTTTTAGGGAAACATTCTTTTGTTTGACACGCTGAGCGGTCTGTCAGTGCCAGAGACCTCTGCTCCCTGTTCACAGGTTACTGAAATGCTGCCGCTGGCCTTCTGACTTTCACTAAACGGTGTTAATTCATGTGTTATTTCATTATAAAATCACTCTCTAGACATCAATATGGGATTGAACAAACATGTTGTCAGGTTTTTAGGATTTAAGGTCTCCACAGGTGTGATAATGTGGGTCAGAACAGATTTCACTGGAATCCTATTTTATCAGCTGAGTGTTTAATCTGAAAAACATCAGGAGTTCTGCATCTTCTTTGGAATTAGCAAACAAGATCTTACTGACTCTAAGAAGTACTTGTTAGTCACCATTTTATTCATTAAATCCTGTCCTAATAAGGATTTAGATGATTAGATCAAACAGGTCTGTTCAGTGGTTTTGAACCAACGTTCACTCAAACTGCCTCTGCACACACCGGTTGGTTAGCAGGTCAGTTAGTGAGCCTGGATTTGAGTAGCAACCACATCGAATCTCAATTTTTATCTCAAAATGTACCCTGCATTAACAAAAAACCCGCTTGAGTTTCTTCGCTTCTTAACCCTCTGCACTGATGGGAGGAGACGAGAGGATGTGAGCGTTGTTTCTGCACGAGGTTAAAGGCCATGTTCCACCCCTCTGACAGGTTTTAGGCCGTTCCTCTTGCTGTATGCAGCTCTGCCTGACTCATTTAATAAGGTTTTGTTGCTGTAGGTGTTCAATACATTCAATATAAAGCTGTTCTCACACACCCACAGAAGGCTCCTTTGGAAGTCACAAACATTTAGCAAAGAGAAATTTCTTTTATGTGTGTGGAGGACAGCTTTTATGAGATCACATCTGAGGCGCTGCTGGTCACTCAGCAGCTGATCAAACTGAGGAGACCTCAGGAACCGACAGCCGTGTCTGCAGCGTTTGGCCTAAAGCCGTATGTCAAAGAGGTGCATTGGCCCCGGCCGGGGAAGTTTCTGCAGGAGTTTAAAACTAATTCTCTTCGACAATTCTTGATTTATGTTTCCAGGAAACTGCTTTGCTTCACCTTATTGCTTTAATGTGTGTTGGTTTCATAAACGGGTTTGTCAGAACCTGTGAGTTGAGAAGGAGTCGGGTTCCTTCAGAAAATCTATTAAAGCAAAGGAATATTTTGTTCTTGCAGACTTTTATTTGTTCTTGTTTTCATCCTTCCATGTGTTCGCTTTGGATCAGCTGTTGCTTGAGTCCAGATGTGTTTTATTTGGTCACCTGTTCTCCATAAAACTCTTCCTGAAGGTGTTTTCGTAACGGTGAAGAGGCTCAAAGCAGCAGACATCAACCAGGAATTGAAGGAAAGAGCCATTTTCTGTATAGGTCACCTGTTGTGTCACCTTGGAGACCACTTGGGATCGGAGCTTCAGGGGGTCCCCGTTAAAGCTTCAGCACACAGATTTGTCAACAAAAGACAAACTAGAGATGTGAAAATAACTTCCCTTCCTCTTCAGGCTGACCTGTCTCTGCACAAACAACAGTCAGGACCCGTTCCCCGACCCAAAGGTGCAGGGAAGCTACCCTCTCGTCCCCCGGGGTAAACCCCAACACAGGCAGAGAGTCTTGGGGCTAACAAAAAGTCACCCCCAGCCCTCCGCCTCTCACCTGGAGAAACTCCAGCAAAGGAGAGTGTCCAACCCCTCTCAAGGACTTGGGTTCCAGAGCCACTGCTATGTGTTGAGGTGAGTCCGACTATATCTAGCCGGTACCGCTCAACTTCTGCCACAAGCTTCTGCTCCTTCCCCGCCAGCGAGGTGACGTTCCATGTCCCAAAAACCAGTTTCCTTGTCCGGGGATCGGACCGCCAAGGCTCCCGCCTTGGTCTACCACCCGATCCACATTGCACCGAACCCTTCATGTTCCTCCTGTGGGTGGTGGGTCCACAATTGGATGAACCCATGTATCCGGTTCGGATACTTGATACTAAAAAATAAACAAACAATGTAAAATGGTGCCCTGTATTGAATGTAATTGTCGTATAAATGTAAATAAACAATTCTCCAGCGATTTGATTTTTTTCACCTTCCTTTCTTTAGTCCACTTGACATGGAGCCACAGTTAGTTTGGGGCACATTTTTACTTGAAAAATAGTATTTAAACTGATCAAGCTTTGGCTTTAATGACATTGTGTAGGTACTATCTATACATTACGTTGCTCTATTTAAAAGTAACAAGATAAAAGCACTTCAGCACATAAAATTAAGATTGTCACTTGCCAAATAGAGACTACACCCTCCTGTTTACCTATAAGAAACGCCTCAAAATATCTTTAAATTCTTTATTGATGATTTAATTGTAGACAACTAAAATGGCATTTTACTTGCCAAAAAGTGATTGAATCGCTCAGATTTTCACGAAGGCTAAAATTGACCAAATAAGGGTTTTATGTATTATCTGTTGATGTTACTACTCATACTGTCTACTGTATCATCATAAACACCCCAAAAATGGCAACAAATGATCATTTCCCTTGCCAAAAATTGATCACAGAGTCCTGGTCACCTGTAAAGGGTTAAATTTACCTAAATATTACTTTATTTATTATGTCTTGATGTTATTAGTGCCATCACAGGATGCTGGGTGTCTTCCACATTCATAAACACCTCAAAAATGGCAACAAATGATCATTTCCCTTGCCAAAAATTGATCACAGAGTCCTGGTCACCTGTAAAGGGTTAAATTTACCTAAATATTACCATATTACCTTATTTATTAGTGGCTAATCATTTTTTGGCAGCGAGTCGATTTATGGCACAACACCGGGTGTCGTAGCACTCTGTTGTGACCTCTGTTTTACATTGTTTTTTAACATATAGAAAAAAAAACTTGTGAAGGTGTGGCGGATTATATTTAGCTCTGGTGCACCGCCACAATCATTTATATGTAGAAGAAAACCTGCCCATATGACACACTACACTAAATTATAATCTGTAAACACAGCTGCATGCAGCACTGGCTGCTAGCATTACACCAGACATAAATAGCTGATGTAGTGCTAGCAAACAGGATGAACAGGTGGGAGAATGTGTTGCAATAATTGATCCCGCTACAACACATAGGTGTTGATCCTCCATCTTCTTCTTTACCCCTCAGAGCCTGAGGGGGCACAGCGGAATGCAGTCTAAAATTCCGCCCAGTGGTGATGTCACAAAGCCACTGGGTGGAATTTTAGACAGCATTTATTTTTTGTCTGCTACTGATTCACAGCTATTTGAATGAAGAAAATGCTCAGAAATGCTTCTTTGAGCTTAATTTTCTTTAGATAGATCTTTGGATATCCTTTTCATTGTGTGAATGTGTGTGTGTGTGAATGGATGAATGATACACTGCAGTGTAAAGCACATTGGAGTCCTTACTCTGAGAGGTGCTATACAAGTGCGGGTCATTTATCAATTTATCGTTTATATGTTTTAGCATTTGTCGTAGCAAAAGAAAAATGCCTTAAGAACAAACAGAAAAAAACATGATTTTCATTGAAGTGGGTCATTAAATAGTGGCATGAGTTCAGTTTACTAATTCAATTAGTTACAGATATCCTAATTAAGCAAATCCATTGAACACTGACTTGTTATGTCAGTAAATTTTTAGCAATTCTCATCCTAAGCCAGCATGTAGTGAAAGAGGAGAGAAAAACTCCCCTTTAACAGCAGGAAGCCTGCAGAAACCTTTATTTATATAGCCCCTTCCACCTGCCAGAAGGCGAGCCAAAGACCTGTACACGCATTAAAAACATCGCTGACCCATATATTAAGACTAGATAAAAGCAGGAGATAAGAGCAAAGAATGATAATAAAAAACAAGTTAAATATGTCAAATAAAACTGGATTCAAACGAGCTAAAGGATCTAAAAATGTGGCTGGCTCGCGTGCTGAGGGAACGCCAAACTCTGTGTTTAACCGTTAGCCTTTTTAGGCGCTTGTTTTAAATAAGACATCACTCGGAAATTAGGAAATTATGTGATGGTCTTTCGTAGTTTTGGTAATAATTTGGTTAATATGAGAGTTTAGTTGTTACTCGTTTTGCGTTGCTGCTGATGTCTTGTTCATCTATGTTTTGTGATTATATTTATGTAAATAAATGTTGTTTTGTTACTTTTAACCCGAGAACATGTGTCCTCAATTGTTACCCCAGGCCCCCTAGACAGCCTGGATCGTAACAGTCAGGAATCTAGCCGCACCTTTTTGTGCAAGCTGGAGTGGAACAAGTGCAGCCTTTCTAACCCCAGCGTGAAGGGACTTGCAGTAGTCTAGATGAGAAGTAATGGATGCATGGACTACAGTCTCCAGATGAGCTTTTGACACTAGCGGCTTGATCCTGGGTAAACGGTGAAGATGAAAAAAAGCAAGAATGCACCACTCCATTTCTGAGTCTCTAGTTTTAGTGATGCATCCAACTTTACACCCAGATTAGTGACTAGCTCTTTATAAAAGGGGCCAGCGAAGAGCGGACAACTTCCTGTATAAATTACCTATGTTTACTTGCATGTTACTTTCATTTTGAAAGCTTCTGGATGTGTTTCACACTGCTTTGTGCTTGAATTGCTGTCTGGCACGATATAAACGTGATTTGGAAGCGTAGCGTGTAAAACGTAGACTTGAAACATAATGATAGCGTGCCCCCGCTTCTGGGGCATGTCCAAGTCACACTTGCAGTCATCCGCTATAACGGTGGCTGACAACTAACTAACTAACTAACTAACTAACTAACTAACTAACTAACTAACTAACTAACTAACTAACTAACCAACTAAACCGTGTTGTGACCACACCAAAAACAAGACGTCCCACATCCCAGCCTGTTCTGATATATAATTTGTAGGGGTGCATGCTACTGTTTGAGCCTCATAACTAAATAAAGACATAATTAAATAAACCTTGGAGTGACGATGGCGTCAGTGACATTTCTAGAACTGAACTCTGAAAGATACTGGAAGCCAGTGCATATTTGGCTAAGACAGGTGTGGTGAGTTCCCACTTTCTGGTGCCGGTCAGGAATCTAGCAGCAGCTTTTTGTGCAAGCTGGAGTCGAATAAGTGCCGCCTTTCTAACCCCAGCGTGAAGGGACTTGCAGTAGTCTAGACGATGTGCTTTGGAAGCGTAGCGTGAACAAACACGTCAGTGACGATTTTGGAGTGATAAAATGCACTTCCCACGGCCGAGCTGGTTGTTTTCATGTAACATTTGTGGGGGTGCAGGCTGCCGTTCGAGTCGTATAAGTAAAAAAATGGAAAATAAATGTTTTGGTGATGTTAGGGTGCCCTTTCAGGGGATAGCTCCTTAATATATATGTTCATCCAGCTTTTGCGCCACTTATTCAGTGACTTCTTTAGCACTGGTTAAACCGGAGGTCAGCTCATGGTTGAAAGTTTCCAGCCCAAAACGGAAGAATTAACAGGTGTAATCCTCTTGTGGGTGAACTTCTTGTCTTCTGTGCATGTGGGTCGCTTTGGGGTCGTGAAGCGTTCACACTGGAGGGCGTTTGATGTCTTATTTCAGGGGCTGAAAGCTGGCATGAGATCAAAGACAGACCATTTGAAACAAAGGCAATGATATAATGAACGCAAAAGACAAGACAGGGAGAACATAATAACTAACTTTGATAAACCATCCTGGATACCCGGTCTTGTGTAATAAACAAATAAGGAATGTTTCCTCAATAAGTTTAGCTGTGAATTCATCATTTAAACGAACCACATCTTTAATCTTTGGAAGAGGTATTGCTTTCCGCAAGTCTTTAACAAATGAATTGTAACTAAATTTTGCCATTGCTGTTGTCAAAATCTTACCTAATTTGGATGCAGTTTGTACTGCATGACAAACAATGCTATTGATAAAACGTGTTTCTCCTTGTGTAAGGTTTTCCTTATCTTCTATTGCAGAATATTGATGGAGACAAGTAATCATTGTTGTCTTTGTAAAATCCCAAAGTATGCTTAAATCCTGCCTAACTAGAGGAGGACTTTCACCTCTTACTAAACGCGTTAACATGAGGTAGCCCTGGATAAGAGAGAAAAAAATGGTGCAAGGGTCTAAAGTTTGTGTTTCTTTTCTATGAAAATCTAATCAGATTGTATATTCTACAAACCTTAGACGCAGGCTTTTGTTCAGAATACTCCGGCAGTACTGTAATCTACAAAACACTTAGTGAACTACTGGTTTTCACCCAGCCAGAACCAGAGTTGTGACTTCACAAACAGCAGTAGAGAGAGTAGAGAAGTTTGATCTAAAGGCAACCAAAGAAAAGCTTCCTGCACAAGTGAAGGCCAAGTGTCAGAAAGGAAGAGAGATCTGGTGAGTGTTGTCAGTGAAGGCAGCAGAGAACAAATGTGGTGTGACTGCAGTGGTGTCACAGGCCCTTTATGACGTCATCCGAATGGAATCTATGGAATTAATACAGTCCATTGTTATTACATTGTTATTAAATCCATTGTTATTACATTATTACATCCATTGTTATTACATTGTTATTACATCCATTGTTATTACATTGTTATTACATCACTGCTTTGGATGTAATGCAGCAGCAGGGCCAATTAGTCATGCAGTTGTTTTGCACCTGTGGAGTTTTCAGACATTAATGCAGCTCCAACGGCTCTGTGCACCCTCACAAATGATACATCAAAACGACCGGCTCGGCTGTGGGAAGTGTGGTATGACTTGATTTAGGGGTGATCACCCCAACGTCACCCAAAATTTCATTATTTTGTGATGATCACCCTGAAATCACCCCAAAATAATGACTTTGGGCCTCCTTATACAGGAATATTTTCTAGTTGATAAATAAATAAATCTTTCAGCAACTTCAGCTTAAATTTTCAGCAAGTAATGTTCAATTTGCATATCTGCAAAAATTCTAACATAATTTAAAATCAGTAAATAATAATGCATATTTTTAATTTGTGATAGCTGAAGTTTTTGAAGCTTATTTATTTATTCCATAATAATTTATTTATTATTAGAAACACAGCGTGACTCTGGGGGAATTCAATGATCTTAAAATGCAACTTAAGGATCAAATCAGTGTTGGCAGTGAGCTGGCCTCCAGTTTAACCCTCTGGAGGCAGGCGTTGCAAATTTGCAACGTTAAAACCTACCTGCCTGGTTACTCCACATACGTATTTCATGAGCATGTTTTAACTCAGAAGTACCCCTGAAGGACTTAGTTGTTTGTCCTTTTATAAAAACGTATTTTGAGCCTGAGAGGGTCAACCAGTGCTAAGGAAGTAACTGAATCAGTGGAGCAAAAGCTGGATGACAATACTATGGAGCAGAGGTTAGCAATCATTAAAGCCCCGATCCTCCAAGGGCTCTAGAAAACAATAGCTGAACCTTTGTTGATTCATTCATTTGAAATTATGTATTCTTTTTTCTTGTCATGTTTATATTTACATTTGAATTACTGTATATATTAAATTTACGCAAACCACACCAAAAACTGAGAATTCTTGCTTGTTCTTCTCATGCTGAAGACGTCTTCTGGTCGACTCATGGGCTGCATAGTGGTGCAGTGGTTACCACTGTTTCCTCGCAGCACGAAGGTCGCAGGTTCGAAACTCGGCTGCGGCCTTTCTGCGTGGAGTTGCGTGTTCTCCCCATGCATGCGTGGGTTTCCTCCGGGTACTCCGGTTTCCCCCACAGATCACAACATGCCCTATAGGTTATAAATTGTAAGTCGCTTTGGATGAAAGTGTCTGCCAAATAAATTAACATAAACATAAACATCTCCCCATACTCTCTTCATCCTGTAAACCCATCACCATCTGTGTTTGGAAACGTAAACTCTATAGAGCGCCGGACGTCACATGACTCTCAGAGAGTAGACGCCGTGTTGGCAGGCAACAATGGTAAACAAAATGAACGGGATTGGCTTGGATTTTACTCCGTCTGAGTTTACTTCACACTTTAAAACCGAAGAAATCGTTTTATATAGTCAGAAATTAAATAGATTAAACATCTCCTACCCTTATTGTGCCCCTGGGATACTTTTTAAATATGCCAGAAGCTGTCGGAGCGGACCTCTTACCGGATTTGAGATGCCCTGACATTTATAATTTACAAAACTAATTAAACAAAAACACAAATAACATAGATTTACATGTAAGAAGTTCAAATAGAGTGCTGTGCTGTTTGAATGTATAAACTGAACGCCAAGAGAAATCACTAGTCTGATTTTCTCCAGTGAATAAATAAAAATGTCAGGCAGGTGTCATGAGCCGGGGTGAGTACTCCTCATTCACTTAACATCTCTGAGTCTCTTGCCAGGAGAGGGAGTGCCACCAGCTGTTCCTGATCTGCAATCAGCGGGGTGCTTCCTACATAAGGTGGATGGAGGACACAATTTGACGCCGAAAGTTTGTCACAGCTTGGTAGTACCCAGCCACACATGTTCTCTAGGATCTCTAGGATTAATCTTTGCTAGTATTGTTTGCTCTAGGATTTAGACTTTTGGATTTTACTTACCTCCAGGATTCCAGTGTTTCCCTCTGGACGCTGAGCCATATGGATGCTCACCTCAGGACTCCTGGGTTTGGAAACTTAGAACCTCCAGGACCCACTCACCATTCTCCATAACGACTCACCGGACATTTCGGCTCAGTGTCTTCCCCCAAACATGACAGCAGGAGCGTTTCAGGATCTGTCTGAGAGCTGTCTCGGTGAGACAGATAATAGCAATCCAAAGTGCTTTTTATGTGTGATCTGACAATTGATCAACCATTGCTTAAAGATGAAATACAGCTTAGCCGGTTAATTGCTGTGATCATAAAACATGTAAAAAGCACGCAGAAATCACGAGGCAACGTTTTACGTGATGTTTACTTGTTGCTATGAGTAATAAGACAGAAAAAGCCACGCCAAAATAAGTTTAGGAAGCCCACTAAGAATCGTAATAAAAGCATTTAAAATAAATACCATACACAGTTGAGGAAACGTTGGTTTAAGTACCTGATATGAAGTGGTCGCTGCATAAGCGAAAACCTTTACTCTCGGGATCCCACAGTTTCATTTTAGCCCGGTCACTAACGCGTTTTATTGTGATGATCCAACGTTTGCGGCGTTCCGGATCTTGGGGAATCCTGTAGACGGCTCATCCCTTATCTCGTCCGCGTCTGTTCTGGCATCCTGGGGCACAACAGGAATCTACCATATTTCCAATTTGAGTTTTCTGACAATAACAAATAGCCCAGCTGTGGGCTTCTGCCTGCCAAGATGGCGCTGTTTCGATTTGAACTGTTGCATGCCGGGAGAAGTGACGTCAAATCCCGGAGCTCTATACTCTAATCCTAATCCTTTGACATCCAGTACAGCTTGTGATAACTCACTTCACAAGTACAACCAACTTGCAGTATTACATTTCCCAGACACCAGCTGTGTGTTCATACATCACTCAAAGACGTCTTAGGGCAGCTGCTGGCACTAGTCGTGATCTGTGCGCTCAGTAATTATGGAAATTTGTGCTTACAGCTGCAGTAAAAAATCTGAGCCATATGTCCGAGTCCTACGTGCATTTTTAACTAATTGATCTAAAATAATAATCTACAAATTCCATCTGGAATCTATCGGTTCTTCTGGACTTCCAACGATTCCTTGGGCTGAGGTGGCTGCGTCTCGGCCCCCTCGGGAGATGGGAGCATGCTGCCGCCTGTGTGCAGCAGCTGTTCCCGGCCGAGAGACAGGAGATGCCGGGTGCCCACCTTGCAGTGATGAAGCAGCAAATTTGGAGATCTTTGATCACAGGGCCGCCACTGTTAAAGGGAGAGGCACATTACTGAAACCCGGGAAGCCTCCCTGCAGCAGTGACCTCGCAAATCTTTGACTACAGTGAACCAGCGGAGCTTCGGAGCCTCAGCTAGCTAGCTTTGGTCAATTTACATAGCTTGAGTTTCGGTGCCCAGCCAGCCCCACAAACAAGTTATGCTTCAATCCATCTTTGACCAAGCAGTCTTATGTTAAATGCACAGCACCCCCCCCCCACCCCCCTTCAACCAGCAAAGTAATAATGTATTAGTACAATCGATACCACAGCCTGCCCTCTTTGTTCAAAAATCTCCACGTCTAACATCCAAACACGAACACACAGAGGACACAACCAAGTTCAGAGAGTCTAAATGGCTGAACGTCTATTAAGGTCAGGCTGAGACCTTCCACGGACCTAGCTCTGACCGTCCCTTCAATCAAGTCTAATTATTCAAAATTTTAAGAATTTAATTCCACTTAAACAGAAGAGTTGCAAAAAAAAAAAAAAAAAAATCCCACGATAACTCTTTAGTATCTTGCTGTCGAGAGCATCGACAATAGGGATTTTTTTCGCCCTCTGGCGGAACCATCGGGCGGAACTCAACTCGACTACAGCGTTCAGTTGTTCATAAGTGCGTAACTCGTCAGCACTTCCTGTAAATTCCTTCAAAATAAAACACACCACTTAAAAATGACTACGATTTTTAAATCAGCATTAACAACATAGTTGGATTCGATTACGGAAAGCCAGTACGTATTTACTTATACAAACTACGTATCCACAACAACTCAACATTGAGTTAAACAAAACTTAAAGGAGACATAACATGCTTTTAAGTTATTCCTTTTTACACCTAAATCCTTCAGTTGGGGTCTAAATACAGTGGAACTGCAGTACTTTGGTCTGATTTCCTCATTATCGTTGCTCTGACCGAACTGACCGACGTTGCTAAGATACCAGAGGAAACCGGAAGTGAAGTGAGTTTAGTTTTGCCAGATTAGACACATTCAGTGCATTAAAACTGCAGCCCAGGTTGTTCTTAACATTATAGTCTATAGTGTTACATTTCTCGTGTAACAAAAATCGTCTTTTTCTTCGTCCAGCTGGAGTTTGCCTGGTGTAAATGGACAGCCAACTCAAGGTGGGTTACACAGGTTTCTCTTTTAGTAAAAATGAAAGAATCCACGACATGTATAGTTTACCCTGAACACGTTTGCTTTAAAAACATAATTCCGATTCGTAATGAATGAAAAAGATTTTTTCTTTCAGAAATATAAAACGTATTACCATCAAGGAAATTAAAAAATGAATGCACCATGTAGTCCGTTAGCCGTTAATGCATGCTACCATGGTTGAAGTGAAATGTATTAATAAGTGTTTAACGAAACACGGAAATGATCAAAATGAAGAACGTTTTGTTTCAGGGACTCTTACAGAAAATTAAACCACCACAAAGAAAGTGTGTGCATTTTAAATGGAGGTCAGAGTTTAACACATCCCTGCCGTCACCCGTCTGATTTAATCATCCGTGTGAATTAAAGTTGATCTTATTTTTTGCAGGTACCACGAACCTTGAAGGCCAAATTGATGCTATGGTGAGGTCATTCTAAGTGGACACTGCTTTATTTACACTCATAAAGTCATTTCTCATTCTGCTTTTGGCATTTCCGTACCACTCATCTGACTCCATCTAACCCTATCCTCAGCCTCCTGTACTATCTCACCTCTTCAACTGCATCCATGAATCTCATTTAGGTCTTCCTTCTGCTTGGAGAATTCAAACTCAGAACCCTTCTACCTATGTCATCATTGTCTCTCCTCTGGCCTGGCCTCTCTGACTTTTATTTCCAAAACATCTAACATGAGCTGCCCCTCTGATAGACTCGTTTCCTAATCTAATCTTTTCCCATCTCTACTGCCTCCTGTCCTATCTCCAGACTGAACAGCATCACGTTTATTCCCCGTCTTCAGGTCAGACGTAAGCTACCACAACATGGAATACATTGACCAAATGCAGTCTATTCCTGAGCTTGAGAGGTGATTCCAGGACACATTTAGTTATAGTCAGTCACACATTCAAATAATAATAATAATCCTTTTTAAGCTGTACTTCTTCTCTGGACAGTGCTTTGTGCCGTGTGTTAGGAGTTGACCTCCCGGAGCCGAGAAGAGGGATCCTGCTGAAGCTTTATGTCCAAACTGTGCTTTTTTGCCGAAAGCAAAGCTTTAGGAAAGAGCAAACGTCTACACTTCTGTCCATCATCAAGTCCATTCATGAGGCCAACATAGGTGAGGGAAGTCCAACTAGTATTAATGTGAATTTAAAATTTAATGATTAAACTAGTTTTAAGCATAAAATTTACTAACTACATATTCAGCTGTGCAAAATGGTAAATGAGCAGCCGGTCAGTTCATTCCATTTTAAACATTGCTGCTGAAATTAAACAGGAAGCCACGTGATTTACTTTGCAATGATTTTATGTTAACGTGTTCATCCTGCAGAAACTCCTCTCAACAACCTAGAGCAGTGTCTGGACTACTGCAATGAGCTCTTGCTCTGCCACTGTTGCCATGTGAGTCAAACCATCAGTACTTTTTAACGTCACACCCATAGATTTGCAGCTAAAACGGCCCACGTGTCTCCTTCTGCCCACCGCAGCGTCCTCCCTTCAGCGTCAGCTTCTTCAGCTATCAGGAGGCCAACTGCATTTTAGACTACATCCACAACAGCTACCTGATGCACCACGAACTCTACAAGTATTTCTTTGCTCCTCAGGTAATGAGACATTTTTGACCGCACACCGATTTTTAGGAATTCTTTCCTATTGTTTTAGCTGAAATTTCCCTGAAAATTCTAGTCAGAAAATTCCAAAGCTTTACTCAGAAGAACTCAGTGATAAACCCTTGTAACAGATTGTTGTGCTATTAAAATAATTTTAACTTTACAAATATTTATTTCTATTTTTTTTTTACTGCCAAAGCTAATCTATGTTGTTTTATGATATTTATCCTGACTAGTCAGGGCTAAGCCTTTAGGATGATAATTATTTTGTTTTTAATTAGAAAACAGTCATGCTGGCTGTTTTGCATGATAATAGGACTGAACACAAATATAAACAAAATAATTTACAATTGTTGACAATTAAAAATCTGATTTTAGAAGAGTTATAGTAAAGAAATCTGTCAGAGGTAAACTTATAATGAACACATAAAACCATTAAAAGTATCATTACTGAATGTGTGAAAAGTGCAAACATGAACGTGTTTTCAGAATAACATTTGAAACATTTCAACAATATTTTAATATATAAGGCATCAAAACAAAACCTTGAAAAAATCTCTGATATTTGGGGAAGAGTCAAAAATACATAAAAGTTAGTTAATGAACTGTCACTTTGTTTTAGTGTGGAAAATAAAGTTAAAACTATTAGAAAACATGTAAAAAATGTCTAACAAAACAAAAACATCAGTTTAAGAAAAAGCTTAATTCTTAGTTCAGTTAACGAAACAGTGAATGGTCGAGAGTGGATCAGCTTTGTTTTGTGCATTTCAACCAGAAAAGACAAGGAAATTGGTCAGTTTGAACCACAAACCTGCAACTTTGCTCCTTTTGAATGAATTTTCTTACGTTTTGTGCAGGTACAAGTTGACCTGCCTCTGACATATTCTGGGATGGAAAAGGAAGAAAGCACAGCCTCTGAGAAGCCAGGTGAGTCTCACCTGTTGCTTTACATGGTTCTCTCTCTCTCTCTCTCAAAGTCTGAACAATGGGCTCAGTAAGAAACAAGGAAATGCTTAAAATGTTCAATTAAGTGTTCTTTTTTATGTCATTGTAAAGGTTCTTCAGCTGATAATAACAATATGGAGTCAGAGGCAGAACCAATGATATCATCTGGACAACAGGAAGTACCCACGGAGCAAGAGGAATCCAATGGGGACGATCAGAATTCACAGACCAGAGTTTAATTAGGAAGATCAGGACTTTTCACAACGAGAAAAAAAATCTCTCTAGTTTGGTGTTTTGCCTTTTTCGTGGAGCTGCAGTAGGAACGGATGGGCGGGACTTCAGAAAGCTGGAGTCTCACCAAAGCTGCACAGAAACTTGCCTCAAAATATTACAGAAGACACAAAGACATCAAATGAACTCCTGGATGAAGTTAAGACAATTCAAATATTTGTTTTAATAAAACATGTTTGTGCACATACAGAATGATTCATACCTGTGCTTGTGCATTTCTCATGCAGCCAGGCACGTTTCAAAATAAAAGCGTTACTTTTTATCAGAATGGGAAAAAGAGATTTTACAGTCAGAGCGAGCGGTTCTCCACTTGAGGAAGGCAGGCGTGACAATTACAGAATTATGTTTCACATAGTTCTCTCTCTCTCTCTCACACACACACACACACACACACACACACGTTCTACAGCACTCATGTGCAACTCTGGAACATCAGTAAAACAGTTTTAAAATAACAAATCTAAAAATTATTCATCCTAAAGCTCTCATTTCCAATTCACTTGGGAACGTGTTAATTAAACAGTTAGCAGGTAAAATCCTGGACACACCATCTACATATCTGATGGTTCTATCGGACTGGTGTCCTTTGCTAAAGTGCACTGCAGACATGATGCCAACTAAAAGAGCTTCAAACAGCTACCATCTTGGATCAAAACACAGATAAACATCATCAACTCTCGCATGCATGTTGAACTTGCACACATTTCTCCACCCCAACAGATTGCACATTAATCAGAATCTGGATGAGACAAAAATAACATAAACAGAGTTAAATAAAATAAACCGACGAGGATAGGGAATGAGTTTGACCTTTTCTATGTCTCAAATTCCTCCAGGCCCAGCAGCACAATTTTGGCGGTGTTCTGGAAGAGCGCCGCGCGGTTCTGCTGCTCCCCTTTCTTGACCCAGTGGCCATAGATGCGGAAAGCGCAGCCATCGATGAGCTTGCGGATGCCACGGAGTGAGTAGGGATCCCTGGCCAGCACCTCTCGGGTGAGTGGCCGAACCCTGCGGAAGCGGCTGTAAATCCTGATACAGGCTAGCACACTTACGATCAAAACCTGGAGGAAATGAGGCATAAAAGGAGCCGTTACATGCATGCTCATGTGCAGGTTAAACAAAATTAAATAAATATGAAGCTGCTAATCACCCTAAATGTCTTCCTGGGACTGAAGAGGTGCACGTCCTCCCTCTGGTACTTTCTGAAAAAGGAATGAGCTAAGGCTTGCTCTGCAGTGAGCCGAGCAGCTGGGTCGACCACCAGCAACCTGAAAATCTGAGCATCAACAACAAAAACTCATGAAAACACGATTAAACCCGAATACAGGTGTCAGACTTTACCAAAACCTCCAGTTTACCAGCTAAAATCTCAGCCTACCAGGTCCTTTACTGTGTCAGATCGGTCGTCCCACTCCGGCGAGCTGAACTGGTAGCGGCCCTCCATGATCATCCTCAGCATTAGCATCTGTTTGCGGTGCCAGAATGGCGGTGAGCCGGCCAGCAGCGTAAAGAGGATGACTCCACACGCCCATCTTGTAAAATAAAACATGAAGAAATGAGAATGATACTCAGGAAAGCGATTTGGAATTCTTGAACGTAAACGAGGAAAAGAAATGGAACAAAGACGTACAGATCAACCTCTTTGCCATAGCCTGGATGCATTTCATCCATGGAGCATTTCAGGATCTCAGGGGCCAAATAACCAGGTGTTCCACAGAGCTCTGATCATTACCAAAGAGAAGATGCGCCGTTTTAAACTTGTCCATAAAAAATACAACTATTCACATTACTGTTGGCAGGATCTACACATCTACACACCTCTGAGCTTCTCTCCAGGCTGTAGCTGCACAGAGAAGCCAAAGTCAGACAGTTTGATGTGACCTTGATCATCCAAGAGAATGTTCTCAGGTTTCAGGTCCCGGTGCACAATGTCCAGAGCGTGCAGGTACTGCACAGCCTCCAGCAGCGCTCGCATTATACACCTGCAAAGGAACAAGAAGACAACATCAGCACAGCGACAAGCAAACATCACAATGTGGATCGTAACGTAATCGTAAAAGATGCATTTGATTTCACTTGTGTGTGTTTTAAGCTGCCAGTGCAGATCTGCTTAGAGATAATCTACAAAAACGACTCTGCATGCAGGATTGGGCTGCAGCTTAAAGACACAAGCACATTTATTTGGGTAAATAAATGCATATTGCAGAATTTTTCCATTATAGCTTAAAATGCATGCATTTTTCCTTTTTGTTCAGTAAATGTTCATTTTAATTTTGATTCCTTCTAAGTCTAAGCTAACTCTCACAGTAAAACACAATTTTAAAAGACTGGAATATTAATGGAATTAAGAGGAGATGAAACTGAAATGATTAAGCTTAAACCTGCAGCAAGCTAACTCACATCGGTTCTGAACACAAGTTTTACTGAACAAGGGACACATTAACCATTCAGACTAGGCTAACAACAAACTCCTTTTTCGGTTTGGTGCAAAACTTTATTAATAAATCCAGAGGATTTAAAAACATTCTCATTCCTACCACATCAAATCTTTTTAGTAATAAACCTGTTTCAAGCAAACCCACTCTAAACTGATTCTGCATGCATCAGAGCCATATGACTCTGTAATGCAGGAGCTTTAGTCATAAACTGCCTGCCTGCTGCACCTTTTGAGATGGGAAGAAGAAAAACTGAGTTTGCAAACAGCTGAATGCATTTATGAGGCAAGCAGGCAGAACTGGAAAAAGGGGAAGCGTTTCAACACGGTGATAAACACCTCACCTGGTCGGTGCAGTAGATTCATGCATCTCATTCAAAATATGCAGGTACTTAAAAAACTATATATGTCAGTGTTTCATGCATCTGACACATTTGTATTATATTAGGGATGTTTCGATCCGATTCCCAGTTCTTTCATTTTAAGAATCTGCCGGTACCGAGTCCCAAGCCGATACTTTTTTTTAATAAATAAAACAGATTATAAAAAAATAAAACATATGTTAGATAAATTTGATGAGATCTGGAAGTTATTTTTTGCTTTTTTGGAAAGTAATTTGATATTGTTAATGTATGCAGGGGGTATTTGTCTTTTTTCTTTTCTTTTTTATTACTTTATTTCACTCCCTTCTTTATTTTTGTTCTACTTCAAATATACCATGAATTCGGGTTTGCTAACAGAAGGGAAATGAAAATTGGTATTGGGCACAATGTTTTCATGTTTGTGTTTATTTGTATATTTATGCCACATAATTGTCTCTTGTCTTTTTTTTATGTTTTGAGTGGAGATATTTGCATTATATGTGTTGGTACCCAAATGAAGAAAATCAATAAAAAAAATTGTTAAAAAATAAAAACAAAATAAAAACAACAAATAAAATAAAACAATCTATAAAGAATAAAATGATATGAGGTACTTAATTTATATATATATTTAGTTTTTTTTAGCATCAGCATCATTTCTGTTGCTAGTGCAAATCTTTACTTTTATAGCCTGCTGAATGCTTTTTGATTTTGTCTTGTTTACAGCAGCATCTTTGTGTTGTTGGATTTATGTTGATAAAGGAGATGATCGATACTTTGGATGTTGATTGCGTTCAATAAAGCTTCATAAAACATGAAAAAAAAACAGATTATAAATGTAAAAATAAATTGTCATTTAACATTTAAATGAATAAGAAATGTGTTAATATTGAGAATACTTGTAAAAGTAGCCTTGTCGCTTATATTTTCAGTCAATTACTCTGTGTGCAGCTGTTTTTAGGGACAGGGATGGCACGGCTCATGACGGTCAGCAGCAGAGTAACGTTTTTCTACAAAACACCTGTAGAGCTGCTGCGTCTGTGAGAGAACGCAGATCGTACCGCGACTGAAGGAGCCTTTCGAACCTGACGTTCACAACCACAGACGCTCATCCAGTGTAAAAAATATTCTGCCATGTTGGCATTGTTGCTGTCCGTAGACCATTTCTTTTTTCTACACATCTTTTATTCGTATCAGCTGGCTTATCCGAATTGTTGCAGCGAACAGAGCAGGATCAGTTTTTTAAGGTGGTGCAGCACTACCTTTGTCACCTCGTTAAATGCCCAGTTTGCACACATTGCATGTGTCTATTACACTCCCCTTGCTGTTCGTTTAAAAATCCAGCCAAATCACAGACATTTTCTCTCTCTTGAGGCGACAACTATGCTCTGTGCTACATGTTATGGTGTGTGAATTCCCAAGCTACTTCAAATTGTAGGGCTTTACAGCGCTGTTGTCTCTGAAAAAAAAACACTGATATAGATGAACTTTTTGAATTTAAAACAAAGCCATTGTTATTCAGTTTGAAAATCTCTTTCTTAGGATTCGTTTGAAAAGTCACGTTTGTCGTTTTATATGGTTAAATCCGATTTTCCACAGCCGATTCCGATTTGGCCACTTTATTATGCCCACATGTTCAGTATCTAATCAGCCAATCACATTGAAGCAGTCGTCTAGATGTGGTGACGGCAAGTTGAAGTTCAAACAGAGGATCAGGACAGAGGAAGAGGATTTGTAGTTTGTGCCATCAGATTCTGATGCTCTACTGTGATTTTCGTGCACAATAACAGAAAATGGTCCCAGAAAAAGAAAGTATCTAGTGAGTGGTAGATGAATTGATGAACAGGCAGACTGGTTCCAGGCAACAGTGGCTCAAATAACCACTGATTACAGCCCAGATTGGTATGGTTGTAACCAGTAAGGGTGGTTCAGAAGGACAAAGGAGGGTCAACCCAGCACTAGAAGCACTTTGTGATTCTATGTCTGTGATAAGTGCTGTATGAATAAAAATTGCTTACTTCTTATTTACTAGAAAGGCACCAAATAGAGCTGCCAGTGAGTGTGTGTATTTAAATGATTTGTGCTTCAGATTTCAAAACGCGTTTTAACGTTTATTGGAAACTGATGGAGAGTGTGTCGATTTTAGAGCTCACCTGGTCTCCTTTTCACTCAAGGTAACTTTTTCAGTGAGGTAGTCAAACAGCTCTCCTCGCCTCATGCTGGGGACAAAAACAGACCCGTTGGTGCTTCATTGTTTCGTGTTTTCCTTAAGTAAACATTATTGTATTTTGGCTCCTTTTCTCCATACTCACAGGTCAAACACTAGGAATATGAATGTGGTGGACTCGTAGGAATCAATGAGGGTGACTACATGGAATCAGACAAACACAAACCAGCATTAGGTCTTGGTATACAGAAAAAGACAAATATTCCTGGAGCGCAGAATGGCAACATACTGATGGAGGGGTGTCCCTTCACCATGTTGAGGACTTGGATCTCCTTCAGGGTGGAGGTCTTCACCTCCTGCAGCTGCTGGGCTGTCATCTTCTCCGCTGTGATCTCAATAATCTTCACTGCCAGCTCTTGACCTGTGTGTCTGTGCACGCACCTGCGTACCACACTGCTCACACCCCTACAGCACCACACCAGTTCAAAAGAACATCATGTTCTTATCACCAACCAGGCATGGAGGATGGAGTGTCATGCTGCCTGACTGGACTTACCTGCCGATCACCTCCTTGGGGTCATACTTCTGGTAGAATTCCTTAGCTCCCACCCAGTCCGGTAATTCATCTCCGACAACGATGTCCTTGGTCATGATGAAGCTATAGCAACAAACTCCGTCACATGTCAAAGTACAGCTTGTTTACCATGAACTACTTGAGCTAACTCCTGATAAGGGGTTCCCATTTCGTTTGGTTTGATTCCAAACACAGACTATACCTGTGACTTTTTGACAACACCTCAGAGTTTAAACACACAAGAAATTAGCTTTTATCCTTTATATCAGTAAGGTGAACTCGTCTTTGGTCTGGCCTTGTGTAGCAGAGGGCTCACTGACTGGCCGAACAGGAAGCTACTCACCTAACAGCGAGAAGGGGAAGGAGACGGATCCCGAGTTAGTGTAGCGAAGCCATTAAATAACTCGAGCTGTTTATCGTGAAGTCACGCCGGATATCTGCTAGCATAAACCGGAGCGTTATTTACAGTTTGGTAAAATTCCTTTGAAGTCGTTTGAAACCGGTTCATATCTGAAGTAGCAATACTGCCCCTGTGTGGTGGCAGAGGAGATTGCGGGATCAAGATATTTCTTAGTTTTTAGACATTGACGCAATGAATCACTCAACCGTGAGATATTTTTGAAACCATGCGTAGCAATAATTTTAATGTAATTTTTAAATGTTATTCTTTTTTTTTAAATCGGTGAATTTGTTCAAAACCTCACAAAGTTACATTTCAACACTAGGTGGCAAAAGAAGCTCTGCAAATTAAGCGTAGAAGAAGAAGCGTTGTCGTCATTTCCTGTTGCATTATGTTCTGAATTATATTTTCGGTCGTTCCTTGCGAAGGTGCGTAACGTTCAACTTTTGTCATTTGTTGCATTTCTGTAAATGATTTTACGTAGAAATGATTCTTCATTTAATGATAGTTAGTAAATAAAACAATACTCCACCGTTATTTGCTGTGTTGGACAAAGATCGCTGTCCTGCTAACCGAGAGTTAGCATTAGCAAAATAGTTAATTTTAACAAGAAAATGTAATGTGCTGTATTTCTTTTAAAAGATGGCTAATAATTACAAGGAGGCATTATACACTCCTGACTTCTACTAATACGTAGCTGTAAATGTTGTACCTGCCCTGCGAAAGTAACGTTCACACGGGTTCTAACTGTATTTATAATTTGTTTAATTCCGTAATCTCTTCATGCTGCCTCCAAAAATTAACGTTGTTTGAACTTTTTATGAAGGCTAAGGAAAGATGTCAGGTGCTGGGGGAGGAAAACGTCCTTCTGGAGGGGATAGTCCCCCTGGTCCACCTGAGAAGAAGACCAAGAAGGAGGAGAAGACCACCACCACACTGATCGAACCAATACGAATCGCTGGAGTCTCTTCAACGGTGAGTCCCTGCAGATTTACTAGTTAAAATATTTTGAAGTGTGTTTATTACTGTGGTGTACTTTAACACGTAAAGTGTCTTATATTTTGGGTGTTTTTGTTGATGAACTACAGGAAGAAATGGACATGAAGGTGCTCCAGTTCAAGAACAAGAAGCTATGTGAGCGCCTGGAGCAGAGACAGGCCATGGAAGATGAGTTACGAGAGAAAATCGAAAAGCTGGAGAAGAGACAAGCCACTGATGACACCACCCTCCTCATCGTCAATCGCTACTGGACTCAGGTACATTAATCGTTGGATATGGCTGGGAAAAAAGCTTTAAATAATCCCTTACTTCTTTATGCTTTCTATCCAATCAGCCAGGTTTTCTTTTGTGTGCAGCTTTTCTAAAATTTTCTTTAGACTTTTACTGTTTTTTTCCACTCCTTATCTGTCCAGTCCTCATACCTGATCATGGCAGGATATTGTGCATTGTGAGTTTAGAAAATGATGAAGTATAAAGACATTAATCACTTTATTAATCTACTAGATTGCTCTGTTGCACTTTGTAGAAGAATCACATTATTTGTGTATTTTAAAGCTGTGGTTCCCAAAGTTGATGTTGGAGTTGAAAATAATAGTAATGCATGTTTAATATACTGTGTTTAAGCTGTGTTACATTATACACTTGTTTGAGACCTGTTATGTATTATTATATAATGTTAAGTGTTGTGAACTCTGGAACTGCGCTGCTCTGGGTGGCTGCATGTTGGAGTAGCTCTGTTGACTATTTGTAAGTTTTGCCTTTTCGTGGACATTTTTTCTTCTAGTTTCTCAAGAAAAACTGTATTTTTTGGACATTTTACTTTTCTGTTTCTGGTGCTGTGAAGCTTGGAGGATTTTTACTGCTATTTTTCACTTTTTTCACTTTTTGAACATTTGTTATGATGCGTAACCATGGCAACACACTGGTTTACAATCGGTAGCAGCTGATTAACATTGGAAAGGCTGAAATAATACCTCAACTGAAGCCACAAATCCCAAATGAGCTATAACGCAAGAAGTATGGATGCAGAGCGGGAGCAAAACGGAGACAGAGAAAGAGGAAATTCAAACCATCTCTTCCATTTATCATAATGGGCAATGTGAGATCACTGGCCAACAAAATGGATGAACTCCAAGCCCTTTGAAGGACTCAGCCAGAGTTTTGGCAGTGTAGTGTTATGTGTTTCAGTGAGACGTGGCTGCAGGACCATATCCCCGATTCCAGCGTCTCTCTGCCAGGATTCCTGACTGTACGGGCAGACAGAGATCTGAGCAGGAGCGGGAAAAGAAAAGGAGGTGGAGTGGCAGTGCTTGTCAACAACGGATGGTGCCATCCAGGTCATGTTTCGGTGAAATGTCGTCTCTGCAGCCCAGATGTTGAACTCTTGGCAGTAGATGTGGAGGTGGTTGAGGAATACAAATACCTTGGAGTTCACCTGGACAACAGACTGGACTGAAGAAAGAACAGTGAAGCCGTTTACAAGAAGGGACACAGCAGACTGTACTTCTTGAGGACGCTTAGGTCCTTCAATGTCTGTAGCAAGATGCTGCAGATCTTCTACTAGTCTGTTGTTGAGAGTGTAATCTCTTCATCCATCGTCTGTTGGGGTAGTAGCATCAGAAGCAGGGACCTGAAAAGGCTCAACAGCCTAATAAAAAAGGCTGGTTCTGTTCTGGGGACGACTGTGGAACCGCTGGAGGAGATAATGCAAAGAAGGATTCTCCAGAGAATCAAGAAAATTATGGACAACCCTGAGCATTCTCTTCACAAGACTGTCCGACAACGGAAGAGTGTCTTCAGTCAGAGGCTTCTTCAGTTTCGCTGCAACACTGACCGCTACTGGAGATCCTTCCTGCCAACAGCCATTGTAATATACAATAACTCTTTGATGACTTGATTATTATTATTATTCTGAGCTACTACAGCAATCAATTTCCCTCTGGCATTAATAAAGTATTTTAGAATTTAATTTAATTGAAATTGATGTGTGTTATGCTTCTAAAACAGTAACCATTCAAAATATTCAAACTTTGTTTGTTCTGTTTTTACTTACAGCTGGAAGAAAATGTAAATATTCTGCGCAAATATATTGAGCCAGAATCAACAGCAGCATCTGCTCCTGCGCCACCTTCAGCCCTCCCCGATGCTACACCCACGGATACCATCAGCCTGGCATCACCGTTGGTTACAGTGCCTCCACCTCCTCTGCCGGAGGCCCAGGGTGAGACTGAGCTCACAGAACCGCAGCAACAAGAGAATCAACTGGAAGACCATCAGGAGGTGCCACATCCTCCTGCTAGATCAGAGGAGTTACTAACTACTGTGGAACCGCCACAGGATTCAAAAACTGGTCAGCAGCTTTTTATTTTGTTTTCTAAAACGATTTTTTGTTGAAATTTGCTCCTGCATTGTGACATTCTTTGTGAATAAAATGTAAATGATAGTGTTCACGGCTTTGTTCGCACCTAATATCTTGTGAATCTGCATTCATCAAAAAAAGTGACATTTTTGTAATGAGCTGCACCAGGGCAGTGATTTAGGTCGTAATGTGGAGTTCTAGCTTGATTTGCTTTGTTCATAACAACTTAATATTATGTCCAGACACATCACCGCCTCCCCCTCCCTTAAGTGAGAATGCTAAGGGCTTTTTGACCATGCTGGAGCAGAGCAGCGAGGAGGAGCTTTCATTGCACCTCCAGGACCGCATGCTGTTCAGCAAAGAAGCCATCGCCCACTTGGTGCAAGTCTTTGACAGGCTGCACAGTCGCATCGACGACATGTGCAGGGCGGTCCAGGCTGCAGGTACCTAACAAACCTCTAATAACACATACATAGGAGGTAAATGTTGCAACTCATTCATTGATTGAATAAATGTTATTCTATGCCTGGATAAGCTGTTAAATTAGTTGTTTATCTTACGACTACAGGACAAATGAGTGTGGTTTTGACAGATGTTAGTTTTTGTGTATTTGTGTAACTGTTATTTATGATTAGTGGCAGAGGACGACAGCCAGGCTGACATCAGGCTGAACCGCTCCCTGTTGGACGAACACATCCGACTACGAGACCATGCCAACCTCCTGCAGGGACGACACCACAAAATGTCCATGGAGGTACAATTTTCATTCCTGTGTCAGTGTGCATGTTAGTATTTGTAAGTGTGAATGCAGAAGTCTGTGTATCCATTGATATTTATGAGATTGAGCATGCTTTAATCACAGCGGTTAAGTGTTGTTGTTATGATGCCTTGATTTCTTGCAGTACAATGAGTTGGTGGACAAAGTGACCAGTGCAGAAACTAAAGTGTCTGAGATGGAGACGGCAGTGGAGGACCTTCAGTGGGACATTGAGAAACTTCGTAACAGAGAACAGAAGCTCAACAAACATCTGGCAGAAGCCATGGAGCAGGTGTGTTTCATACCAGCTGTAAACATGCTCCCGAGCTTCTATATTTAGTGTGTGTGTGTGTGTGTGTGCGTGTGCATGTGTGTGTGTGTGCGGGATAGGCTCGTGAACTCTTGTTAAGGGTGGGCCATATCATACCTTTCATAATATCAGTATTTTTGTTCCCTGCCCGGTTAACAAAGAATATATCATGATATGCTAATTAGATGATGTCAGCACATCATTACCCTCATGTGGGTCAAGCAGAATGGAGTCATGAAAGTTGTGAAGGCAAACATGGCTGGAATCTCGGAGTGTTGGCTCGTATGAGTAAGAAGGGATTCGTGGTGGTTCTGAGGTATTTTTGGGGTCTGCAGGCCCCCGTACCTGTTACCTGGTCAGGCAGGTGGGCTCAACCCGTCTCCCCACACAAACAGGAAGTGACGGTTTGAATTCTGGCTTAATTGTTCTTTCACATTATAATATTACATTTTTTAGGTTAGTAAATGTGGGTAGAATAGAAATGTGGAATTAAGAAAATAAAAATGGGAAAAGTGAACTTTGGGGAGAATAAAATCTTTTTCAAAGGCCCCTAGTATGGCAGCCAAAGAAATAATGAATCAATATCGACAACATTTTTTTGTATTTTGTTATATCGTCAGATTTATCATTGTCGTCGGAGTGCCCTGAAACATCGTGATCATTTGAGTTGTTTTTGATGTGGATCTGAGCTTCGAGGCAGATCAGACCATCTGCATGTATTAAACATCCCAATAATGTCAAACTGTGACTCACTAAAGTCATTTAGTTTACATAACTTTTACATGAAAAGGTCAGAAGGCGGGAAGATGCACTTTCGAGCCAGGGTTGCTACCAAATGTTGATGGTATGACTCTAGTCTGGGGAATAATCATGGTTTCACAATTTCCACGATTATTTTACATGAATTAGCATATATAAATAACACAAACACATTCTGCAAAGGTTCTCAACTCCAGGAGATATTTATTGCTGCTTCTCAGAGATTCTGCTTGGAAAACATAAATGTGCTTTTGAAAAAAAAAAGAACGATAAATGACCCGCGCTTGTGTAGCGCCTTTCAGAGTCAGAGAACTCCAAAGCGCTTTATGCTACTGTCTGTCATTCTGTCATTCATCCATTCACACACATACACACACACACACACACACACACACACACACACACACACACACACACACACACACACACACACACACACACACACACACACACACATTCACACACTGGTGGCGGTGAGCTTCATCGTAGCCACAGGGATTCACTGACAGAGGCGAGGCTGCTGTCATATACAGCTTTACTGAAAAATATTAAATGTATTCTCAAACACACCAGCCAAATCTAAAGTTCGTTATTTCATTCATTTACTTTTTACTAATAATTCTTAACTTGATGTAAACTAAAAATGAAACCCTTTGTTGTGCTTGACTTGGCAGCATCATAACAACAAACCACAGATGCTCCTAAAAGGGATATTGGTCAATGTGCATTAAAAAATAAGTAAAAATCAGTCCCATACATCGGTCTGTCCCTAAATCTAATTATCTCACATCCGTTCACAAAGGTTGTTTAAACTGGCTGTTGCGTTTCAAGCACAACACAATCGTGCTCTATTGGTTTATTGTTTTCAGAGTAAATTGTTGAAATGTGTCAGTTTATTTTCTAACATATGAAAGTGTTGTTCTCTAATCTTATTTAAAGGCACGTTCCAGTTTTGTATGAAGTTGTTGGTATTTATCTTAAAGTAGAGCAGCGAGCTTTTCGTCGTCTTAGAGAAGGTAACGTTTGTAGCGTAAATCTATAATAATCAGATTTTAAAGGAGTGTGTGGCCTTATTATCTCACCCTCTTCTCTGTTTCAAACAAATGCGTCAGCTCATTAAAGAAATGCTAAAAGATTGACAAAAGCAAACATGGGTTTGGGCCTAAAATTGTCTTCTTCTTGATGCGTTTTAACAGCTGAAATCTGGATACAGCAGCACGGGCAGCTCGGGGGGGCTAGCTGGAGGCCAGATAACTCTGAACATTCAGAAGGTGAGGAGGAGGGCTGCTCCACACTTTGGTTTTTATCTCTGTGTGTTTGTAAGATGATGTTTTTGTGGTTTTAGTTTGAGAGTCTCAATGCAGAGTTGGAGCACAATCAGGAGTTGGCCAACAGTCGCATGGCAGAGCTGGAAAAGCTGCAGGTGGAGCTCCAGGAGGCTGTGAGGGAGAGCGAGAAGCTCAAGGTGAAGATGCCATCTTCATTTATCAGGACATCCTGTTTTATTTTTTGACAAAAGTCATTTTCTGATGTCATATTGATGGTTCAGCCTTATTATCCCACCTCACATTTTTCAGATGGACTTGCGCAACATTCCAGAAGAGGTTGTAAAAGAAACCTCTGAGTACAAATGTCTGCAGTCTCAGTTCTCTCTGCTGTACAATGAGTCCCTCGGGGTCAAAACGCAGCTGGACGAGGCTCGGGCTCTCCTGCTGACGGCAAAAAATGCACATCTTCGTCAGATTGAGCACATGGAGGTGAGGCTGAGAGGTTTATCTGTGTCTAAATGAGACGATAAGATAAAACTCATCACATGTACAGTTTGTTTCAGGGTTCAGTTTTGATAACACCATAGCAACACGTTGCTGATTTTTCCCGTTTAGAGTGATGAGCTATCTCTTCAGAAGAAGCTGCGGACTGAAGTCATCCAGCTGGAGGACACGTTGGCTCAGGTGCGCAAAGAGTATGAGATGCTGCGCATCGAGTTTGAGCAGAACCTGGCCGCCAACGAGCAAGCAGGTACCTGGTCCAAACACAACATTACATCAGTCAGGACGTCTGTGAGGTGACGGAATACGAGCCTGCTGTTTTATGGGTTTACATTTGTTCCGTTTGGGATTTAGAAAACAGATGTCTTGGCTTTAATGAGGATGTTGGTGACAAAAAAGTTAAAATCAGTCAAAGAGCTAATTCATATCAAACAGTTTTTAGAGATACAACAGCAATTCTGCAAAACAAGCTAGCTTAAAAAAATGGATAGATGGAGAGATTCACTGATCTGAACTGGTGGTTCGTTCATGATGTTAGCGATGCACACCGAACCGGTGGCCTCAGTGTGCATCGGATACAACTGACGGCTATATCGCAATGAATCTTTTCATGTGTGTCGTCAGTAAAAACCATGGTTACATCGATTACTGCATAGTTTACCTGCTATGTCTTAGTTTTTGAGGCACATTGAATGCATCATCAATCTCTTTCAGCGGAAGCCAAGTGGTGCGCACTGCAAAACTGCAGTGGGACAATATTAACCCACGTACGTGCTTCCTTAACTTGCCAAAATAAAAAAAAGTTCCTGAAAATAACAAGTCCGTGACTGGGCTCTGGTTTCTGCAGCAGCATATATCTCCAGTCATTCTTATTGATCTGTGCACCGGAAGGTTTGTATGAGGACATTTTAGATAAGTCTTTATTATCGTACAATTTGTGCAGAAGTAAAAACTCCACAACGAATGACATTTCACCCTTAACAAAGAAGTCCAACAACAGCTGAGATAAACTCACATCTCCACTTGGACTTTTCTCTTAAAGGAACAGTAACTTTAGGCTGCAGCAGCTCTCACGTTAGCCCCTCATGGATCATTACAACATTTAAAAAGTATGTTCAGATATTTACAGTGTTTCATAAAAATCCCCAATAATTATATTATTAACTAATAATTTTCTGATTCTGTTGTTTTATTTTTCTGAACAGAGTGACTGTCTAAACCCCATTTCAACCCTCCTATTTCAACAGAGTATTGTAGCAATTCACATCATGAATTGTATGGAATCAAACATCATTTTCATATTGTTAATGAACTGTCGTCAGGGATGAATCGTGTCGAAGATTATTGGCAGGGGGTTTCACTGTATCGATAATGTATCGTACAGCTTGCAGCATATCACGATACGAATCGTACCGGCCTCAGCAGTGGAGATTCACATCCCTAGTTCTAACATAGTATAGCTATAGATATTTTGTGGAGATATGAAAAACCATAATGACTTGATTCTCTCGCATTTGTCTAAAAACCTCAGCCAATAACACGCCTCGGTCCAAAACCAACGACCATCCGGTTCTTGGTCTCGCTGAACGTCGCATTTATTTATTTACTGACTTGTGTTTTAGGAGGATATAACCACTTGTTTTCAAGTGGGTCCTCCTATCTTACAACAAACAAAACAAGATAGAGTCAGATAGACAAAAGGCCAAGTCTAAGACATAAATTACAAAATAAATAAATAAACATTAAAAACAAAATCCAAAACAAAATACGTGTTTTCAGTAATATATGCACGCCCCCCCCCCACTCAGGCTGCTATAAGCCGAATAGCTCCAATGTCTAGAAGGGGCTTGAAGTAGAGCTGCTGCTCCCCAGCTGCAGCTCTACTTCTTGTGAGAGGTGGTTCAATGCCAGTTTCCTCATTTGTGACATCACAAACTAAGCCTTTTTGAAACGGCTTGTTTTAGACACGTAATTCCTGAAATTAAACACGGACAGAAAACAGATGAGTTGGTTTTTTCATGTTTAGTGTTTTATAGAGTCAGTAGGGACCCAGCGGGCCACACGAAAGGGTGCAAAAGGTGAGTTTTCCATAACACGTCTCCTTAAAAATCCCAAAATGCGACCAGCATGAGGGAGGACTTGGCATTGCAATGCCCGTCTCTTATTGAAGTATGAACTGAACTCAGAAAATAAATCCTAAAATAAAAAAATTCTAAAAATAATGGGAATGTTTCAGTAAAAAATAAACACCATTTATTTTCACTTTCATCATACTAGCACTGTGACCTTGTGTGGTAATCATTATTGTCCCAAATTAATTGGAAAAGCACTGTCATTGTTTTTTTTTCTTGTTGATGTTAGTTAAAACCAGAGCAGGAATAAACTAAACTAGTTACATGAAGATTAAATGTTATTCTAACGTTATCATAATATGTTGCACAAAGCACATCTGTGAGTGTTTAGAAAGGAAAGACTCGGGGCAGACAGCTGGGTACATTTTGGGTTTTATATTCCTGCTGGAAAGCACTAAGTGATGCAGATAGAACACACATGGTGTGTGTAAATTGGGCCTCACAGTAATGACATCTTTTATTACATCCAACCACCAGGAACCGTGTAGCTGCTAACGCAGCTCGCTATTTCAAACTAATGGAGAAGAATCACCAGATCTGTAGCAGCAAACGTACCCAACTAAAGACGGAGCCACAGCCTTATTATTTAGTCGTAGAGACCTCCCAGTTTCCTGCACAAGCTTCACTTCATGGGAAGTCTGTATGTCTGAAGAAATGCAGGAAATAAGGTGCCAGCATGGCGTTGAAAAGCTGATGTAAACAATACCGGTGGGACCATTTGCATGATGATGTCACTTCTGTGCATTATGTTGCTAAAATCATGGTTTCCAGCTTTATAATGCAGGTGTATAATGATGAAAGAAGCAAAGCTGTCTCCCTTTATGACTGCACATCCTGTTAAAACTTGTTTCCACCAACTCAGGACCCATCAACAGAGAGATGCGACACTTAATCAGCAGCCTTCAAAACCACAACCTGCAGCTGAAAGGTGATGTTCAGCGCTACAAGAGGAAGTTGCGGGAAACACAGATGGAGATTAATAAGGTAGGCGGTGTAGTTTGCAGGCAAATGGTTGTATGGCAGCCAAAAAACAAGTTTAATAAATGCCAATTGTTTTGTTGACAGCTACGTTGTCAGAGTGGAGACGCAGGGGTTTTGATTCTGGAGGAGACGACAAGCGACGGCATTGATGTAAGAAAGGAGGAGGATGAAGACCAGGAGGAAGAAGAGGAGAGGAGGAAAGAACTGGAACGGCAGCGAGCCCGAGAGAGGGAGCGGGAAAGGGAAGCGGAGCGGGAACGAGAGAGGGAGCGGGAGCGGGAGAGGCAGCGTAGCGACGAGCTGAAGAGGAAAGACTCGGATACGCTCAAGATGCTCAGAGTGGAACTCAAGTACTTCCTGCTTCTTTTACAACGTCGTCAAATGTTTGACAGTGCTGTGCGAAAGTTTAAAGTGACCCATAATTCCTTTATACTTTGCTTCCAGGTAGGGCTGGGGTAAAAGATTATTTTTAACACGTTTAATCGGACGATTATTTTACCAAACAGTCGGCTATTCTAATGACTAATTAGACGATTAATCTAACAATTATTTTTTTGTTGAACAATTCATAAAAACAGAAACTCAAATAAATGCCCTCAAATTTTCATGAATTGGTACTGTAGAAAATAAAACAGTGACAGGCCTTCCATTTTGTAAGACACTGATTTTATTGTATCGCAGCTGTGTTCTGGTGACATGTACAGGCTGCTGATTCTGAGAGGTGGTTGGAGACGGAGTTTCGTTCTCCATGCTGCTTTGATTGGGTCACTGATGTGCGTGTGCGGAGTGGTGTTACGACCTTTCCTGGGGAGTTTGGCTTGTGTGCAAAAAGTAAGGGACAATAGCAAGATTTTAACTTTAAAACGATGATCAGGTTTATTTACCAAAAAAAAAACTATACCTTTCCTCCCACAGGTTAGGAATACTAACAAAAACACTTATACGGCCTGTGGGCAGTTAAAAGTACCAATAACTAGGTTTTCAATAATCAAATGCCTAAAGATGTCCCACTAAACGGATTCTTAAAGACCAGAAATATCTCCAAAGGTACAAACTCAAAGCTGGGTGGGTAAACCAAACTCAAGGCGATATTTTAAACTAAACTAAAAAACTCACCGCACTGTATATGCAACCAGAAGGGAGATCTACTCCACACAAAAGGTCAAGTCTAAACCCTAAACCAAAACATAACAGCTTTTTCCAGGGGTATTCAATTCTGGGCTGTTGGAGTCGGTGTCCAGCATGTTTTAGGTTCAACTCTGCTTCAACACACCTGATTTCCATCAGTAGGTAATTAACAGGCTTCTGCAGAGCCTGATGAGCTGCTGCATAGGTGAATCAAGTGTGTTGAATCAGAGAAACCACTAAAACGTGCAGGAATTGAATACACCTGGCTTATCCAAACACAAGAAGCGACAAAAATGCCAATAGTAGCTTTACTAATGTTAAAGTTCGAATATGGAACATTTTCCTAAAAAGCTATCAAACCTCCATGGGGCGTCAAGAGGTGTGCAGAATAATGTACAGCTTCTCCTTTATAAGCTATATATCAAAATTTTATGACGGGCACGACACTGGGTTTATGTTAACACCTACCAGCCACTAGAGGGCACGGTTGCGGTAAAAAGTCGCTTGGCAAGGCGAGCCTGGGACTGTGTAAAATGGTGGATTTGTTAAGTCAAGCAGCTGATTCTGACCCCAGATGTTCTAACGGTAAATACTGTTGTAAAATAAACATATTAGTAGAAATGAATCCTTATCCTGTACTATTTGTCTCAGAACATGGTGCTGCCTGGTCACGTCACGTATCCGTAGTGAACCAACACCATGATGGCTAAAAAAATGTGTTCTGTTGTTGCACTATTACCTTAAAACACTAAATGTCGCTATAATATCCGTGTTCCATTTACCTTTAAGCTCAGGTAGTTACCAAGTTTAAATATACCAAACTGACCAGCGTGGAGGGGACACTGCTACCACAAAAACACTTCTCCTTGAATGTCTGAAAGAAGCTCCCTCATGAGGGGAGAGACGCTCATCCCAGTGATTTCCTTTAGTTGCAATAGAGACGGAGCAGCGGTTTTGACTCCGGAAGTCATTGTTTGTTGCTGGGCAACGGAGGCATGCTGAAAGGGAATCTGGTATCTTTCTGGGTCTCTGGTACTTGGCAGAGATGTTGGTGGAGAAGAGGAGAAGGGCGAACTAGAAGAAAAGGAGGCAGAATCCTCCTTACTCTATTTACAGACCCCAGGGAACGTGGCAAGTGGGCGTGGTGCGTCGACGAATGGATTTGACATCAACAATTTTTAGAATCAAATTGTCGACGTCATCGACGCGTCGCTACAGTCCTTCTTCCAGGCATCCAGCCTTTGTTTTTTACTCATCAGTTCAGCAGTACCCAATTCTGACCACAGGACGTCAGTCTTACCCTATGCCCTTTTAAATTTGATTGGGAGTCAAACTAAAACACTTCTTTGAGAAGTTTTATATTTGACCAAGAAAAATGCAGCGAGAGATTATCGTGGACAGTCATTTTTTTCACAAAGTGTCCCAGTTCTGTCTGAATTTGTTTGCAATACTCCTTCATTTTCTCAGTTTGGTCACCAACCCCGATAGAGGTTGTAACCAGAGTGTTTCTCTTTCAAAGAGCTTTAGATATTTCTTAATGAGCTGTGGTGTTTCCCCTAGATCTTTTAAAGTATCTCTAATGCAGTTTGTTCCCCTTTTCAGGAAAGCCCAGGAGTCCCAGAAAGAGATGAAGCTCCTGCTGGACATGTATAAGTCTGCTCCAAAGGAGCAAAGAGACAAAGTGCAGCTTATGGCAGCTGAGCGCAAATCTAAAGCAGAGGTTCTTTCTCCCTCTTCTGTATTGTCATTTCAATCATATTTAACGCGATTTATAAATGTGTGTTAAATGCATGTTTCAAACTGTGCAGGTGGAAGACCTGAGGATGCGAGTTCGAGAGCTGGAGGAGAGGGAGAGGAAGGAGAGCAAGAAGCTAGCTGATGAAGACGCTCTGAGGAAGATTCGTGTAGCCGAGGAGACCATCGAGCATCTGCAAAAGAAACTGGCTGCCACCAAGCAGGTGTGTTTGCTGAAACTCATTAAAATATGACCCTTCTGCTCTGCATTGACGTCCCATTTAAGCCTGGGGGGTAACACCCCAGATGAATTTAAACAGCCAGCTGTGGTACGCTCTGTGAAACTGGTACAGGCAGTCTCACATTTGCCTGAGAATTAACTCTAATCATAGACAACCGAGGAGGAACTGAAACCTGATGTGAATCTAATCCCACTGTTAATGTAACCCTCCAACCCTTCATGACGAACTTTTCATCAGTTATAAACTCGACTGCTGTGAAGTCAGAGTGTTTGTCAGCTGCCAGAGTTTATAGAGCGCCCAAGCTATCTAATAAACAAGCTGTTAGTGAGCTCATCGGCGGTTTTACGAGTCCTCGCTGGTTTGTAAATGATCAGCTTGAACCAAAATCTTAGTTTTGTGCATGAAATGAAATAAAGTGGGTATGTTTGTATATTTTCAAGCCATTGGTCACAAGTACCAGAAGGTATTTGGGAATTTTGTGATTCAGAATTGGTTTATGATTCAGTTTTGGTGTGAATCTATGAGAAACACTAAATGTTAACTTAGCCCGTTTTCACCTGTTTGTTCGAGTCCGGGTCGCAGGTGTTGCAGCTTCAGCAGAGAGGCCTAAACCGCCCTTTCCCTGGCAACCTCCACCAGTACTATTCCCAAGGGTTCCCTTGGTCAACTTGGAGACATAATCCCTCCAAAGTGTCCTGGGGTGACCCAGGGGCTTCCTGGCAGCAGGACATGCTGGAAACACCTCCCCTAGGAGGTGTCCAGGGGGCATTCTAAAACGCCCAAACCAGCTCAGCTGCCTCCTCTCAACGTGGAGCTCTATTCTGGGTCTCACCCATATGTCTGAACTCCTCACCCTGTCTCTAAAGCCCGATCACCCGATGGGGCAAACTCTGTTTCTGATCTTGCTCTGTCGATCATGACCCACAACTCACAGCAACATGTGTTTGGTGCGTCTAAGGAAGGCTTGTGAAGGAAACAGGTGTAACTAAGGGATCTAATCAGGGTGGCAGCCAGGTCTCTCTCCTGACATAAGGAATAATTACAATCATCAACAACTTTCCCTTGCAACACTCAGACTTCACAACACAAAGGATGTAAACAATTTGCAGTGCTTATCACCCTAACCTGGACTGAAACAAACAAAAAAACCCAAATAATCACATAATCATAAGGCGAAAGCGTGTGTGTATTAAATTGAATTTTTTTTCACAACATATATAACAATTAATGGAAAGGTCTGAGAGTCGCGTTCGGTTCAGTTCAGATAAAATCAGTTCAAAAAGACCAAAAGAAAATGTAAGTCCATAATCCACTCGGCAAAAAAATAAGAGAAACTAGGTTTATCGTTTATTTTGGTCAGTATACAGCAGCTGCAGCAAACACTGCGTCGATCAGCTGTTTACTCACGGTAACGCTGAGGACCCGACAGGCCGCTGCTTCAGCGGTTCACAGAACAACACGCTCTCAGCTTCCTCCTTCAGCACGTCAGAGAAGTCCCACAAAGTCCACTAGCCTCTCCCTTGTTGTTGGTGCCATACTCCTTAGTCCATAACACCGCTCGGCAGCGTCCGAGTGCACACACTTCCTCCTGCTTCCAGCTTCCTCCTGACAGGTGAGGGAGTACCACTGGGGGGTGGGGTTAGGGTCTCCTAATTCACCTCTAAAGACATCAGGACAATAAAACAATACTTAACGTGATAAGACCTTTCTCTTAGGTCACAGAAATCAACAACAGAAACAAAGAAAATGACCCCCTAACTGTATTTCACACATATCCTTTCCATATAGGTCATTTATCAAGTACAACCAAAGCCAATAGGCACCAGGTTACAGACATGGGCTGTTACAGGCTTACGATTGTGGCCTCCAGGGTCCCCCATGAGGGCCACTCTGTTAAAGGCCTTTCAGTTATTCAGAGCGTGTGAGGCTGGTCCTCGTCGGTGACGGTAGTCGGACCTGTTCCTGGTGAGAGTCGGACTCCACCAGGGCTGTTCTTTGTTACCGGTTCTGTTCATTGTCTTTGTGGACAGAATTTAGTGAGTTTGGAGGCAGGAGGTTAGAGGAGAGGTCCTACCTCAGGTGAGGGAGTTTGAAGATGCATGATGTAAAGCCTAATTTATACTTCTCCGTCAGCTCCATGAGGGAGAGACAAGCACGCATGGACAGAGACGTTTTGCATTCAAACTTCTCCGTCCCCTGGGGAGTGTTGCAAAGCAATTCCCCGCCAGGACAACAGAGGGCGTAGCGCTGTTCTGTGTTATCCTGTCATGTTTCCGGTCCAAGATGGTGCAGTTAAAGTGACAGTAGCCACGTTTACATGCGCACATTTAATCAGATTGAACGCCCAATCAGATAAAAAATTCTGCATGTAAACATGTCAATCGAAATGTTCTGATCTGATTCGGCCCGATCGGAATGAAGTTTCAATCCGATTGAGAGAGGTGGTTTTGTCCGATCCTCATTCCAATTGATGTGCATGTACACAGCCATTCGGATTACTGGAGTAAAATAATGCCCACTGCGCATGTGTGCGAGCCTCCCCGCTGTCATTTAGACTACCTGACTTAAATAATAAAAAATGCTTGTTTGTTCTAAATCATTCAAGTATTTTAGTGTTATTATTTCTAGAGCCAGTGATATTAGCCTGTTACCACATTTCTAAAATGACCAGCGACAATTGATCGTATTAAACAGCAGCTACTGATGTTATGCAACCATAAACTAAATCTGATTGCCTGGCTGCTAGTTGGCGATCCCTACTCTAGGATGTCTAGTTTTTATATATTTTGTAATGTTTTTTTTTTTTTTACCGTGTCCTGTCTGGCTGTGAAGCAAGCAGAAATGATGTCTGAATGCTGGTGACAAGCCTTACAGATTTACTCTCAGGTAGAGCATCAAAGCGTCTGCTTTTAATGTCACGCCTGATACTTAAAACTTTGTTATTGTTTTTTGAATGCTTTGTAATTCCGACCGGACACGGAGACAGAGGTGAAAGAGAAAGGAAGAGACAAAAGGTGTGGTGGTGGTGGGGGGGGGGGTCCACAAAAATAAACAATAATGAACAAGAGTCTGCTTCTAGACCTGCAGAAAGAGAGAAGAAGAAAAAAAAAGGGACACAACAACAATACAACAAGATCAAGCTATCACTGAGTCAACTTGAAGAAATATATAATCAACATTGTTTAACTGAACAATCACACGATAATAAATCACAGTGCATTAAGTGCCCACCATAGCCGTAAGACCTGTGTTGAACGTGCCCAAGTCCATATTTTTGAGAGCACCATGTGAGCACCTGTGTGTGTACACGCGCTTGTATATGTAAGGTTTCTCTATAGGTGCGTCCAATAGAGAGTGTGAGGGGCCACAGATCTGCCCCCTAAAGATGTGCAGGAGATGGAGGGAGCTCCAAGTCCCAGAGATCCAGGAGCTGCCCCAGAGCACAGGAACCCCAGGGAAACTGCGACCAGAAAAGCCCCTGCCCCCCTCGAGAGGCACAGAGGATCGCCCCGGGGGGCCACAACCAGCAGCCGGCAGAATCCTGGGAGATATCGGCGGCAAACCCACAGGCCCGCCCGCAGCCTCCCACCCCCTAGCCGGCCGAGCCCGGGACCCAGGGGCGACCACCCCCGCCGGGGACCCAGCAGAGGCCAGGGACCCAGACCCCACCAGACAGCCACCGGAATTGGTCAGGCAGACGCCAAAAATCTTAAACTCCCTGACCCGGGAGCCACGACCCAGGCAGACCAAGGCACCGCACTCCACACCAGGTGTGGCAGGGAGAGGGGAGACGAAGATCTATATCATCAAAAGAAGTCCCAGGAGAAGGGAGGGGTCAAAGGCCCCACCTGACATATATGTCTAGTTTTTAGAAAGCAGGAGTTAGTATAGCTTCTGTAAACATTAGGGATGTCATGAGTGTGGATTTGAACTGTTTACTGAACTTCATTTGAGTAAATGATTGGTGATAACAGATTATATCCGCTCTTCCTTTACATCACTGACACGTTTCTGTCTTTAAAGGAGGAGGAGGCCCTGCTGAGTGAGATGGATGTAACGGGGCAGGCCTTTGAAGACATGCAGGAGCAGAACAGCCGGCTACTGCAGCAGTTACGGGAGAAAGACGATGCCAATTTCAAGCTGATGAGTGAGCGAATCAAATCCAACCAGATCTACAAGTTACTGAAAGAAGAGAAGGAGGAGCTGGCCGATCAAGTCCTTACGTTTAAAACGCAGGTGAGCTGGACCATCTTTACATAAAAACACAGCGTTCGTCAGTGTGTTTCTGAGCCAGAATGCTTCTGCTTCAAGGTGGATGCCCAGTTGCTGGTTGTGCAGAAACTTGAAGAAAAAGAGGGAGTCCTCCAGAGCACGCTGGCTGCTCTTGAGAAGGAGCTGGCTGTCCGAACCCAAGCACTGGAACTCAACAAGAGGAAGGTGAGAGCAGCCAAGTCACTAGTCCTCACAGGCCACAAAGCGTATGTTTTTTTTCCCTGTGTACTTATCAAAATAGGTCTAACATTTGCATATTAAAAATCTGAACATGACAATGAAAGAACCTTGCATTACATCAACAACCTGCTGAAGAGGAAAAAAAAATCACGCTAGAGAAGCAGTTGGGGGCTGCACCATGAAACTCTGAGGGCTCTTGAGCCGCTAAAAAACGGCAAAATGTTCTGGTGCGGCACGCTGCACACACACACACACAGCATGCCCCTGGTTGCCATGAGACCAGGAGAGAGAAAGAGTGTGTGTGTGTGTGTGTGTGTGTGTGTGTGTGGCAAACAAGCCCCCACAATCCTGGGAATTTTATGAAGCCAACAGAGAAGTTGTGAAAGCTGCAGTTCCACACTCATCCACTAGGGGCTGGTGCCAGAAGTGAGCAAATCCTCATTGACTCCCATGTTAAAAATGCCATGTTCACAGCAGAAATAAACATGTTTACAGCCTGATTAAAAAAAGATTTTAGGTTTAATAGATCTAGTTTACATTCATGACAACTCTGAGGGGGGTGAATTTTCTTGTAACTCTTCCGTTTAAGTGTAATTAAACGCTTGAAATTATGAATAATTAGATTTGATTGACAGGTTGCAAGAGTGTCAGAGCTAGTGCCAGCGGCTAGCTCCTGTGAAGACTTGTCACTTATAAATCACAGTTCGTGAAACATAAAATACGGCATTCGTGTGAGTCGTTAAGTTCCGAAGAGTTTTTCAGGAGGTGTGGGGTCTGGTTCAGTCTGTCTCTCTAAGATTCCCTTTTCAGAGAGGGGAGGGGAATCCATCTTGTTCACAAAATATCTTTGTTGTAGCATGTCACACATCATCATTTGGCCAATCACAGTCAGAGAGTGATTACTGATTACTTGCTGTGAGAGTATTCACAACATTCATTACTTGCTTCAACATCTCACAATGGGTGGAGTTCAAAGTTCAACTTTACTCATATTTTTAGTACATTTGCAGTAGGAATGGACAATATGGCATAAAATCTATATCACAAAAAATGTTGAAGCACTTGAAATAACAATAAATATCTTGATATGTTATTTTCTTCTGTTTATGTCAAAATGACTGTGGTCCTCCCTGGTAAGGTCTATTCAGGGGTTCTGGAGTGGAGGGTCTGACGGATTGTCGAACCTCAGATTCAGGAGGAGCAATGTGGTTTTCGTCCTGGCCGTGGAACACTGGTCCAGCTCTATACCCTTAGGGGTACCTGGGAGTTTGCCCAATCAATCCACATGTGTTTGTGGATTTGGAGAAAGCATTTGACCGCGTCCCCCGGGTGGCCCTCTGGGGGGTTCTTCGAGAGTATGGGGTACCAGGCCCTCTGATACGGGCTGTTAGGTCCCTGTATGACCGGTGTCAGAGCTTGGTCCGCATTGCCGGCAGTAAGTCGAGCTCGTTACCGGTGAGAGTTGGACTCCGCCAAGGCTGCCCTTTGTCACCGATTCTGTTCATAACTTTTATGGACAGGATTTCTCGGCACGGCCAAGGTGTGGAGGGCATCTTTTTTGCTTTTTGGGTAGTGACTGAATGAACGAGATGGCAGGTACAAGCGGCCAAAATGAGTTTTCTCCATAGGGTGGCTGGGCTCTCCCTTAGGGTGACAAGCTTGGTCACCCAGGAGGGGCTTGGAGTAGATCCGCTGCTCCTCCACATCGAGAGGAGCCAGTTGAGATCTGATTAGGATGCCTCCTGTGAGGTTTACTGGGCACGTCCAACCAGGAGAAGACTTAATGGAAGACCCAGGACACGCTGGAGGGACTACGTCTCTCAGCTGGCCAGGGAACGCCTTAGGATTTCCCTGGAGGAGCTGGCCCAAGCGGCTGGAGAGAGGGAAGTCTGGGCCTCCCTGCGACGTCAACAGAGTTTGTGTGTGAAATCCCTGATTTATAAACACTACCGTCTTAAGACAGGAGAAGGTTTAGCTAGAAGCTTAAAATCTGTATTGAAGACAAAAAAAAGTTATTAAAAGCCCATATGAGCTCTGGGATGACAACAAACATTGGTCCGATTTGCCGGTGTTCTGAGTTTGCAGGTATGATACTGATATTGGTGTTTACACTAATAATCTTAATACCTTTATAATGCAAGTCATTGAGCTTATTTGAAATCTTGTTGTTTGGCAACAAGCGCTACTGAAATATTTCAGTAACCTATGAGCGTTAACATACGGTGAACGACACAAAACTCAGATTCATATCAGTTTGTCCAGATCTACTGCCCCACTTTACCACTCTGAAACTTTCATTGTTAAGTCTCTTTATTGAGTGTTCCCGCTTCCTTCCCCACTGCAGGCGGTGGAGGCTGCACAGCTGGCAGAGGACCTGAAGGTGCAGCTGGAGCACACACAGGGCAAGCTGAAGGAGATCCAGGTCTCCGTGGCTGAGAACCGCACCGCTCGGGAGAGGGAGAGCAGCAACCTGAAACGAGCACAGGTACGCCGAATCCCCACGCCTGGGGATGTATTACCCCAAATCGAATTTAGTGGCTCTCAAGGTTCCGATTAAACACATTTGGTTTTGGTTAAGACATTTAGTTCCAGCTCTAACAACTCTCTTCCTCACGGTCTCCCAGGAGGATCTGTCCAGGCTGAGGCGGAAGCTGGAGAAGCAGAAGAAGGTGGAGGTGTACTCTGACGCGGACGAGATCCTACAAGAGGAGATCAATCAGTACAAGGTGAACAGAAATGTTCTTACTGGTCACAAAAGAATCCAGCTCATAGTGGGAGGAAAACAGTTCAGTTTAGCAAACAACAGTCAAAATACTAATTGCAACAATTTTGTGGTTGTTCTGGAAACTCGGGACCATAAAGAGGCCTTAAGCCTTCTCAGAACCACAGTGCTCTCAGTACTCACACCTGTGACTTGTTACACCCTTAAAGAAACCCATCCAGTCCCTAGAGGTGATAAAAGCTTTGGCATGTCAGTAACAGCCCACACACGTGTATTTATCCATCCTCAGGCCAAGCTGCGGTGCCCCTGCTGCAACACGCGAGACAAGGAGACGGTTCTCACCAAGTGTTTCCACGTTTTCTGCTACGAATGTCTGAAGATGCGTTACGACACCCGACAGAGGAAGTGCCCCAAATGTAACTGTGCCTTTGGAGCCAATGACTTTCATCGCATCTACATCACCTAGGTCGCCCAGCAGTGGAGCAAAGGAAAGAAAATTGAAGACAGAACCAAAGGAGGGGGAAAACATGGAGGAGAACTGAAGATCTATTACACGCTGTAGACATGTTTGGGATAAGGAATGAGTGTATCCCTGTTTTTGAGGAAAAAAAAGACTCGTGTCACATTTTTGTCATTCAGTGACCAAACCTAGTGATATATCTGACCAAGAGTGTTGTGATGTAGTTAATAAACACCCACAGAGCCGTTCTGGTTGATACTACACGTCAGGGCCAACTTTTAAAGCTTTTTAATGTATAGAAAAAGTGCAGTGGAACATGCTTGATCGTAATGAAGTGTTTCTTTGAACGCTTTTGTCCTGCTGGTTATGGAAGTCATTTGAAATCGCTGAAGCTTAAAGTTCTAAATTAAAAGAAGCCATCCCTTACAGACTGGAGGTTTGCATGTTTAAAGCTAAATGTGTTTCCAATCTAACAGCCAGATTTGTCTTACGTCTCTGCTTGGGCTATAGTATTAACAATGCCCGAGAGACATCAGCGAGTCTGGCAGCGGATCAGCACATACAGGAGTGTTTGGATCACCTTGGGCAAGCTGGGCTTGTGTGCATGAGTTCATTATGTTGCCATGGTTCCTGTTGGAGAGGTTGACACAACATCTGCAGCTTATAGTGGCTCATTACTGATGAAATCACTGCAGTGGAAAGTCAGCTCATATGGGTGTTCTTAGTGCAGCTCCAAGTCCCCCTCGAGTGCTTTTATTCCTAAAGGTTCGACGTGACAGCGGAGTACAAAAACATCTGTGCAAAAACATGCCCCCTCCTCTTTTATTTATTTATTTTTTGTTGTTTTTCACTCCAATTTGATGATGTGAAATATTTACAAAGAGTTTGCATAGCGTCTGTTTGACGTTAGTTCTTGTGGGAAAGGCAGTTCACACCACTCTAGAAGTCCCAGGCTGCAGAGATTAGCGGGGAAGGAGAAGAAAGGAAAAAAGAAAACCTGTATTAGGCATTTGGGAACAGTTAGCTCAGACTTCCTGCAGGAATTGGACATCATGTGGTGAAATAACTGGGCATTCGTTTGAACACATTCATATATTTGCATCACCAGAAAGTGCAGATGTATGGTTCTCATTAGACAGTGCTGTGACTGGGGTGAGCCTGATACTGTGTCCACTGGCTTTGTTATTGCATATTTGTGCTGCAGCAGCAGGCTACACCCAAGCCCAGGCATTAATAACACCACCCTGAGTCAGGGACACTGCTTCTATCAGAAAAATGAAGTTTACTTTTATTGCCTTGAATGTTGTTTGGGGCACAAAGTTTCTTCTGAAGTCTGCAAACTTTAGCTTAGAAAGCAGATTATTTTACTGGTGGGTGTCATCTGTTTCTGCCTGAGTTGCTGTTCCTCTCAGACCCCAGCCAGAGACTTGTGTACTTTGGCACGCGCTGGGAATGACGTCGACAGGCGTGGTAATAACAATGAGAACAACATAAATCCGGATCATACAGTGAAAAGGCAAGAAAAACGGGTGGGATGTGAACGTAAATATGAAATATGTGAAACTTCCATGGCTTAAGTGGTTTAGATGAAACTTTCACTTGAAACACGTGAAGCTGCGCGCGGGGCTTCCTGTGCGTAGCGAGAGAGAGAGAGAGAGAGCAGATAGGAAATGACTCATAGGAGTTGAACTGTTTAGCGTGGGTGTGTGCGTTATTAAAGCAAGGCGCAGACTCCTCCGCATGACTCACTCTCTGATGCTCGCTTTTCCATGCTGAAAATCCAGCACGGATTGTTAATCAGATGAACTTTTGGGAACCGTGGTGCCGACAGCGAGCAGCTCTCCATCCGCGTCCAGCATGGTTTCCACCGCTCTTTGCGCACCCTGCGTCTTTATTCTAGCGGCTCTGACCAGTCTCCATGGCTTGAGCGCAGAGATAAGTGAGTAAAACGATCTTGTTTTTTCCCTCACAACTTTGTTTCTTTACTAAAACTGTTCAACGTTTCAGCTCAATGAAGTCATTCTGTTTCTTTTCCCGAGTTGGTTTGAAACAATTGTGTCTTTGTTGTCCTGATGGAGCTCAAGGAGCCCAGATAGCGGCTGTTTACAGAACCGCTTCCTTTACCAGCTGCGTGTCTCACCGGTTCCGCATTCCGATCGCCTTACCGCAGCCATCCGCGCCCCTGGGTAGGTGGCGCAGGCTGCGTCCGCTTTGCGTAAAGACGCCTTTTACCATCTCTTGAAACAACAATGGCTGCTTATAATCGGTCCTATACGTTTGGATCAATCCCAAAGGAGAACCTGACTCACTGGCATCTAAAAACATCAACATCTAAAAGTATTAAATGACTAAACATGTCAGTTTCGTTTTCCCCCCAAATGTAATTTTTATGGTTGAACCATTTCTACATCTGGACATCAGCTGTTGCTGCAGCCGCCTCTTTCCATTTCGTGATAAAACACTTCACTTCCACACCCCTTCTGCACAGAAACACACCTGAAACCCAAAACTCCTAACTTTTAGTTCCTCACAGAAAACAGCTTCAGGTTTGTGTTTGGTGAAATTTGCTCAAGATGCCTCTCAGGTTTGGGTTAGATCAGAGGTCAAACACCAGTCACTTCCTCCCAGAGCTCCAGCCCTTTGGGGTGATTTAGGGCTGCTTACATGAACTGACACATTTCAGCCAATAGAGGCTAAGAAGTGAGTCAGTAAGTCCAGATTTGCTCCAGGAAGGAGCGTCTCCGAAGGTCTGAGCATGTGGCTGTAATGTAAGCAAAGAGCCTGAGGTCAAAGTGCCACAAACATGACTTTGTGTGAGCATGCCGGCATCTTCTGGCTGCAGCTGCCTTAACAAAAGGAGAGATAACACAAGGTTTAGTCAGACAGCTCTGGATTAGAAGTTCTCATTTCCTCTGGATGTGAGTCATAAGACCAATCAAGTAGATGTAAACACTTCTGCTGCAGTGGATCTGGCATGACACAAGGCTGCACTTCCATCAACATGTGTGGTTTAGGACAAATTGATTAGTAAAGGCATCACCACAAGTTGGGATGTGGTTTATTTGATGCACAAAAATGAGAATTGACACACCTGGCCCAGGTTGTTGTCACTCATTAACGCATGTGTCATGGATGCTGTGGGAAAGGAAGAAAAGATCAGGAAATAAAATATCTTCCTGGTAAATCCCAGTTTGCCACTGAAGGAATCAACATTTCTTAGATCAAGCCCTTGGTGACTTTTTTTAAGTAAAAGAAAAGCATTTTGCTTTGGATTAAAACATCTCAATTCCTTCATCAAGGTTGATTTCTATCAAAAGTCAGAGAGTTGTATAAAACAGTGGAATTTCATCTGAGAAACATACAGGAACACGTTTCTGTAACAATCACTTGGACTGTGAATACTGAGGGTTATTGGTTCTCTGAGATTCAAGATCAGGGTGATAATTTATCAGATTGAAATGAAGGTCAGAAAAAAATCTCTCTCTCTCTTAACTACAGTTGCATATTGTTTGGTTCATTTACATGGTGAAAATTCTCCTAAATGGCTGTATTAAAGAAAACGATCATGTTATTTGAACCCAAATAATTAATAAAAAATCATAAAACTAAGGAGTGATTGTATTTTGATGATGAGAAAACCTCTGACTCAGTTTTATTTTGAGAAACAAAAACGAAGCTCATGCTTCAGTGACTATGCAAATGTTACTGTCATTCCAGAAAACCTCTCCCACCACTGCGTGTCACTACTGCTCACCTTCAGATGAGACTGTAATGACTCACATTTGAATTTTGGCTTCAAACAATCTAAAAATAAATAATTATTTTGTTCACATTCTGATTTTCATGCTCTACTTTGTTCAGACTCAAGAGTGACAAACACTTCCGTCACTTTTAACAGCTGAACTCACATTTAGACAGAAAAGGTGATCGTACATCAACAGGATCCCTACTGACTTCCTGCCTCAGCATCCTGGCTCTTCTCTGCTTTTATGGCAGCGCTGCCTGTTAATGTTTTCTCCCTGTGACTGATGAGTCAACTATATTTTTTTCTGACTGCTACAAAAATATAGATTTGATACCTGATGGTGGATATTAGTCGCCACTGATTGTATTACAAGTTTTAATGATATTACTCTGCCACCAGTTGACTTAAATTGGTGCTTGCATTCTCCTTAAAATGGGAACTCTATAGTGTTAAACCATTTGATCGTGTTAAGTTAACCAAACGGACTGTTTTCCATAATCCAAGTAACTGTAAACATGACACAAGACAGACTCATTGTCATGAAGGGTTTTGAGTTTTATTAATCAATTACATCTGCAAACAGTTTCTTTCCTTTTCCTCTTCTGACTTAACTCAGTTCAAAAGTCTTCCGCTGAAGCTGAAACCACAGTAATCCCTTCGTGCCTTTTGTCTTTGATGCAGCTGCTGCAGCTCCCACACACTCACTCAAACAGCTTTGTTTACGTCACACGCCCCTCTGATGGTTTTGGGATTACCCTCTGTGGTGATTTCACCTCTCAGTTTTAGCACGAAAAGTTGACTCACTTCAGGCCTGGGGTGCTTCCTTCTTATACAGGAAAACGGGTACACATGCAAATCTAAGCGTGACACCGGGGAGGAGGGAGATTATCGTGTTCTCCATCAAATGTCGCTCATGCTTCCTCGTTACCTGTACTGCTGTGATTTTTGAGACTGTCGTGTTTTCATGCATGCTTTGGCGTCAGGGCATCAGCTAGCAGGCGATAAACTACTTTCACACCTTATGCCTTATGCATTCAGGCGAATTGTTCAGCAGCCAGGCTTCCCCTAGCAGAGACTTTTTATTCTCTGGAATTCGCTCATGCACACCACAACAACCATGTTGAGAGGAAGAGGTTTGTGTTTTCACACACGTCTTGTTTTTTCACAGTCTCACGTACCAAAAGTGACCGACTGCTTGTCTGTGTCAGCGGGCGCAACTCAGAGGAATTTCCCAGTTTCATTTCAGATTAAAACAAAAAATGAAATAAATGAAACACCATCTCGTGTCATGCTCAGGTCAGACGTTAGGCCGTAGGCTAATCAAAACAGAATGTCGTGACCAAAACCGATCTAGTTTCAGACACATACAGGTACAGAGTTGTGAATATTAGTCCAATGTCATTGCCTAATCTGTTATTAATCCTGAAGCAGTTTTGCTGTAAACTAAGGTGAGGAATGGTTTGTAGAAACTGTCAAAAAGACAGAAGTTAAATGAAATTTAGAATATTGGAACATTTCAAAATGCCAAAAATTGCATCATAGGAGAGTGTCAAAACCTGAGTCCCATGTGTCAAAAACATCTGGAAGATCTCCGTTCCATCTGGAGTAAAACTAGCTCTAGAACAGTAACAGCACACACACAGTCAAGCATGGTGGTGGTAATGTGATTGTCTCGGGCTGCTCTGCTGCTTCATTACCTGGACCACCAGCTGTAACCATAGATTCTGCTCTCTAGCAGAACATCCTGAAGGAGAATTCAATGGCCCAATCCCAATACTTGCACTTCCACACTTGCACCCTTCAATTGCGCGATCCCGACCAGGGGTACGAGTGTGTCTCGATTCTCTAGTGCGGAAGTTGTTCACACCCCTTTTGCGCCCTTGATCCTCACTTCACCCAAGTCTGCAAGGATGCGGACTTGGGTGAAGTGTATTACCCACAATCCGTTGCTGCGGGAGACCAGGCTCAAGTTCTTTTTCTGAAAATGTGTATTTTCTATTAGTTAATTTTAGGACGGTTAGTTGATGCTCTAAAACGTTTAGCCAAAGCAGCAAAGAATGTAAAATTATTTCAAATAATACATTTTTTGAAAGTTGTTAAAAAATTTTTTAAATATCACATCGACCAAGCTCTGTGAAGCTGACGGGGGGTCAGCTTCACAGAGCTCATCGACCAGCATCCCGGCATGTGTTGCGATTGATGACGCAATGCCCCCTGTCTCAATTCGGCAAGTATTTGCACACTTGTGTACTACACACTCGAAGCCTTACTGCGCACTTCCTCCAAGTGCACTTTGCTGAATACTGCAGGATGCAGTGCGAGTATTGGGATTGGGGCAACCGTACCAGGTAGACCCTGAAGAAAGCAGCAGTAAATTTGGATGGTCTAGCCTTCAGATTTAGCCCCGCCCCTACCTTGGTGAATGTCCTGTCACCTAGCAACGGACATGACCATGAACAGCAGCTACAGAAAATGAGCTCAACATCTTGCGAAACTTTATAATTACTTTTAAAATCCTGAAGCAGTTTAGCAGCTGTACTTAAAGTGAGAGCTTCTTTATAATGACTGTAAAATGATTATTGTTTAAAATGACCTTGAAAGATAAATGACTAAAGCCCTAAACCTAACCATTTAAACTTATTTTACTGTTATAACTGTAATTTTAGTTCGCCATTTCCCATTCAACGAGAAATGCACCTTGGAATATGGTGAGCTGTGAAGGATACACTGGGAAAGAGTTGGGGGAAAAGAGGGTTGGATTAGTGAGGACTCTTCATTTTGGCCAGCCTTCGTTGCTTCGCTGTGAAGTAATCAGCCTTCAAATCCTTCCGACGAAGGATGCAGCCTGAGTTTGGACACACCCACTATCTGACGCTTGACCTTGCCCCGGCTTTCATGCTGTAAAACCCTCCAATGTGGCTGAATTACAACTATTCTGTCAAAAAGAGTGGGGCAGAATTCCTCCACAGTGATGTGTGCCTCATTCCCAGTTTTCACAAACACTAGATAGTTGCGGTTGCCTCCAGATTCAGTTACTTTTTCACAACACTATAATTTGTATTTAAGTCTCATGTAAAGCACTTATTTGTTTTGCCATGTATTATTGTTCTATCACAGTTGTTGCATGGTGTATCTAAACAGAGGCGTGCTGTGTGTCTGCAGGTCAGTGTCACAGCTCAGAGTTCTGGAACTCAGATCTGGGAGTTTGCGTGCCTTGTGATTCCTGCAAGCAGTACCCAAAGACCCCGTCATGCAACACATGTGAGCGCTGCAAAATCATTGTGGTTTGCTTACTTTTAGTTTGTGCTTTTCCAGAGCAATGGAGCTAATCATACAATTTCATCATCTGTTTGCAAAAAGCAATTTTAAATTAATAATGAAATATTTTTGTCACACAGTTCTTATTTTCCCTTGATTATGCACAGAACGTTGGTTTGTGTTATGCTTTTGTTGTCATAGATGACTGTTTAATCCTCCGTTTGGAGAAACAGAGATTGTATCACAGGGGCGTATCCAGGGAGTGGCCTGGGGTAGCACATGCCACCCTTGGAATCTGATTGGCCACCCCAGGTGCCACCACTCTAATTTACCTTTAAATAGGCTTTTCATTGTCTACAAAAGGCTTGAGAGTAAAACAAAAAAGCATAACCATTGGTGCCACCCATGCACAAAGTTGTGCCTCACCTGGGCCACCCCATTTTAATAGATCTAGACACGCCACTGTTGTATCATCCCATCTAATAGAAACTGACCCTTTTCTACTGATGTTTTATTTTCCAGGCAAGTCTGTGGACAAGACTTCTGATGTGTGGAAATTGGCGGCGATAACTAGTTTTTCAGTGTTGGCCGTCGTTCTCATCAGCGCTGCGCTGATCGTCTGTGTCATGGTGCATCGAAGCAAGTCACACAAACTACCTCTACGGGGTAAAAATAAAACTTTTGTTTTGTAGAGTCTAAAATGTAACTTTAATATTTGCAAAGATAAACTCTGGATGCAGTATTTAAGTCTGACAGGTTAACCCTCCAAACCTCCAGAGAGAAACACTAATAAGTTATTTTTTCACACAACATTTATTTACCTGAGACAGCAGGATACACAGGTTTAAATGATTAAACTATTAGTGGCTCATTTTCATGGCTGTATGGGTGGTGCCGCTCAGCGTTCTAGTGCAGAATAACGTCATCAGAGACGTTATTGGAGACGCCTGGACTCATAATGTGTTTGTTTGATTGATTACAGAACCCATTGAAGAGACAGCGGGGCCGCTTTATCAAGCTTAAACAGCTGAGTAGGTATCTCCTCACGTTATTACAGCTGCAGCTCAGGCTAAAACGTTCAAATGCATCAGAGGTCCAGATGCATGTTTTATTTTAATAGAGTTTTCTGCCTTCTGAGATTTTATTGGAGAAAGTAATCACCCAGATCTTTTTTCATTATAAACCTACAATTAGACAAGCTAAAATAATGCACATTAAATATTTAGCTTTGGTTTGTTTAAGGACAAAGAAAAAACATGATCTGATTTCTGCTGGGTTCGGTGCATTCCTGATGCTAACCGGTAGACTATTTTATTCTAATCTGCTGCCATTTATTTATATTATTTTCAGTTTAAAAGCATAAAAACTAAATAAGTTGAAAATATAACCAAAATAAGTGCTTTCCTGGAGAATTTGGGCTCTTTACGTTAGTTAAATCAGATCATTATTTAGTTCCAGACCATTGAACCTGCTGTGGGATCTAACGGAGTTTGTGTGTTGCTCTCCTCAGCCTCATCTGTGGAAACAGAAACAAGGAGCCAAACGGAGGAACCTCTGGGTGATGAGCTGTGCACCTGAACTTTACGGCACAATCTGACCAGAATCAGACCTTTTTAATTGAATAGACTTAGGTGAAGAGGTCTGCTCCCTTCTCAAGCTTGGTGAGGGCACGCCGGTCAACACGGGACTTGCGAAGAGCAGCTTTTGAACCTTCGTAGGTATAGAAACAACCTTACTAGTTGTTTAGAGTTCCAGTGCCTTTGTTTTCATTTAACTGAGTCTGAAGGATGCCTGTGGGTCCAATGATGTTTGATTCCGTTAAAACTGCAGCTTGTGACGGGGGTTGTGCTGTTTCCCAGCAGGACTTTAGTGAATGTAACACGGTGGAGGCTTTGAGCCGAGCTGCAGTTTGACCCGGCGGGTTCAAACTGGCTCCATCGCCCGCTTTTACCACAGATAGCAGCATCTAAAAGTACATGTGAGGAAGACCTTACGGTGAGGTACATTAAGGCCGTTTGAATGTAGCTCGCTTCAGATGAAATGTATTCTCTGTCCCTGCCAGAAATGTCCCCGTACCTGGTCTCTTGAGCAGCTGATGCAGCGATGAAGCTGCTGGAAAAGGGAACAAACTACTCATGCACTGTTACTGTGTCTCCTGAGACCAACACCTTCTGTCTTTCAGGTCATTCCCTTAGTGCATTTTTAATATTTGTAGTTACCAAGTTTTAGAGGAGGTGGAGTTTTGTTTGGTGCAGCCGCAGCATTCACATCACCGCGTCTGTGCTTATAGGACAGGACGCTTGAAACACTAGACATACGATCCCAAACTGCTAACATGTGGGAATGCTGCGAGGAATGTTCTGTAGAGAAGAACAGAACCTACAGGGATTTAGTGGGAACGTTACAATCGCGGTATTTGCTGTTGAACTTTGACCTCCAAGGTGAAACAAATGCTCGTCATTGTGAGGTTGTTTGTAGTTTTACAGCAGAAGACATGTTGGACTGGGTTTCTTTTCTTTTTCCTTACAGACTTCCTAACAAACATTCACAAAAAAACATGTTTCAGGTCTTTTTCTTTTAAAACTTGAGCAGCATGGGGGAACATTTCACATACAAATACGTTTGTTTATTTAGATGTTTATATTATTTATTTTGAAGCATCTTGCAGTGTAGCAATGCATCGACTGTGAGTGGACAAGCACAATTCAAAGGGACGTGAAGATTTTTGTAAAACTTCCACCAGGCCAGCCATGATGATACTGAGCAATGACTAACATTTCCTGCCTTTATTTCCTTTAGCCTCCTTTGTGATGTTTTATTTTACGTACGTGTACTACCTTTCCCCTCTAACTTCAGACCTATAAACTGCTTCTTGTAGCAAATATATTTTCACAATAAAACTGACAATTTCCACTGAGGCTGCAGGTGTTGTCATTGAAAAAAATTAGAAGAAAAACAAAAGTACTTTTTTTTTAATGCATTTGAAATCTGACGACAGCTTTTAATGACTATAAGGTCAGAGCTCAGATTTTTGGGGTGGGGTCCTGGTGCACAATGGTAAAAATTAAACTACATAACCTAAACATGTTTTTATTTCATATATAATTTAAATATGAACTTTTCTATTTATATTTTAATATATGTGTAGTCATTACATTTTTCAAAATAAAACAACATGCCGACCAATGAATGTGACCAATAGCAGTTCATGGCCCATCTACTGGGGAACAGAAGTGTATTAAGTAGTTTCAACTTTAATTATTTTGTAATTATTCTTTAATAAGTGAAAGGTCTGACTTAAAGACAGCTTTATTACAAATGGCCTGTGTTTGATAGGATTTCTCTGACCACCACCAGCAGGCAATGGGTTACGTGTCTTGCTCAAAGACACAACAACAGTGACAGACTGAGCGGGTCTTGAACCTGTAACCCTCTGGTTGCTGAGTAGACATTTAACTCCTCTGCCACTGTCGGCCATCTTAACATGCCGTTTCTGATTAAACAAAGACTGCAAAAATGTATTACGTCCATCTTAATGAATACATTAAAAAATATTTCTGAGTACAAATATGAAAAATGCACCTGTGCACAAAAAACAATTGAAATGTGTGGTATATGCATCTTTTTATTAGATAACTAATCAAACAGTGTTTTCCATTTCTGAAGTAAATCATCCTGCACACGGTTCCATCAGCACTCATTTCAAATGTACACTTTACATGTCTCTGAAACCACACACACACACCACCGCAATACCAGGTTGTGATGGTGATTGACTAAAGAGGAGTGTGACTATTAAGTGCCAAAAAGAAGAAAACTGCAAAAATATGTTCGTTTACATGTTGAACTGAAATGTGCATGACTTGCTCCCCACTTTGAAAATCACCAGTGTAAAAAAAAATGCTAGTTTAAAGGATTTTTCAACCACTTCAAAGTGTGTATGTGTGTGTAAAAGTTATAAAAAATGTATCCATATAAGAAAATAGCTTCTTGAACAGCCTTTGTTTGGAGAAATAGAGCTTAAATTCTTCTGGGCTGACAGAACTGCTTAAATCTCTAAAATAGTTATTTTATAAACAGAACCCATTTGCAACCCCTGGATGCACCAGATGGGCCTACTTCTGATGTGGCTGCTGATGTTTACACTCATCAATATCAATCTAATCCATAAAAATGGGGGTTTAAAGGTTTATAAAATAAAGATTTTAGAGCAGTTTCAGGAGCAAACAAGTTTTGGCTGCACTCCAACTAGCCGTTAGCTCGTAGGACTTTCATTTCAACATTTCTCCAGAAGCCATTCAGGAAGCTATTTACAACAAGTGAGATAATTATTTACAACTTTTACACAAAAACACACATCACAGTTTAGAATAGTCCTTTATTGTCATTATGCCCAGAAGCACAACAAATTTAAGGATTCTCCCACTGAGCTACCTCGCACCACAAAGATAAAAAAGGTAATTGAAAAAATGACAGAAACAACACAATAGGTAACAAAGACATAGATGTTTAAAGAGGAGCCAGAAAATCCCTTTAAGTTTCTAATCTATTAGGATTTTAGTATAATTTAACTGGGAGATGCAAGCAGTGGTGGAAATCTGATACCAGTAGGCCATCAAACATGCGTGTATTGCTTTAAACATCACAGCCCACACACCAGTTGGGGTGACTTATCGCAGCTGAGCAGGGAGCCTAAGTCACGACCATACTTCCGGACCATGGAATTTGAAAAATGAATGCAGGTCAATGGGGATAAAAATGCTATTTTCCATAATCCCGTTGGTTATGTGATGTAACATGTCTGTGAATTTTAAAGACACATTTTGATAAAAGCGCTTATTTTAAAATCGTTAGCCCGTTTGACTTGCATTCATTTTCTTTTAGAGCTGGACGATAAGGCCTAAAATCAATATCACAATATATTGAGGATTTCACCTCGATAATGATAACTGAACGACAACTACAGGTATGCGCAGAAACAAAAGTTGTCCACTAGATGGGGCTGTCACGTGTATTACGCTGAGTTACATTTTCACGTGGTACAGCTTCTTAAAGGGCCATGAATGTTGCCAACCTACACATGTTTTTATTTTTTATTATCAAACTTATTGTCATGGGAAAAATCATATTGATAAAAGTCAGAAATTTCAATAACGATACATTTTCGAGCTATTGCCCAGCCCTATTTTCTCGTTCTTGTAGGGACCCATGATCCGACTGGAAAGGGAAGAGACTTCGGCTCCCCATGGTTTTTCAACTCCAACAAACAAAAGTCTGAAACATCAAGGACGTCCTGCCCTCTCTAGGGACACACGCATGTGCAAATGAACATATGAAGACAATCAGCACACCGGAACCCGTGCCACAAAGGCAATATTGACACAGATGCAACCTCATTAACACTTTTTTACAGTGTATATTCTGAATAACCCATGAGTGTGAGGCATCAAGTAGCAGTTGTAGGCAGGGTTTTGAGGTATTTCATACTTCTGGCGAGTGACGAGCAATGCTTACGGTATGAGAATAATCGGTGGTTACAGGAACAAAGGCCATCTGTCCAGTTCTGTTAACCGCACAAAGCTAAAAGAACAGAAACAGTGATGATTTGGGTGGTGGCAGGTTAGTAAAGACAAAATTTACAAAGCATCAGCGTTCTGTGTGGTTTCTATTAATACTTGTGCTTAGATTCACGTCTGATATGCAACATTTCTGAGGATGACTATAAGGGAACTCATCTCCAATTATTACCTACTTTAAATGTTTGTCACCTAAAGAATGAAACTACTACATAAATCAGCAGGAGAGGTTCAGTGAGAAGAGGTTTGTTTAAATAAAACTACTACAGTCGACTTACAATTTAGGCACTGGCACATCAACAGAACCCCAGCATGCACTGTGAGAGTAGCTGCAGCAGTACGTTGGTTGGAGTGACTGATGGCACAAGCTAAAACATAATAAAATGGCACGAGTGAGTTACAAACCCTTTGCTGATCATCTCCAGTGTTCCATGCAGCAGGGTTAACCAGAGCAAGACCAAAACAGACTCCAGCCTCAGCTCGTGTGCTAAATGTTGACCCGTGAGAAGGTTCTGAAAGGCTACATGATCTAAAACAGCATTCATAAAACATTCTCCTAATAAAGTTTGCACGTTGACTCCTATGCATAAATAAATACATCAGTTTGCGCATATAGTTGATATAATTAGCAGGACAACAATCTGGTTGTGTGTTCGCTGACTCTCAGACACACACCCAGGAGGTACAGAGGCTACTGTGTGTGAAATACCAAAGCAAGGTGAACAGTCCTTCAGTAATAACAGCTAAATAAATGCTTCACAGGTTATATCATTTGTATATTTAGTTTCCTATGTGACTTACAGAGGCACTGGGCACGGTTAGACACAGCAAAAGGTTGTGTTTTACAAACTGTTCCTGTAAGTACACGGACGTAGGGCCCTGTTCATGTTGGTGTGTTACAGAGGAACAAGCAGAGTCTGATGCTGTCATCACCCTGTACGCTGAAGAACAACACGAGTCATTGATGAATCTTGTGGGAACATAACAGAGATGATGAGGTAAGATTAAAAACCAGTTTTGAAGTGTGGACTTCTTCAAACAAGCTTGTGTTTAGAACACAAAACAAGTTCTAAAAACTGGAGAAATACTGCTTTACAACTGTTGACGAAGAACCCCTTTCACTTCCTCCTGCACGTCCAAGAACCTTAGTTTATAAGAAAGGTTCCATGTCCAGGTCCATGAAGGTGTTAGCATCCATGCTAAAGGAGGAGTCTAAGGTCTGGGCAGAGCTCTGGTGCAACTTCTGATGGTGCCGCAGGTTGGATTTGCTAGAGAAGCTCTTGTTGCACAGCGGGCAGGCGAAGGGCTTCTCTTTGGTGTGTATCCTCCGGTGGCATATGAGCTGAGTGGAAACACGAAACGCCTTGCCACAGTCCAGGCACTGGTAGCGCTTTGGCTCCGTGTGAATGCGCTTGTGGTTCTTGAGAGCCATCAGGTTGGTGAACTCTTTGTGACACACAGAACAGAAGAAAGAACCCATCTTGTGGCTGTTCTTGTGGTTCAGCAGGGAGCCGGCGTGGCGGTAAGAGCGGCCGCAGTGCTCACAGACGTGGCTCTTCTCCTCTGTGACAGAAGCGTTGTTACTCTGGCAATCAGAGACACAATCTGGAATGTGGGGAAGCTGGTTGGGAGTCTGATCCGTGTCCGTGGATTGATTTACTTCTGAGTCCCAGAAGTTATTCTCGGCTTCCTCCACACCATGCACGGAGGGAGTTTTGTGCTGCTGGTAACTGGCAGCGTTGCAGATGCCACGGACCGCCGCCTGATCCTTCAGGTGCACCTCCATGTGGCTCTGCAGGTGTGCCACCAGACAGAAGGTCTTCCCACATTCTGGGCAGCACTGCCTCTTCATCTGTGAGTGTATCTGCAAGGTGAGAGGGTCAGGAAAGGTCTGCAGACACAGGGTGCAGTGGTGGAGGTTTTCAGCGTGCGACTTCTTATGGTTGAGAAGAGAACCAGCATGGCGGTAGGAGCGCCCGCACAGGTCACACCTGCAGCAGAGACATGTTTGTATTCACAACACAACAACCAGGCTCATTTAAACCGGTCCTGGTCCTTGAGGGCTGTTTGTCTCCTCCCTTTCCGGGCGGCTCATGGGTCCCCGGAAGAACAAAAAAACGAACGCAAGCCAACGGGGCTAAAAGAGCTATTTTCTAATCCGCCCTGGTTCACACATGTTGAACTGCTATTTACAGGTGCTGGCCAGTAAATTAGAATATCATCAAAAGGTTGAAAATATTTCAGTAATTCCATTCAAAACGTGAAACTTGTACATTATATTCATGCAATGCACACAGACCAATGTATTTCCAATGTTCATTACATTTAAATTTGATATTCATAAGTGACAACTAATGAAAACTCCAAATTTGGTATCTCAAAAAATTAGAATATTCTGAAAAGGCTGAATATAGAAGACACCTGCTGCCACTCTAATCAGCTGATTTACTCAAAACACCTGCAAAGGCCTTTAAAAGGTCCCTCAGTCTTGTTTTGAAGGCACCACAATCATGGGGAAGACTTCTGACTTAACAGCTGTCCAAAAGACAATCATTGACACCTTGCACAAGGAGGGCAAGACACAAAAGGTGATTGCTAAAGAAGCTGGCTGTTCGCAGAGCTCTGTGTCCAAGCACATTAACAGACAGGCGAAGGGACGGAAAAAATGTGGTAGAAAAAAGTGTACAAGCTCTAGGGATAACCGCACCCTGCAGAGAATTGTGACGACAAACCCATTCAAAAATGTGGGGGAGATCCACAAAGAGTGGACTGCAGCTGGAGTCAGCGCTTCAAGAACCACCACGAGGAGACTCATGAAAGACATGGGATTCAGGTGTCGCATTCCGTGTGTCAAGCCACTCTTGAACAAGAAACAGCGCAAGAAGCGTCTCGCCTGGGCCAAGGACAAAAAGGACTGGACTGATGCTGAGTGGTCCAAAGTTATGTTTTCTGATGAAAGAAAGTTCTGCATTTCCTTTGGAAATCAAGGACCCAGAGTCTGGAGGAAGAGCGGAGAAGCACAGAATCCACGTTGCATGAGGTCCAGTGTAAAGTTTCCACCGTCAGTGATGGTGTGGGGTGCCATGTCATCTGCCGGTGTTGGCCCACTCTGTTTCCTGAGGTCCAGGGTCAATGCAGCCGTCTACCAGGAAGTTTTAGAGCACTTCATGCTTCCTGCTGCTGACCAACTTTATGGGGATGCAGACTTCACCTTTCAACAGGACTTGGCACCTGCACACAGTGCCAAAACCACCAGCACCTGGTTCAAGGACCATGGTATCCCTGTCCTTGATTGGCCAGCAAACTCGCCTGACCTTAACCCCATAGAAAATCTATGGGGTATTGTGAAGCGGAGGATGCAATACGCTAGACCCAACAATGCAGAGGAGCTGAAGACGACTATCAGAGCAACCTGGGCTCTCATAACACCTGAGCAGTGCCACAGACTGATCGAGTCCATGCCACGCCGCATTACTGCAGTTATTGAGGCAAAAGGAGCCCCGACTAAGTATTGAGTGCTATACATGCACATTCTTTTCATGTTCATTCTTTTCAGTTGGCCAACATTAGAGAAACAAACATTTTTTCATTGGCCTTTAGAATATTCTAATTTTCTGAGATACCAGATTTGATGTTTTCATTGGTTGTCACCTATAAATATCAAAATTAAACGTAATAAACATCGGAAATACATTGGTCTGTGTGCATTGCATGAATATAATGTACAAGTTTCACGTTTTGAATGGAATTACTGAAATATTTTCAACCTTTTGATGATATTCTAATTTACTGGCCAGCACCTGTAAATGAAAACGAATGATGGGTGTTTCGACCACGCCAGTCACATACTTTGAGATTTACCAACTTGTAAAAGTTCGTAATTAGCATGACTAAAAATGAGACAACGGCACGCCGCATATGTGACATCACCACATAATCTCCTCTCCCCTAGCGTAGCTGCTACTTACCACATGGCCAGATTTATAGTAGTTCTTTCCTCCTGGAGGAAGGATTTGAAGTTCACTGAACTTACAGCCATTTTCCCTCAGTTTTCCTCCGCGTCTGGTTTGATGACGTCACTTTCGTGATGCTCATTTGTAGTCCTGGACTTATTTTCACCCAAAACATAAAATAACGTTTCCTCCCGTTTGAAAATACGCGCTTTCTTGGGATCAAAATTATTCTTTAAAATTTACGGACATCATATGTGAAATCCATGGCGCATAACAAGCAGAATTAGAAAATAGCGTTTTAGCCCCCCTGACTTGCATTCAGTTTTTCGTTCTTCCGGGGACCCGTGGTCCGGAAGTAGATGGGCGTGACTCAGGCTCCCTATTGTAGTTTATGTACATCACAGCTGGTTCAATCATTAATGCATCTTTTCAGCAAGTCAGATTCTGCAGAAGTCTGCTGTCATTCTAGTCAGATGTGTTAAAGCATGGAAACATCTACAGAAGAGGCCCAAGAGAAGCAGGATTGGATACTACTGACTTTTACAGCAACAGTGTTCCAACTAATTAATGTGTTTAAATTAAATTCAGACACTTCTTAAAGAAACTGTTTGACACTAATAAAGTTTCTGGCCTTTCTCAACAGAGGCTTTTCTTTTAGTCAATGGCAACAAAAATCCTTTTAGTCACAGTTACTAAAACATTCAGAATACGAACCATGCCAGTTGTGTAAAGCCTTTTAGAGACTACATCTGTGATAGCAGACACATCTTCATCATCAACTCACAGTAAGGTACTGCTAACTCACATGAAGCACTTGTCTGCCCTCTCTGGCGGCTGGACTCCAGATGGCGAGTCGCCCTCCTGACCTTCGTGGCAGCGGTGTCTCCTCAGGCCAGACCTGCCCTGGAAGCTCTTTCCACAGGAAGGACAGCTGAAGTGACTCAGCACCCGATTGTGGACCCTCTGGTGGTTGTGTAGGATACTGGCCAGACGAAAAGCCTTTCCACATGTGAGACACACGTACTTTTTCTTCTGCGTGTGGGTCCGCGTGTGGTTGCGTAAAGCCATTGGGTTGGTGAAGGGCTTGGAGCAGACGCTGCAGCTGAAGTGTCCTGTCTTGTGGGTGTTTTTGTGATTCAGCAGCGAGCCGGCGTGGCGGTAGGTGCGACTGCATATGTTGCATTTAAATGGCCGCTCCTCTTTGTTTAAAGAGAGTTTCGATTTGGAAGCACACGTGTGAGCCGTCAGTTGCTCCAAAGAGATGAAGGCTTTCATGCACTTCCTGCATTTGAAGGTTCTAGATTTGAGGATCTTCCTGCCTTTGGCCCCACCCTTCCTGAGGTCGGCACAGACATGAGCCAGCAGTTGTTTCTTCATTCGAAAGCTTCTCCCACACTTTTGACACGAGTTCCTTTTATAGGCAAAGTGGATCCGCAAGTGATTCTTCATGGCTAACTGATTGGAGTACGTGTTGTTACAAACAGAACAGTAGTATTCACCTGTTTTATGGGAGTTCTTGTGGTTGACTAAACTTCCTGCGTGGCGGTACGTACGCCCACACTGGTCACAAGCATAAGGTCGCTGATCACTGTCGTCCTCATCTTTAACGGATGCCTCCAACTTTACACTCCCTGTCCTCCTTTGCGTGCGACGCCGCAAGGTCAACGCTCGATTGACATTTGAAGCTGAGGCTGGCATTCTCTCATCTGATCTGGTATCATTCATTTGCATGAGAGCCTGTATCTGATTGTTGAGTTCCTGGATTTTGGCTCGGTTCTCCCTGTGCCTTCTCAGGTGGATCATCAGCTGCTTCTGGATTTTGAAGGCTTTTCCACACTCGTGACAAGCGTGTCTGGGGGAAAAAAAGCAGGATAGAGTTACATCTAAAACCAGAAAACAAACAGTTGCAGTCAGAAACGTGCACACACTCATCAGGAGCAAGGATGTCATATTAAATTGGGGCTTTTGTGAATTATTTGAAAAGTTCTTTGAATCACCAAAAACATTTTTTAATGACAAGAATTAGAAGCACGTTGGATGAATTTATTATAAGTTTTCTGTCTTCTACACAAGCACCCATATGAAACACAACTAAAACTGTGGTGCTGAGCGTTCCAGCTGCCCTTACAGACAATCCCAATGACTTCTGGTGAAAAATGTAATGATCAAATGAGACAATGATCACGGTTTTTGTTTGGAGGAGTCAAGCTGAAGCTTTCAAATAAAAAATAACACTGTACCATCTGTTAGGCACGGAGGTGGTAGCATCATGCTGCTGCACTTCACAGCTTTGGGACTGAAACTTGGAACACAGTTGGATGCTCCAACATGATCACAAACACACACACCAGAAGTGATTTTTGATTGGACAAGGTGATCTTCACAAACGTCTCAACCTCAAACTTGTTGAAATTGTGTGAATAACATGACTAATGAGCATTTGCCGGAGAACAGCCACATTAAATAAACTAACGAAAATGATGCCAAAGTGTGTTGTTGGCTACAAAACGACTTGTGGTTTATGTGCAACTAGCTAACTGATATTTAACCTAATCTTCGAGGGTATGTTCCTGTTTGATCACAACTCATGCACCCAATTCCTGTTTTTAAAGGTGACTGAAGTTGTACTCTGTAAAATGAGTCAAACTTGGAAAATAAGCAGATCAAATGAACAATTAACAGGCCCCAAATAAAACGACACTCACCTTAAACCCCATATCTCATTGGAACTAACCTTTTAACATCGAAGTGGGACCTCTGGTGGTTTTTCAGGGCCAGCAGGTTGTAGAAGCGTTTCTGGCAGATGTTACACTTGAACACACCTGTTTTGTGGGACTTTTTATGGTTAATTAGGGAGCCAGCATGCCTGTATGAGCGTCCACACTGATCACACCTGTACTGACGAGGTTGACCCACTACAGTGTCTCTGCTGGAACCCATCTCCTCACACTGAGCCACAGGGCTGACCTTTGTTTCTTCCTCACTGTGCACAGACTCCTCTTTCTTCTGAGCTGTGCATTCATGGTTGTCGAGACGATCATAACTAGTGAAGGAGACGCCACAGCTGCCGCAGATGATCTGCGCTTCCTCTTTACTTTCTGAAACGTCGCTGCTGGTTAGCAAATGGTCTAACTGGTCCTTGTTGTGTAGAAGCTGGTGAGTAATCAAGTCCTGCCTATTGAAAAAACTTTCCCCACATGTACTACAGATGATCATCTCCTCTGGCTCTTCCTCTTTCACTTCATCTTGTGAGGACAGTGAGGATGGTCCTGAACTTGGAAGAGTCTCCTGTGTGTGTCCTTGAAGATGGCTTCTAAGAGCCCTCATGCTGCTGTAGCTGTTGCCGCATATAGAGCACTGATAATGATCTCCATCCTCCTCCTCCTCTTCTACATCAGTATCCAGATGAGAACTGTTCACATTTTCCAGGAAATCCTGTTCAAAGTAATGTTGGCCACCATTCAGTCCATGCAGCTCCATGTTACTTTCTGGATTTCCATCAGCACAGTGACCGTTACTGGCTTCAAAGTTCAAAGTTGCGGTGTATTCACCACCAGCAGTCTCATGCTGCTGCTGCTGCTGCAGCAAAGGACAACCGTGGGACTTAATTTCTGCAATATCTGCAAACGTCTCACCACAGTCTGCACACATGTGCCTCGATATAAGCGGTTCATTGTGAGGTAGATGAGATGCTGTTCCCTGGGAGAAGTCCTCATTAAATTGCTCCTGGTAAAATGCTCCGTTGCTGAGGTCAGTTCCGTTTTCCCGATCAATACAGAGTCCAGTGTGAGCACCGTCCTCCTGCATATTTAACAAAGAGAAGCAGCCCTGCTGGTTATCCAAAGTCAGCGGCTCTGAGGAGAGCCAGTCTCCCTCAGCCGCCTGGCTGAAAGTCGACGGCTGAGCTTTGTGGAGGCGAAGGTGACTTTTGAGGGCGGCCAGGTGAGGATAATTCTTATTGCAAATGGAACACTGGTAAATCCCCACCTGATGTGACCTTTTGTGGTTAATGAGGCTCCCTGAGTGCCGGTAGCTTTTACCACAGATGTGACACTTAAAGGGGCGCTCGTCAGAATCAGAAGCTGGTATTTCTTCATTTTGAGCCATTTGTGTGGAGCCGTCAGTGCTTGTGTTCATCACCGAGGGTGCTACTTGAACGTGATCAGACGATGGTTTTAGATTAGCAGAGCAGTGTGAGAGCATGTGACCATTACTTGGTATCTGCTCCTGTGGCTGATCGAAGCCACTGGGATTAACCGCCGGGGACGCTGAAGGTATGCTGTCTTCAGGGGATGCACAAAAACTAGACTCAGGTGAAGCGATGCTGTTGTCAAATGATGCATTTAACTTCTCCGACAATGTATCCTGAAGCCCGTACGAGAGAGAAGAGGAGTTGTGCATTTGGATATGTTCCTGAAATTCCCCTTGGTTGGGGAAAAGTACTTGACACAAGTGGCAGAAGTTTACCGGCGTCTCCTGGCTGGGATTCACAAACTCATTCAGCGTTGTGTTTGCATCACCTGTCGAGCTGAGGTCTGTCCTGCTTTTTGTCTTGTGGGATCTCTGATGGCTGTAGAGTGCAGCCATATTATTAAATACTTTGTAACACACTGTGCACTCAAACACTCCCACTTGATGCGTTTTTCTGTGATTGATCAGGCTTCGATGGTGTATGTACGTTTTGTCACACAACTCACACTTAAAGGGTCTGTTTACAGCATCAGCATTGTCATCATCGTCCAGATTCTCTGTTTGGGAATTATAAACGTCATCTGTTTTGTCTTCAGGGCTATTTTCTTCAGAAAACCCAACAATGCCTGACATCTCATTAAGCTGCTGATCATTTTCAGATTCATGTGTGGAACATTCCACATCTATATTCCTATAAGACTCATCCTTCCACCTCCTGGCGCGATGAACTCTCTCATGTGTAGCGAGCTGAGTTGCCAAACGGAAAGCCTTTCCACACTCTGCACAGGAGTACTTTTTAAATGAAGTGTGGCTCCGGAGATGACTCTTCAGGGCTGAGGCATTCCAGTTTTCCTTTCCACAAACGCTACATTGAAAGGAACCCACCTCATGAGTCTTTCTGTGGTTTGCTAGACTGCCAGCATGTCTGTAACCACGTCCACATTCATCACATTTGAATTTGCGCTCTTCTTCTTCTTCTTCTTCTTCTTCTTCGTGATGAGTGTTCATGTGGTCTAGCAGACTGGGCATATTGAGAAATACCATGGTGCATTGTCTGCAGGTAAAATCTGTCATCCTGTCAGGGTTTTGCACTGCCATTGCAAAGTAGTAACAGAACTAGGTGCACAGGACAGAAAAGGGGTGACTCTGCAGGATGGAAATGCATTAGATTCCTTTCTAGCCCATTAAAAAAGGAATTTGGTTCTTTACAATAAGGTCCAAGGAATGTTGGAGAGTTAAACCAGCGGAGGTTCCAAACAATTAGGGAAAATGTGAATTTGGCAAAGGTAGGCAAAATGGGAAGATGAATCGAAGAGATGCCTGGAAGACAGCATTAGAAAGGGTATTATTATTCCACACAATCATATTATAAGTCATTATTCACTAAAACTGCACTGCAGAGTAAATTTAACACTAGAACTGAACCTCAAGCAACTGAAGGCTAACCTGTCCAAAAGAGATGATGACCATGAAATCAGAACAAAAAACTGACTAAAATGTATCAGATATTAAACACTTAAACGCTACATTGACTCCAACTACACTTTCATAGAAAATACAAAGAATATTTGCACTGACATTGTTTAATATCAAACTCATGCAAAAATGTCCAGACTCTAAATAACTTTTCATAGTAGGACACAAAATTATGTTCAACAAAGGCACGCATTTGCACTCCTTTGATTTCTCCAAATCCATCTAAAAAATAATATTTGTCAACATGCAATAATAATAATTCACAATATCAGTATGATAGGTGTCAGATATTGCAACACCTAAAACTTTAGTATTTTATAGATTTATACTCAGCAGCTTATAATTTGAGTTAAAAAGCCTGAATTTTCTTCTTGATGTGGTAAACAAATCACACCCTATGACATATCTTTGATATATAAACCTAAATAGAGTTTATTTGATCAGATTAAGGTTTTCTGTAGAGAGAAAGACTGAGAACAAATGTGTTTTTTTTCGTGTTTCCTGCTTATTATGACCAGAAATTTTTCAGATAAATGTTGAACTTCATCGCTGCTTAATAACAATTACAATGTCATCACGACTCTACATTTTAAAGACAGACATTTCTGTGCGTGCAGACAACCAATTCAGCTGTGTCAACGAGAGCAGTGTCGTGGCTACAAATGCGTTATTTACTCATCACATATTCAGTCCGACATTACAGAAATATAAACGCTCGTGACTACATCTTATTTTGAGGAAGGGCGTACAAGTTGGCTCCTCTTCTGGTCAAACAAACGTAAGCTAAGGTTTGTTAGCGGCCTACCAACTAGCATCATTGCAGCTAGCAAAACAAACATTGCCTCAAAAAACAGAAAGCCGCTTTTTAAAACTGAATAGCTACGTCAGCAAACACGTAAGATTAAATACCTGATAAGTGCGTTTCAAATCTAATTCTAAAGTCGCGAATCTTCATTCATTAATTTAACAGTATTTTATCAAATAAAGGACCCCTTTATCCAATTGTCTTCTCTTCCTCAACATTGGTCTTGTTGCTAGGACACAGGAAATGTGCAGCACCGAAATTGTTCCCTCTTGGTAAGCTATCAGTAAATAAAGATAAGATTAATATTGAAGTGATTTCATAGAAAATGATGAAAGTAAAAAAATAAAAAATAAACAGCAGCAGCTAAACGTTTTTTGTTTCTGCAAAATATCCAAAACACTCTTTATTGGGTGGTTTAGACAGCTATGTTAGCGGTCTGACGTTTTTAGCATTAGCATCGATCGACGTGATTTTAACAACTAAATAATCTGTTCACGTCAGTATAATTACAATGAAACTCAAACATGTCTCTTAATTTATGAGAAATAGCATAAATGATTTAATTAAATGTGTAAGCTTAATGTTTTATGATTGACCATGTTGAAGTATTACACACTTTTTGGCTTGCTTGCCGACAGTTGTCGTCATCAGGGTCCTAAAGCCTCCTGCAGTCCCACAGCCAGTAAACGGCAACCACCGAGTCTTACAGAAAAACTTTCCTATTCTAAGGCATCATCGGCCAGCAATCGATGCACTGATTTCGGTAAGAGTCTCGCATATGTCTTCACACAATTAAAAGATGCTTTTAGCCGTATTCGGGTCTAACGTGGTGGCGATGTCGAGTGAATTGGTGCAGCCAGCGGTCCTAAAGCCAGCCATTTTGAGTGAATAGCTCGCAAACGAGCACAAAAACAAGATACGTACTGATCGAGTCCTGCTCTCCGAGGTACAAGCGCGTTGTTTAATGGTGTTTTACTCATCCTGCTACCAGTTACATGATACATTCGTGTACAGAAAACGTTTGACATTGAAATCTCCAACTTCCTCTGGCTCCAGAGCGGCTAGCTTATTGTCCCTGAGGTCCTAATGCCAGCCATTTTGCGAATAAACGCACATTTTTTGTTAAAACGTGAATCATGTAGACCTGTATTTCCTTTGTCTCTGGTCCAACATGATGTGTTGTTTTCTACTACATCTATTCATAGCTATAATAGGGATTTAGCTTCTTATCTATTGGAGGAAAATAGCTTTTGTATACCGATCTTGCTGTCATGCTGCTTGCAAAGTTGCAATATAAAATTTAACACATTTTTTCAAGTGAAATGACTAAGTATTTCAAATTAGGTAACAACATATGTATTGTTATATGAATTAATGTGCTGTAGCCTTTAGATCTAATTTGTTGAAAAAGATGCAGAAAATTTTTTTTACTGCGTTTTTAATTTGATCCATTTGCAGGAGTAACTATGGCTTCTCCCCAGTCAGACAGCCTGCCTCCTGCAGAGCAGCGCACCTCACCAAAACAGGAGGAGGAGAGCCAACAAGAGGAAGAGGTGGCGAAGGATCAGCCTGGTAAACGCAGCAAGGGAAGGCCTCTGAAAGGCAAGCCCCTCTTCAAATGCTCCGTCTGCTCAGAGACTTTTAAGACTTTGTCCGCTGAGCAGAGCCACAAGCTGTCTGTACATGCAAAGCAGCAACACGCATGTTCCGAGTGCACCAAAACATTTACTACCAAAGCTCAGCTCTCAAAACACGAGCGCATCCACTCATCTCAGCGCCCCTTTCAGTGTCCAAATTGTAACAAGGCTTACAAGACGTCCACAGAGCTACGGAACCACAGCCGCTCTCACACTGGCGAGAAGCCCTTTGTGTGCACAGAATGTGGCAAGGCTTTCATGCAGGCTGTATGTCTGAGGATCCATATGACGCAGCATAATGGGGAACGCCCCTACTCGTGCAGATGCTCCAAAAGCTATCCCACTCTGTCCAAACTGAAGGTGCATGAGCGCTCTCACACTGGAGAGAAGCCGTACTTCTGTGCTGAATGCGGTAAGAGTTTTGCAGATCCGTCTGTGTTCCGGAAACATAAAAGAAACCACCAGGGCCATCGGCCATATGCCTGTGACGTGTGTGGCAAAACGTACACGGAGCTGAAGGACCTGAAGAACCACGGGCGCTCGCACACGGGAGAAAAGCCGTTCCTGTGCTCGGACTGCGGTAAAGCCTTCTCCCGCTCCTCCTCCCTGGCCTGCCATCAGCGCATCCACTCCCAGAATAAACCCTATCAGTGCGAGCAGTGTGGGAAGGGCTTCACTCAGCTGTCTTCCTACCAGTCTCACCTCCGAACCCACTCTGGTGAGAAGCCCTTCCTCTGCCCACAGTGTGGCAAGATGTTCTCCGACCCCTCCAGTTTCCGGCGGCATCAGCGAGCCCATTTGGGGTTTAAACCCTATCCCTGCGACAAATGTTCCAAGAGGTTCCGGCAGCCGGCCGATCTTGCTGTGCACGAACGTGTTCACTCTGGGGAGAGGCCTTACAAGTGTCAGAGCTGCGACAAGGCCTTCGTAGCTTCCTGGGACCTACGCCGCCACATGCTTGTCCACACAGGCCTCAGGCCCTTCTCGTGCACGGAGTGCGACAAATCGTTCACTGAGCGTTCCAGCCTCAACAAGCACAGACGCGTGCACTCTGGGGAGAGGCCTTTCAAATGTGAGGAGTGTTTGAAGTCGTTTGTGGTGTCTTCAAGTCTGCGTAAACACGAGAGAACCCACCTAGCTGAACAGGCTGAGCAGCAGCAACAGGAGGAAGCTGATGCTGCCTCCACCTCCAGCTTCACTGCCCCCACAACTCTTCCTCAGTTCTCCTGTAATCACTGTGATGCTACGTTTGGCACCTGGGAGGAATTTCAGGCTCATGAAAATGATCACTCCATTGACTCCACTCCTTCTTCCGTTACCAAGATTGTTCCACTGGGCTCACATGTCTGTGAGACCTGCCATGCTGAGTTTACACAGGTGGGGGACTTGCTGGAACACGAGAAGGAGCATCCAAAGCCGAGGCCGCACATCTGCAGCAGCTGTGGAAAAGGCTTCCTTAATAAATCCGGACTTCGCAAACACCAGAAGATCCACTCCAACAGCAAACCTCACAGCTGCCATCTCTGTGGCAAAGCCTTTCTGTTTGCTGCCTACCTCCGGAAGCACTTAAAGATACACGGAGCACTTGCCACGAAGACCAGCGATCTTAAAATTATTCAGACAGACCTGCTCCCTTCTCCTCCTCCCTCCAGTGAGTTCTCTGCCTCCACAGTTGAACCCAGCGCCATCACTCTGACAGTCCCCGTCGGTGTACCAGTGACTCCCTTTCACGCTCTAAGTATTTAGTCAAAGCAGAAGGACTTTAAGTTTTCTACACCACATTTGTCATTTTAATCCCACAACCACTAAAGAAAAACCATGACCATAAATCATTTGTGAGTTCTGAGAAAAACATTTTAACATAAAAGAACCTTCAGATACTGATTATGATGTAAATTGTCTGCTTTATCATCGTCATTCTGTGACAAATGTTCCATAAATCTGTATTTTAAAACTTTTACTGTATAACTGTACCTACATGAAATTGTCTTATTTGTTGTGAGCTCTCTGAAGAATAATGTTGTAAACTCAGCCAATAAGGAAAAGCTTTTCCTTTCCTTTTATAAGACCAAGTTCACTGCAAAACTGTTTTTTACTTGTTAATTTTGAAATACGATCGGCCACTCGTGAGTTTAAAATGCAGGCGAGATGTGAAAATAATCTTCTACTCCGATTTTCTGCGTTAGCTGCAGACAGAAACTAGACAGGGAAACACTTGGTTTAGGAAATCCACTCAGATCTACGTCACACTGAAAACTAGCATTTGTTGACTTGCAGCAGGGAGGGCTGTTGTTGAATTTAGCATCCAGGAGAGAGCAGAGCATGACTGGGATAGGAGAAGCTAACTGTTAGCATTGGCAACCCCACAACATGGCAGAACTTATCTAGGCTTGTGTTATTTTAGGAGGTAAAACGTCAGCATTGCAAAGCAAACAGGCAGTGGTAGAGTCGCGTTGCTGTTAGCCAATCAGATTAGATGTCTGAACATCAGGAAATAAGACCCCAAATCCATCCATGTTCTGCTCTCTTCTAGCTCCTGAAGCAGGAGCGCTAGAGCCTTTTCCCCCCACAGAGATGGACTCACAAGGCATTCATTTGTAGCCTGGCCTGCCAGACTGCTCCACTGTTTGATTCTGCACAGAGAAAAGGTCTGGGAACTCTCCTGTTCAAATAACCCCACCCCGTGAGAATTGTAACTGAGCCAATCAGTGCTGAGTAGCGTACATCACACACCCGAACGCCGAGTTTGTCATCAACATGGCGACTGAAGTGGGGTTCGCTGTGGCTCTTTCCTCTGTTCTAAATGACTTGAATGTCTTTAAAACCAACAACAAGTAGAATCACTAAAAGCCTTTCTTCTAAAAAAATAAGATGTTTGTGTCGTTGCCAGACGTGGTACAGGCGGCATTTCCGTCTTTTGGGATTGGTTATTTTTGAGCTGCCTAGTCCCGCCCCTCATGTGCCTCTCTGCCTGTGAGTTACCAGACTCATTCTGTGCAGAATTAAACAGAGGACGAGTCTTGGCAGGCCAGGCTTTTTCATTTATTCTAGAGACCACTGCAAATGTGTTGGAAAAATCTAGTGAACTTGGTCTTTAATAATTTAGCTTTTTTTTTTTTTGATTTTATTTTTGGGAACAGATCATTTCAAAGCACTTCACTGTATGTTTAGTATGATTATCAAAGAAGTTGTGATTTCAGACAAAGTTTGACATTCTTAACTGCAACATTATTTTATATCAGTAAAATATTAAAATGGTTTAGAGTTATGTCTTTTGTTTTATCAAAATATTGTTAAATATTTGTCTTTTTATAATAATTTACAAAATAAAGAAGACAAACCAAAAACACTACAAATGACAGACTGATTTGCATAAGGACAACATGCTGGATTGAGTTTTTTTAAACGTTTCTTCACCAGGTTTTTCATGGATTAATTGATCTTCAAGTTGTGCATCTTAAGAGAAAACTATCAATAAAGGAAGGTTTTCATATCATGTTTGTACATTTTATGGTTGCATATTAGAAAATTTAGCGATGCTCGATAACAGTGATTAATATCTCGATGACATGACTTTCAATAAATAAATACCTAACTCAATATCAAAAACAAATAAAAAAAACTAAAAATATAAAAAATGGGAAAATCAAACACTGATCAAAAGATGTGAGAAAAGGGAAAAACTAAATGAACAAGAAAAGGAAAAGCAGAAAGAGCAGAACAAAGCTAACTCAGGTGTTTGTTAGCGGTCCACCTAGGGGGCGGGCATCTAACCTATAAGAACCCACACGATTGGAGAAATGGGTGAACATTATTTGTCAGAAACTTCATGCTTTCGTTGGATGGACAAAATGCATTATGCGTGGCAAATATCGGAGCTGACATTGCATTTTTTTCTGTTCTTGGCGATGTGCGGATCGTGCAGCCCTACAGAGCTGAATGGAAAATGTGATTACATCACTAAACTTTTAGTTTTTTAATATTGTTAGATTAATATTTACTTTGGCCAGATTTACTGGTATTTTATGCTTTTATAGTAAATTATGTATTTTTTCTTTAGATTTTTCACTCTGCCGTCGGTAGACCTTTGCTGCAAGTTCCCCAGATGGAGAAATAGACTTAATTTGTTCATCATAACACGTCTTACCTGCGCCTGGCTGCAAAATAAACTCAACTGTCTGAAATGAAAATTAATGCCAACAATTCTAGAGAATTTAAATATAAACCATAATGTTTTCCCCATTTAGAGTTACAGAAATGTCAAAAGGTCTAACCCAGAAACCTTTACATCTACTGTACATGTGGATCATAGAGCTCTGGCTAAAGCAGGGATGTTCATGTCCAACCTCTGACCTTTTTGGGCCAGGTTGTGGCTGCAGCCTAATGACAGAGCTCTACAAAGAGCACTCTCGAGGTCTTGCACATCGTACTCTGAAGCCTGGTTTGCGCATGCTTGATTCCTCTGGTCAGTGGAGAGAGCTGAAGTGAAGTTTTTAAAATTAAAAACCTCAAACTCCCCGAAGAATTTTCAGACTTAAAAGGGCATTTCTTAATCTGAGGACTCCAAAGCACTTCACACTACAGTGAATTATTCATCTATTCAAACACACACACACACACAGGGTGATGAGCTACATCGTAGCCACAGCTGCCCTGGGGCGTTCTGATGGAAGTGAGGCTGCTTTACATAAGCACAACAGTGGTCACATAACTCTTCAGCTATCTTCATGTTGCAGCCCAACAAGGCAGGTTGTAATTGTGATGCAGCTCTTAGATTTTTTTTATACACATGACTCCAAATAAAAGTATAACAGAAATAAATCATGTTTATTTATGACATAATATATACAATTATTATACTTCATTTAGACAAAGAGCCACATATGTACAGTGAGACGTTTCTGGTGACATAAGGAGGAGAGCTGTTGATTAGGGCCGGTGGATTTTCGCCAGTGAAATGGACTTCCTGTTGCTGTGCTTCATGGTGAAGAGCAGTGCTGCGCCGGCGTCTGTTAGAGTCTGGTGGGAGGAGAACAATTAAAGTCAAAGCCAACCAAAATGGGTACCTCTGAAAGCATTTAGGTAGGAAGCTGTGTAATTTAGTATCTGAATTACCTGTGAGTCAGAAGTAACGGACTTGTTCTGGTGGGGGAAAAAGGAAATTGTTAGCATCTGGTGATTTCAACAGGAAGCTCTGAATCTGATCTGCACAACTCACCCTCGTGTAGTTATGTATGTTTTTATATAACGGCTCCATAGCTGTAATCCATTCACTGAAAATGTGATTCTCCTTGCTTTCATTAAACTTTCTGCAAAACAATCATTTTGCACAGCATGAATGGCTTAACGAAGGCATGTTCAGCTTCAAATAAACAGTGTTTCAGAGACACCCGTCTGCAGGCTGCTTAAATTATTGCTGCATGTGTCGAGCCAGCCTTCCTTACATCCCTTTGTCAGGTTTAAGCACAAAGCAGCTCTCTGATTGGCCGCCCACTAACACTGCCATCAGTCAGCGCTACCTGCTGTTACTCACATCGCCCTTTCAATGAGTTGCTTCTGCAGCTCGTTCTCCTTCCTGGCGTCCAGGAAGCGGCCTCTGACAGCCAGAGCAGCACTGGCTTGCAGCGAGTTGAGCTGGATGATGGCGAGGGAGAGGGAGGACAGGGCCGCTGAGCTGGGGAGGAGGAGGAAAACAGGGTTCTGATGAGAGTGCTCCTTGACATTTACAGCAGCAGCCGTGCCATTGTATTATTGTGCAAACACATGCGGCTCTCTTTGTATCTGCTCAGACGATGAATTGCACGACCTTCATTCAGAGTGTGAAGCAGGCAGATTAGAAAGAGTGGTTCATTCACTGTGTAGCTAAATGTTAGGATGAATGAGAAATCACTTGGATGGTGTGCTGCAATCATTTCTGCATGAAGAGCTCCAGTCTCTCAGCAACAGCCTGTTTGGACTTTCAAAGGCATTTTTCCTGAAGGTTCATTTAACGGATATAAACATACATCTGATCATTTGTTTTGCAGAGGGTGAGAGCACAGTCTTGATTAAGACGTCAGAATTAAAACAGATAAGATCACGAGAGCCAGAGGAATGACATCCAAATGCGACACTGATCATTCCTGTTTAAGGGCATGTTTAGAGCGGAGGTTGATGCAGCATTAATGTTACCTGTCATCAGTTACATCCCGATCTGCTGTAAACACTCTGAGCATCATCTGACCGTTGCTCCTCTTGTATCTGATTTGCAGCTGGATGGACACACGGCAGCCAGGAGCTGGTGCTGAAAATAAACACGATGTGGGAAGGTGATGCAACCAGCTAATTTACAGAGCAGCTTCACTGAGAAACATTTTTTTAGTTACAGAGTTTAAAATGCAGACTGAACGTGAAAATTGTCTTCTACCCCCATTTCCTGCATAGATGGTAAAAAGATGGAAAGACGCTCGGTTCAGAAAATCCTGACAGATCTACGTCACACCGTCTCCTCACATTCATGGACTCACCCGTCTTGGCTCACGACGGGGAAGGCGGTTGGTTTAGCGTCCAGAAAACAGCAGAGAACGTCTCAACTAGTAGCAGCTAACCCTTAGCATTAGCAACTCCATCACCGCAAAACCCCTTCAGGCTTGTCTTATTTGAGGAGGTAAAACATGAACATTGCAAAGCAAACTGAGTCAGTGGTAAAGTTGCGTTGCTGTTATCAAAAGAGAGATGTCCAGATATCAGGAAATTAGACTACAAATCCTGCCATCTGAAGCAACTTTCTCCTCCGCTTGACTTCTGCGTCCTCAAACAGGCGCAGCTGGGCTTTTTTCCCCCCAGAGAATGACTTACAGGGCATTCATTCCTACTAGCGACCACTGCTAATGCATTAAAACTAAGAGTAAAGTTGATCTGGTTAGAAGTATATTTTAAAAAGGCTTCCCATAACTGCTAAGGGTTTTGCAGAGTTGCATTAGCAGCTTATTTTTCTTTTTTGCATTAAGTACCGCAGACATTTCCTAATGTTGTGATTTCTCACATATATGGCAAAATAAAAATAAAACCTTCTGATTCTAAAGCAGAATGAGAAAACTCAGGTTGTGTGAGGAATCTGAAATTAGGCCAGACCAAATCATAGTTACGTATGATTCCCGAGGCTTATTTCTCCCTGTAAATACACAATCATCTCAAATCCAGCTGTGTTAGTCATTCACATCCATTATGTCCAGATGTGGGGAGAATGACCGCAACAGCAGGTATGTAAACAGGACTGTTTTCATGCAACTGTCAGTAAATGGTCCTTATTAGTGCTATACAGCCCACACAGCCAGGGCACATGGGGGACTCTGCATCGAACAAAATGTTGCAAAATGGATTAAATATTCTAGTTCATGATCATAAATAAATAAAACAAACAAAAGCTTATATAAACATTTGTATTATATTTATGAGACTACCCAAGCCTCACGGTTTCAGAATGACCGTTGTAAGGTTATGAAGTTCATTATTTTCAGCTCCACACAGTTGCCCCCTGTGCACAATAACACCCGTGTAGAAAAGCCAAGGTCGGGTGTTCCTCAGACTGTTTACATTCCAGGAGAAGAGCCAGAAGGAGGAGAAGAAGCTTTACTTAATCAAAGTACTTTATTTGTGATTAAAATTATTAAGCAAAACAGATGTTGATCAACAATAATCAAGTGAATGATCTGTGAAATAAATATGTCATGATTTATGTTTAATGAAAACAGGACTACTGCACAGACACACTGATCCTCATCTCCATAGAAACGCATGACACATTGTTCCAACCAATCAGAGCTTTCGGCTGCCGCAGGAGAATCTGGTGTTGACTTAAAGTGTCCAATCCACTTTACTACAACTTATCAACAATTCAGAGATATAAAACAAGGCAACGCCATTTTAAGCTCAGTTCCATTTTGACTTCAGTTCTATTCACCGTCATCCTAAAGAAAAGCACAGACTGGCCAGATGTGTTTTCTTCTTTAAACTGAGAACTGTGAAGTTGGAGATTTTCGTCGTTTAACAACCAGACGACATCCTTTCAAAATAAGAGCACCTGCTGACGCCGCCGATTGGTACCGGGGTCGACCCTTCAGACGGGCTTTGAAACGTTGCGACCGCTGCACCGACAGCTCCAGCGTACATCCGAGGTTCTTGGACCTGGCATTTCCTGATCTACCTGGGAGGCCCCCCACTGGGTACGTACACGGCAAAATAGCGGCTCATGTCATCACTTTATAAGCCTCGTGATATCTAGTCATAACAAAGACTACCAGATTCAATGACGTCAGCCTAAGGAGTCTGAACCAACCACACACACACACACACGCACCAACACAACATCCAAATCCATTTTCATCCATCACAGAGTTAGTCCTGGTAGATTGTTTAGAATTTATAATTAAGAAATTAAAGATTCTCAAACGATCCCAACTCTCTCTCTTTTCTTGTCTCAAAGTCAATACAGAGTGTTTAATTAAACTCCCTGATGATAAAAACAGCCTATTCTTCTGACTATAAATAAGTGATCTACTTACAGTGTATTAAAATACAACTCTAGATAGTTACATCACTTCAATTCCGTCACACCGTCTTAAATGTGTCCCTCAGAGATAAATTCATGTTTGATTTTCTTTCAAAACTCTTGTCTATCAAAATGATAATCAACCCAAAATGCAAAAAGCACAGCTTACAATGGTTTTATCCATGCATGTGTGTGTGTTGGTTTGTAGGTTTTATCAAAATGCCTCAATGGGTGTTAAAGGTGCCGTATGTAATAGGGGTTGTATGAACTAGTCGACTTCACGGCTCTGTAGTGACTTTTTATCCTGTCATCGACTAGTTGCTGTCACGTGATAATGACTGACAAGATGCAGTCCTCCAGCAGGTGATGAGCCCCTGCGTCGGGAGGCGGAGGAGACGCGCTGTGCCAGAGCGTCGGTACTGACACCGGCGGTAAAACGGACATTTAACCAAACTGTGACCTTTTCCCTCTTGAAATTTAACCTTCTCCTCACCCCCATCCTCATCTTAACCAGTTTGCGCATGCAAAGTTGATTGTTGACGCACTGCTCCAGACATCTGCGTCCTGAGCACCGCCAAATCAGGTGTCACCACCTCAAAAACAAATTGAACACGCGATCGTTCATGTCGGCTCATTTCCTTTCATGTTTTCTGTCTGTTATTTGTGCCTGATGCGTTTCGCTGCTGCGGAGCGAGGCTCTTCACCTGTTTTGTCCTCTGGTGACGCACCCCCAAGATTCCACTATCTCCGCTCCGCTCCGGCACGAACTCCGGAGCAAAAACGGTCCCGTTGTAGTCGGCCGGCGAGCAGCGGCACTCCGCTGTTTTTGCGGTCGGTAGATCTTTTAGAACTGCAGTTCAAAGGTAACTCATAAGGTGAATATATATGAACCCAGGTAGCAGTTTTTCTTTAGGATTGAGAGGAGATGCAGGAAGATAATAAACAGGCAGGACAGAAAAATAGTCAAATAAAAACAAGTTAGTTTTTGTACCTGGTGGTTGCAACAAACAGACACCATTGAAGGTGAAGTGAAGGAAGTGAGGAACAGAAAATGAAATAATTATTTTAATGTCTAGAGCAGCAGGAACTCCGAGAGGCTGCAGGCGCATCAGTTTGCTGCTGCTGCGCAGGGGGAGAGGACTGAAGTAGGATGCAGAAGCTACCGTTGTTAAAAGAGATGTTAGAACATGTGGGCGCAATTTTCATTGTCAAAAACTCCAGCAAACCTACCAAACCTCCCCCCCCCCCCCCCGCTTCAGGTGTATGACGTCATCAACGACTAGTTGAAGTCGACTCGATTTTCATTACTTGACTGTCGACTTTAAAAGAAATTAAGTCATGCAACCCCTAGTGTGTAAGAACATAGCGAGAATGTAACAGTGAGAAAATCTCTAATGTTTGTCATTTTGGAAGGAAGGTTATTCTGAAACATCTCATATCCACCTGCTGGGATTGTCAGTTTTTCTCCTTTCAAAACAAAGGAAGGGGGGACATAACGACTGTTTACCATCAGTGAGTGTGGGTTAGTCATGTCACCTGCGAGCTAATATGTTTATGTTTATGTATTTAGCAGACGCTTTTGTCCAAAGCGACTTGCAAGTGATAATCGGCATGTTGCCCTTGAGGCTAACAACAACAATGACATCAATCATGGAGAGGAGGGAACAAGGAGTGGACAGTAGAGAGGGGGACGGGTGAAGGGACAATTGTAATTTGACAACGGCCGGCAAAAAGATCCAGAGTTGTTGAAATATGTTGCAGTAACCAAATTACCACGGGATATAGTTTTTACTTAATTTCTGCATAGTTTAACTCAGATTAGTCAGTCAGCCATAATGAACTGTGCTGGAACCAAAGGTCAAACAAAAATGGTGCCAACTTAGTCAAAAATACAGACCGAGCTAAATTTTGTAGTGATTAACTCAGATTCTGTATAAAAAAAATAAATAAATAAAAAAAGACAGTCAACCATGCATGTAGATAAACCTGCAAGTAAAAAAATATAAGCAAAACCATGATCCAGTAAGAGGAGGCAGGGTTTGCGATATTTCAGTTTTTATTGATGAAACGGAGTAATCTCTTAAAAGAACATTTGTTTGTTTTTGCAGGCGCCATCACCTTGTTTTCTAAATCACTGGTAGTACTTTATCCTTTATTCAGATAAAAATCTTGGACTTGGCTAAACATGCACCACCTCTGCAGCCAAGCAGAATTATTTACAGGGTCCATTTGTTATTTCTCTTTGTAAGCTGTTGTTTTTATATGAAATTACTTTAGCTGCCTTTCGCTTCAGTGTTGTTGCCACTGTGATCACATTGTGAGACTTCAAGTGTTGTTTGCTGGCAACAACAGAAATCACCACATCTTGAAATATTCCCTAACTGCGGCACCACACGCCTCCTGCTTTTCTTTGAAATCAAGCTTCGCTGCTACTGAAAGGAGATGACTGTATCGCTACATCTCGGTGTTAGCCAACCCGTTTTTCTTCTCACCTCCTATGTCTTGGTCAGTGGCTTCGAACTGCATGGTGATCTCTGTATCTGGGTTCACATTCCCCACCTCTCTGGTGCATTTGTGTCCTGCCTCCCGCTCTCCTTTCATACGCCTGCAGCAAACCAGAACATGAGTCAGTGCTGTGGGCTTCATGACTGCTGCATTCTGAAGCACTAGAAATCCTTTTATGTGACAAGAATCTGGCGAGTACTGGTGGAGTGGATCTTACAGTGATCTGGGCAGCAGTAACGTTACTGCACAGTGTGTAGCCGTGGTTCTGTTCTGAATTATCTCTTCAAACTCTGAGTGCAGCTGGTTGGGGCTGGCTATCACCACCTAGAGATGACAGAAGGTTGATGATATGGAAATAGATGATCAGGTAAGGAGACAAAGGTCCATATTTTAGTGTTGGTTTTTACAAACGAGGATATAAGCTAATCTGATGCGGGTTCTAAAATGATCCAAATACACAATCACATGTGAAAAATACAAATATTCCATCTGGTCATTTTTCATTTGACAAAAATAAACCAAAAGAGGAAATCTGTATTGGTTCATGAGCTGGATTTTTGAACAGCTTATTGAATTATATTTAGCTGCAATAACTTGAAGTAGTAGTTTTATGTGCCACTTTGTCAGGAGGGATTTTTACCCAAGTACCGCCACTCATGGGCCTACCATAGTATTTCATTCAGGTTCGGGTCTAGACTCTGCCATTGCACCACCTTGACATTTGGGCCGAGTTTGGTCCAAGCTTCAGCCGTCAGAAAGATGAACTCACATCTGACTCCAGAATTCTTTGTTCCACAGAGATCATGATTGGCGCAATGCTTGAAAGGTGCTCAAATCTTCAGCCCTCCCACCACTGTGCTGTTTTGCATCTTTCCGTATAGATTTTTATGTTAACACACACTTGTATGCTCCAGACAAAAAAAGTCCAAATTCATTTAGAGAGGTCATGATCATTTAGAGCTGGCATGATAGGTTCCCTCTTAAATCTGCATCTAAAGCTGCAACTTATTTTCACAAAGACCATTTTGACTTCATTTTTGTGTCAAATAATGAAACTAGGGATGTCCCAATCAGGTATTTTTGCCCTCGAGTCCGAGTCATTTGATTTCCGACCAGATACTTCTGATACAAAAAGAAAAGAAAAGGAAGAAACAGTTCCAGAATGTTCCTTATTTTTTATTTAATTACCTTTTTATTTAAATTTTTAACAACAGATCACTTCTGTGAGGTAGCTTGAACAATCAAGTAATAAATTACATAAATTCTTCACTTTTGGACTTTATTGCAAATATAAAAACAGATAGCACTTCAACTTAAAATACCTGGCAGGGGTCTATTTTGCCTCGGCCCCCAAAATACTTAGATACGTCCCTGGGCATGGGACGGAGTTTTGAAGATGATCTGAATCGTATCAATTATATAAATACTACATGCTGGTAAATGATTGCTTTATACAGGTACAAACGTGTAGTGGGGTAAATCTACCTACATTTTATTTTTTTAACAACTTTTTGTTTTCTTGGGTTTTATTTTCCTATCTTCCTGTCCTGTCTGCCTCTGATCTTCCTGCATCTCCCAGTCCTCCAGAAAAACTCCTGCCTGCTTCCTTCTTTTTCACCTCACAAGTAACTTTTTAACTAGCAGATCAAATTGATCTATTGACCGCAAATAAAGCAAAGTGTGCGCTGCGCTGCCCGGCTGCGCCAGTGACGAGCGCTGCAGCGGGAGCAGCGCGAGCGCGTCATGCTCAAATACAGACAGAACTTACCAGAGAGGAAATGAATGGACACGAATCACTGTGTGTTAATTATGTATTTTTTGGTGACACCACTTAGAAACTTAGAAAATGTTACTGTGGCCGTGTGCAGAACGCAGATGGAGTTCATGAGTAATCAGCGGTCTGCTTGCCGCTCTCTGCATCTCTGCTCAGAAGAAGCTATGCTGAGGCCATACAAATGATATAATATAGGTAGAAACTGTGCTCCTTCTGAATGTGTATGTTAAGTGCATCAGGGGAGCCTGACAACCTTTAAGGAGAACCAAGTTGCTCTCCTGTAATTTGAACCCAGTATCCGAGTCCGGATCGGGACTTGGATCGGGAAGTAAAGCCCGAGTCCCGATCAGTCTGAAACCATGTGATCGGGGCCGATTTCCGATCATGTGATTGGATCATCCCTAAATAAAACGCTAAAAAGTGCCGTCTTTTCATACACTTGAAGTCAGATTTTAATAGATTTACAACCTAGTATCCAGTTAATTCAGAACATCGAAGCACTATTCGTCAATCTACGTTACTACCCTCACCTACGGTCCCAAGTTTTATGTAGTGACAGAAAGAATGAGATCACTGATACAAGCGGCTGTAATTAGTTTCCTCCACAGGGTGGCTGGGCTCTGCCTTAGAGATAGGGTGAGAAGCTCGGCCATCAGGGAGGGGCTCGGAGTAGACTAGCTGCTCCTCCACGTCGAGAGGGGACAGTTGAGGAGGCTCTGTTATCTGGTTAGGATGCCTCCCTGGTGAGGTTTTCTGGGCATGTTCAACCAGGAGGAAACCTAAAGGAAGACGGGACACACTGGAGGGACCATGTTTCCTGGCTGGCCAGGGAACACCTTGGGATTCCCCTGGAGCAGCTGGACCAAATGGGTGGTGAGGGAAATCTGGGCCTCTCTGCTTAGGCTGCTGCCCCGCGATCCGATCTTGGATAAGCAGATGAAAATGGATGAATGAATGGACTTATAACCTAGTACCCAGTCGAACATGGCAGACGATTGCTCACACTGAGCCAGAATCTGGAGGTTTCTTCCTGTTGAAGGGGAATTTTCCTCCCCACTGTCACTACATGCTTGCTCAGTACGAGAATTGATGTAAAATCTCTAACACAAGTCAGTGACTCGATGCAATCCACTGAGGTTTTCTCAGGTAGGAAATGTAACTAATTTAAATAATGAACTGAACTTGGTGCACTGATAAGTAGGTTCAATTAGAATGTTTACTTTGTAAAGACTCTTGAGACGACTCTTGGGATTTGGCACAAACTAGCGCCATGTGCATGGCAGTCTCCTACAAAATACAGGTAATTTAAATAAACTGAGTTGAATATTGTATCCTCCTACATAAAAACTTAAAGGACAGACCTTCTTTTAAAACATAACTGCATATATCTGACTCATCAGCCGAAAAATAATGCAACACACAGCCCCTTACTTTGCCTCCAGTGCGATCAGCGAGCCTTCCCAGCTCATCCAGCCTGCAGTCAGTTCCTTCTATGGACAGCACAGAGACTGTCACGCTGAGGAAACAAGGACATTTCAGAATGACCTTCATCGCTGAACATCAAGATCAAACAACACTCCTCCACATTAGTGGGGGAAAAAAAAACACAGCTTCAGATTTATAAACCCATTCATCTGAGTTTAACTGTGTAGCTACTTCTGAGAAGGACTTAGAAACATGTACACCAACCCTTGATTTGCTGCATACTCCCCAAGGTTCTGGTAAAAGATTGTAGAAGAGAGGAGAGTGCGAGCATCGTTATCTTCCTCTTCTAAATTTCCCAGTTTAGCGTTGGCTTTCCCATCTGTACAGATAATCACCTTCAGGATCAGCAGGACAATAAATCAGGTTTTTATAGTATAATCAAGGTCAAAGAATTCAAATATTTTTACCCAATTTATTATAAGAATAAAATGAACAAGCAGTTGATATTATTTAAACTCGATGAGATTTTTATTCAGCTTTTCCATAGTTTCCTGCTTTTATGCAAATTTGATATTTTCTGTTAGAAAGCAAAAATCAGCTGAATACTCAGTTTTTTTTAGCTTTAAAAACTACTTTAAGCTATATTTACTAATAATTTATGAGCAGCCAAATTTACCTTTGAGCCCGGGTGCTTGGAGGCCGTTGCAACTGCGAGCAGAGAAGCTGGTCCAAGAGCAGTTTCTCCATTTGCAGATAACCTTTCAAAATTAACACACACAAACATGAAGGATCCAGGACACAGACCTCATCAAATAAAAAAAAACACAAACAGGCTTCTTACCCCATAACTTGCTTTTGTAAGCATTCTTTGGTCTGTGAAAGTGGAGGTGGACTGGGAAAATCTGCTGCAACTTTTTTCAAGTAGTATTTGTTATTCAGCTCAGTTCCACTTACAACACGGGATTTTTGCAACTTCAGAAGATCTTTAAAGAGAATATGGAACATTTTGTAGTTCTTCTATGAATACAAAACATGTATGGAGTTCTTTGCTCTGAATCCCCCTAACATAGTGATATTACCGTAAATCCTCTAATACAGGCCGGTATTCAATTAAAGGCCGGGTCTCCAATTGTGGCCGGTGTCAGAGTTAGTTTAGGTAAATAATGGCCGGTCTCTTATTGTGGCCGGGTGGAATGTAGTAACAAGCAAGTATGAGCGTCCCGGTGGCAGGGTTATAGTCCCCAAATCAACCAGCAGGAGGCAGTAGACGTTCACGCAGACCTTTATTAAGCTTTTTCTTCAACGCTTTGTAACGCTACAGACACGATCCTCTATCACGCTCCCACCACACAGAGTCACGGTGTCAGTTAACCATGCTAATTCAACCCGCTCCACAGAACACACATCACCTTCCCTGTGGCTTACATAACACTCACACAACACGCAAATCAGCACATAGGAACTAGCAGAATGATAGGAAACACATATGACACAATACCCAGAATGCACCTGGCTTACAACCCCAGCCAGGTCATTACACTATCAAGTTCAAAGAGAACGTGCTGATTATGCTGCAGAACACTCTGGAGAGCAGCAGTAGGGGGTGTATGAACTAGTCAACTTCACTATAGTGACTTTTTATGCCTGTCGTCGACTAGTCGCTGTCACGTGATAATGACCGGCAAGATGCAGCCCTCGGAAAAGACAGCAGCCTGCTGTCAGCAGGTGACAAGCTCCTGCGCTCAGGGGGTGGGGGGGGGGGGGGGGGGGGGGGGGGGCAACGCGCTGTGCCAGACCGTAGGCACTGACACGCGATCGTTCATGTCGGTTCATTTCCTTTAATGTTTTCTGTATTTTATTTGCGCCTGATGTGTATCGCTGCTGTGGAGCGGGGCGCATCAACTTGTCCCTGATGCGGCCGGCAAGCAGGGAGCGCTCCGCTGTTTTCGCGGTCGGTAGATCTGCCTCCTGAGCACGGCCACAGTAACAATCAGGTGTCGCCACCTCAAAAACTAATTTAACACGCGATCGTTCATGTCAGTTCATTTCCTTTAATGTTTTCTGTCTTTTATTTGCGCCTGATGCGTTTGCTGCATGCTGTGGAGCGGGGCGCTGCGCGCATCACCTTGTCCTCCGACGCACTGATCACTGATACGGCCGACAAACAGCGAGCACTCCGCTGTTTTTGCGGTCGGTAGATCTTTTAGAACTGCAGTTCAAAGGTAACTCATGAGGTGAATATATATGAACCCAGGTAGCAGTTTTTCTTTAGGATTGAGAGGAGATGCAGGAAGATAATAAACAGGCAGGACAGAAAAATAGTCAAAATAAAAACAAGTTAGTTTTTGTACCTGCTGTTGCAACAAACAGACACCATTGAAGGTCATCAGAAGTGAGGAACAGAAAATGAAATAATTATTTTAATGTTTAGAGCAGCAGGAACTCCGAGAGGCTGCAGGCGCATCAGTGAGTTTGCGGCCGCTGCGCAGGGGGAGGGGGGAGAGGGCTAAAGCAGGGGGAGGGGGGAGAGGGCTAAAGCAGGGGGAGGGGGGAGATGGCTGAAGCAGAAACTACCGTTGTTAAAAGAAATGTGTTTAACTTTGAAAATGTGGGCGCAATTTTAATTGTCAAAGACTCCAATGAACATTAGTTCATTTTGCTCAAATGGAAATAGAGGCCTGCCTCTAATACTGGCCCTCCTTCCAATAAAGGCCTGGAGCTTGATGAGCTTGAGTCAAATAGAGGCCCGGGCCTGTATTAGAGGATTTACGGTATATTGACATTTTCAGTACCTTCCCGAATGAGTTGTTTCAGGGCTCTTAAAAAATTCACTGCCATTGACGACTAAAGTCGTCATTTTAAATCCAACCGTTCACCGCCAATGACGACTAAAGTTGTCATTTGCATTTTTTACCGTGTGGGCGTCGGAACGATCCCCCGCACCGTGAGAATAAACTCTCAGCTCCAAAGCCGATCTTCATCCGCATACATCACGTGATCAGGAAGCAGAAAATCCATGAGTTAGGAGATCGTTTTGGGCCGCTGCTGTAAAAAAAGTGAGGGGCGAACCAGAAAAGCTTCTACTGATCACATTTCAACAACGGAATATGAAAGAACGGATAACGCTTGAAACACGCGGATTCTTCCTGATGTAAGAAGTGAGTCTCCACTTTGTTTTGGTTGTTTTGACGTCGACATCATCCTAGCGCACAACATTCTGTGACTATTAAAAAAACTGTAAAAACTGAGAAACGCTGGCAGCGAATGAGTTACAAAAAAAAAAAAATAAATAACTGAAGGTGGCTACGCCCACCCCTCCCCCCTCAAGCTACTATAAGCGGAGGAGCTCAGATATCTGGGAGGGGCTTGGAGTAGAGCCCCTGCTCTTCCAGCACAGAGGTGATTCTATTCCACTTTCCCCATTCAAGACATCACAAACGGCTGGTTGTAGGCACATAACTCCTAAACGTCGACAGAAAAAGGATGGATGTTTTTCCTGAAGTGTTTATAGAGGTAGAAGACACACATCACAGCATAAAAGGCATGTCCCCTTTAAGAGTTTCTTGAAATTTTCTGTTGGAGGATGCACCAGTTTCAAGTCTTTGATAAATATATTTTTCAATTTCTGTCCATGTTCATCCTACCATGCTGCCTTATAGTCTTCTATTTTGTCTTCAAATTGTCCACATTCCCTTTTCCAAACAAACTACTCAAAAGGCTGTCATGGTCAATTCCAATGGCAGAAAATGAGAGAAAACAGCCAAAAGGTCAAAGAAAACATTTGAAGAACTTCATAAAACCTGAAAAACTCTTAATTAAATCCACTTTAAATTACTTTTAGAAAGCCTGGCTCTTTGGAGGAAAGGTTTAAACAAATGAGGGATGATTTAAAACAGTTACCACTTTTCCATGACTGTACACAAGGACCATATGTAGTTGTGTCACATAAACTGATTCCAGCATGACAAGTGAAGATTGAGAATTTACCTGCAGTCTGGATTTGTGGACAACTTTCTCTCCCTCAGTCACCTAAAAAGAAATGACAATTTTTTCAATGAACATCTGCTAATAAGACCCTGGCTTTTGTTGTGTGAACTTTTTTCATTTAACTTTTGGGACAGAGTTGTTCAACTTTTTGAACAACTAGTTGATTCTTAGTTTAAATAATAGAGCTATTAAAAACACTTTAAATGATTAAAAAAAAACATTTTAAAACATATAGTGAGTCGTGTCTTAGATTACAGGTTTAGCCAACTAGGCATACTAGTTCTCAGGAGGTTTAAGACTTCCTGATGCAAAGTTTCTATGATGTCACCGTACATTAAACGTGATGCTCATGGACCCAGATGCATCTATGCAGAAGATCAGCAGCGTGTCGGCAGCAGACAGAAGAGGTTCATCTGGGTTGAGCAGGAATAATTTGTCTTGGTAAACAATTTGAGCAGAATTCTTGTTCAAATCCCACAACCGGCAGTAGCGGCAATCTTTAACCTGCTTTGGAGCAGAATAGTCAAGTCAGCGATGATCATTTGTGTCAGAAGAGCTTAAAATAACTCCTAAATGAAGTGTATTCCTACAGAAGACAATTACCTTATTTTTATAGCAGCTTTCTAACACAGAGCCACACTGTGAACAAAAAGTGGGGGTTTCTTTTATGGGTTGCTCTGAAAAAAAAGAAAAACCAGACACTCGTAAGAAAATATAATTTTCTAAAGTAAACAAATGATGATCCTCACAAAGTTTACCAACCTTTGTCCTGTGAGAGCAGTTTTCCTAAACTGACCAGAACCACATTGGGATTTCCCATCAATGGTTCATTATCTACTGCTGCTGCGTTGGGAATACCATGACAGTTAAAATGATGCCCTCTTTAAAAACCCAGACAAATATTGTTATAGTTACCTTTAGCGGCTGGTGGCGTGGTGGTAGACGTGGGTGTAGGCGATGACCGAGGGGTGAAGGGAGAGGGGCTAGATGAAGGCAATACCATAATGTATTCTGGTATGTAATCCATAAATTGAGGTCTTGGTGGGAGAGGGGGGGCTGTGGGAGGTAGGAGCAGGAAAAGGTTTTTTTACCCAGCACAAGTTGGAAATGACACCAAATCAGTCAAATGCAAAAATGGTAATGGTGCTGCTGTTTACTTGAGGTTGACACAGCTCCAGGGTCAGCAGGCTGCTTCACCTCACAGAACGAGCCTTTTGGTATTGCATAGAAGTTTTCCGGGTCAGTGGGCTGCTTTTTAAAATCTGGTTCTGGTATGACATAGTCATATGTGAACGCTTGACTATCGACGTTGCGGGAGACGAGTGGCTGTGTGTGGTAGTCAGTGCTTGCTGTGGGTTTCCTATGTGGTGGAAGAAGAGCTGCAAAAAGTAGGGATTCGATTATTGCTTTTACTTAAAATTTGTTCAAAATTGAAATCTGCATCACTCAGATCCATTAACTCCACCAAGCCGTTTTAACTTTAATTTTACATTTAGAGACCCCCCCCCCCCCAAGATTCAAATGCTTAAAACCAGTTAACAGGCATGGTGGTGGAGGGCTAGTGGTTTGGTGTTTGTTGTTGCATCAGAAACTTGCACACTGGAATAACTGCATAAAAAAATCTCTGGATAATGTTACTTGGGACAAACCCACATATATAACCCACTCCTTTTGACATATTGAATAACCCCTTCAAGTAACCTAGTTTTTGTAATTCCTGCATGCCAAACAGATAGCTCAGGGCTGTGCTGCTGCTTGCCAGCTTGTCTCTTCATTCCTCATCAGTTCAAAGGTGTTTCAGCATTAGATGAGTTTCTGTTCCTTGTTCTGACTCAGTCTCTTCATAACAATGAAGCAAAAAGAGACACCTGAGGCAGGTCTGGGTTAAGTTTAACGTGAACTAACTGTTGAAAGGAACAACATGACAAACAACAATCCATGCCCCTTACCACAAACAAAAAAAGACTTTCCTATTCAATCAATTTTTCAGTTCCCATTCGGTTTTCTTTTCCATTCATCAAATGATTTGTTTGACCAAGTGTCAAACTCTAGAAAGCATATGCAAGGCTGCACCCTCCCTACCTGTCTTTGGAGGTGGTGTCAGACCCGAAACACAGATTTTTGGAGAAGATATCTCCAGTTTGTGAGATGCACTCTTTTCATTTTGGGCAGTGCGCTTCACAATCTTAATTTGTTTGCCCTTCATCAAGTCTTCACCGATTGCCTTTTCATAGATAGTGGCCTGTTGTGCTTTGGCTCTTGCAGAATCTGTCGGAGGAGCAGGAGGAGCGGTACTTGGACGGACCCAGGTAATAGGAGGAAGGAGAGCTAAAAAGCACAAGAACAACATTTTAATTTAGTGGAACTTTAAAGACTAAGTTCACTTGGTCTTTCCAACACATTTGCAGAGGTCTCTTGTATGAGTGAACGACTTGTGAGTCAATCTCTGTGGGACAAAAAGCTCTGGCGCTCCAGTTTCAGGAAGTAGGTCCAAGTCAGCCAGAGAAATGCGGAGCAGAACATGGCAGCATTGAGTCTCATTTCCTGATATTTGGGCATCTCGCCTCTGATTGGCTAACAGCAACACGATTCTACTACGGCTTCTGGTTGCTTTGCAATGGTGATGTTTCATAAATAGCACACACCTAAGGAGATTCTGGCTTATTGTGGAGTTACTAGTGCTAACAATTAGCTTCTACTAGCAACACTGGATGCTAAACCAAAAACCGCCTTCCCCGTCAAAAGCAAAGATGGGCAAGTCCATGACTGCCAATTTTCATTGGGACAAAGATCTGTGTGGCCTTTTCTAATCCAAGCATTTTCCAGTCCATTTTCTATCAGCGGCTAATGCAGGAAATCAGGGTAGAAGAATATTTTCACGTTCAGACGGCATGTAACCTTAGAGTGAAGTGTCATATTTAAAAGACAAGTAAAAACGTTTTCTCTGTGAACTTGGTCTTTAGTGTTTTTTAAAGTAAAGCTACAAAAATGTTCTTCCTTCTTTACTGTGCGCAGGTTGTGAACAGCATGTACACACACACACACACAAAGACCTGCTACTTGAATGACCTTTGTGACATTGACTCAGGATTTCTATAACAAGGAGTGTCTGTCATGAGAGCTCATGTCACTCATTGCCCAACTAAGGGATTTACGTTACCAACCCGCTTCCCTGGCGACTTAAAACACCTACATGTTTTTACAATTCAGCCTTTTCAATGTTAGAAAAAAGTATTTGTATCAATAAATCTGGTAACAGCTCCAAATACTTTTTAACAGACAAAATAAAATGCCAGTAGGTGATGAGTACAGCACTAACAGCATTATCCCTCTAATGGACTCTTTAGAATCGCTGGGTCTTCAATTAAACACAAAGCTAAAACTTTTATCACCAACATATCACAGCAGGATGTCTGTGTTTGTGTGAGATGTCATTTTGAAGTCGTACGTGAGCGTTTATTGGCGTTGTACCGCTTGGCGTCCTTCTGACTCAATGATGGTGGTACATAAACATATCCACAGGCAAATTCCATTGGGGTTCTGTGAGACAGGACAAGCTTTAACAGAAAGTGGCCATCGTTATCTGAGGAGAAACCCGGAAAGAAGTCATGAGTACAAAGGAAACTCAATTCAGCAAATGTTCATAGGATTGATTCACCCGCACACTCTTCAAGGTTAGAGCATAAAATCTAAACGCAAATTAAACAAAAGTGAATTTACTCACATTCTTTTGATCGTAAAGAAACCCTCCCCGAGCTCAGAGCTGTTTGAACTGGTCTACTCCAGTCACGCTTTTATTTTTTGTCTCATTCAACTTGTCCAACAAGTTTTCCTCGTAAAGAAGCTCAGTCTGGCTCACCACACAGTCTCTTACAAGGCTGTGTAGCCGGAACGACGATCAGATTTTATCTCCAATTGTGCAACTCTGGTTAAACATTCCACAAATGCAAACAAGGGTAAAAGGAAGCCGATAAAGTCAATGGGTGTTTAATAAAAAGGTCATTTTCACACAGTTCTTAAAAATGACTAAATTATGAGATGAAATTGCTATCTTATTGACTTTTAAACGTTTTGACAGATTCCAGTTTTTAAATCCGAAACATAAATCTACTGTACGTATAAATCACTGTCAAGTACTCACTTGAAAGCACAGACAGTCAAAAATATCTATTGAAAAAAGCACAAACTGGATCCAGTCTATACACACAGTGATCTAGGAGGGAACACCAAGTCAAACTGTTGACACACCCTTATCAATGGATTAGAGTACTGGTAGGATCGCTTCCAACAACAGATAAAAGGGAATAAGAAAAAAGTGAAATACCAAAAGGAGAAGGAGAATGAAACACAATTCCTGCCAGTCACGTTTTTATGTGGGACGATGAAAGTAAAGCGATAATGTAAAGCTGTGGCTGAAGGACCTCATTGTGGCCTCCGAGTCTGCCTCATCCAGCCACCACCAAACGTACAGATTACATCAACACGTTTTATTCTCGGGTATTCACCATTTGTTTCAGATGTATGATCAGGAAGTGTGAATGTATGAAAATTGGTCCAACTTTATTAAACCCATTCACAGAACCTATTAAGGCCAAAACATCTTAATCACTTAATGTAAAATTTAAGATGCTAAATGTATTCCACAAGGAACACCAGATGTGTTGAAACCCTTTGGAAACCCAAGGCTACACTTTTCACATATTTTTGTATTAAAAGTACATTTTCTAAGTCAAACAGCATCCCAGTCAAATTATATACGTATATTCTCATGTACATTTAAAGTGGGCTAAATCTGCTGAAAAATGGATGCAATAAATAAAATGAATAAATGTGAACGTCAAATTCCTTTTAAAGACAATTACTGAAAGACTGGCAAAGTAACAACATAAACTCACACAAAGATAACCAGCAGGCCCACGGCAGGAGCAAGAACAGTGAGGAGGTAAAGCGTAGGAGGTGGAGGGAGACAGGAGCTCAGGTCCTGAGGTGGTGATTGTGTCAACAGACAGCTGGGCTGATTATAGATGGACAATAGTGTGAGCAATAAGCTGAAGTCAGGGTGAACTGAAGGAGGCAATGAGGTTGTAGAACACCTACCTACCTACACAACTACCAACTTACCAAAATATCTGCTGGAATGAATAAAGATTCAAAACAAACTCAAACACTCCAAACCTGACAGAACATGTAAAAATAACTGACTTGGTTTAATCATGATTAATTTTTTTTCCCAAATGTGCCATAAGTCACCAAATTCAAGATCTGTAGTGATTATAGTGTAAAAACACACTAAAAATCACAAAAGAAAAGTTTCAAACACAGACAACATGAAAAAAACATTTGCAATGGACCATTAGACTTCAGATTACGTAATTTTAAGAGTGCAGAATGATCCATCATAAATAAATTTACATTGTTAGAAGCTGTCTCAAAACTCTGCATGATTAACTGTAACAGTTAAAGATGTCATCTCATTTTCCAAAGTCCAAAGCCTATCTTAAAGGGATTTAACACCTGAACATGAAATTTTGTCTGTTCACATATTTTCCAGAGTTAGATAAGTGGGAAAACCAATTTGTAACCAGCTTGACTGTAACTGCATTGGCCGTCCACCTTTAGCTTAGCATAAAACACAGTAAGTGAGTGGATCCAACTAACAATGTGAGTAAAAACATCCTTAAAATCATTCAGCAGTGATCCCATTTCTTACACCATACCTCTAAAACAGGAGAGGGCAACCTGAGTCCTCGAGGGTCGCTATCCAGCCGGTTTTAATTGTTTCTCTGCTTTAACACACCTGGTTTGAATCTGCTGGTGATTAGCAGGCTGCTGCAGAGCCTGGCCCAATCTCAATACTCACACTGCGCCCTGCGGTCTTCAGCAAAGTGCACTTGGAGAAAGTGCGCAGTGGGGTTCCAGTGCCTAGTGCACAAGTAATTGCCGAATTGAGACAGGGAGCATTGCGTCATCGATCGCAACGCATTCCGTGATGCTGGTCGCTGTGAAACTTGTTTCACAAACCTTTATTAACAACTTTCAAACAAACAATAAAGCAAATCTTTGAAGTAAATTTAACTTCATTGCTGCTTTGTCTAAAACATTCAGAGCATCAAATAATCGTCTCAAAAAGAACTAATTTAATTAGAAAATACATATTTTCAGAAAAGGAGCCCAAGGTCGCTGCAGACTTGAGTGAAATGCAGATCATGGACGCAATGTGGGCGTGGTCAACTTCCGCACTTGAGAATCGGGGCACCCTATGCACTGGCACCCTGGCACCCCTGGCCAGGAACGCGCAAATGAAGGGCGCAAGAGTGCAAGTGCCAGTATTGAGATCGGGCCCCTGATAAGCTGCTGAACAGGTGATTCCTCCAGGAATCAGGTGTTTTTGAGCAGGTAAATAACTAAAACCTGCTTGATAGCAGGCGTTGAGGACCAGGATTTCCCACCCCTGCTTTAAAACCAAGTTTTAGGGTGCTTAGCAAGGGCGCCCCCAAGCGGTGGCCAGGGGTGGCCCCTAGAAAATTGCTGGCCCCTCCAGGAAAAGCCAGTGTTAACAAATCATATTAATGGTCAGTCAAACCATATATTGATCTTCAAGACATAATTGTAAAACAAAATAAAAATATTACAACTAATGAGTAAAGAAATAATCAGAATTTAAAAAAATACTTGTGTTTCTGCTGTTCACCATTTGAAAAAAAAAATTTTATTTCCATAGTTTTTTGATGTGAACACAACAACACAGGTGAATTAACCTAAAAAATACATTTTAAAATAAAATTTGGTATAACATTTTAAGTAACTGAAATGTATTTTTCTAAAATGTTTGTGTTTGTAAAATTTAAGTTAAATGCTACATACTGTTATTTTAATAAAAACGAATAAAGGCCCAATGCAATACATAGCCACAGACTAAATTCAACCAGTTACCACAAGGACCCATTTGTTGTGCCAACCCAAAAATTTCTTTGGCCCCATTTGGCCACCCCTATCAACATTTTCTGGACGCGCCCCTGCTTAGCAATGTGTGGACCAGCAAAATGTTCCCACAATGTGGAAATGTAAACACGTTGCAGGTTAAAGTCAAGATTTGTCATACTTTTTTCCCTACTGAGCTAACGCTGGGAAATATGTCAACTTTGGGTGGAATATCCATTTAAACTTAGCTAACTTATTGTTGTTTTACTGTTTAACATTTTGATAGATTAAAGCCGAACACTATATTTATTTACAAAACAGGCTGATAAAAAATAAGCCTCCAATTATTCAGTAATGCCTAAAAATGCTGTTAACACCTTTATGGTCATTGTTAAGAGGCCTTGCACTCACATTTACACCATTTTTCCCTCACTGGTCACATTGTTCCAGAAGCTGGATGGAGTTTTAGTAGCTAAAATAGCACCAAACAATAATCTGAGATGATAAAACATTTTTGTATTTGTTATTTTGTAGAGAAGCCAGTCAATGACGAGTGACTATGATTAGGAATGACTAATTTGAGTAAGAACCACACTGACCAGCTAACAGCTAGCTAGGTTGGCTTGCTGCTATCTTATCTCAAAAGATTTTTTTAGTTGATTTTGATGCAATTTTATAAACCTTTCCACCACCAGTCACTTTACACACCACTATGAACCTGGCAGAAATACCATAAATTGGAGATGAAAGTGTCCACTGCCGCTGTTTGTCCTTTAAATCCATTGATGACACTCAAAACAGTTTTTAATAAAGATTATGTTTCAACATGATTAGAAGCAAAACAACAACAGTTTTATTTTGAAAATCCACTCCGTGGAGGAGTCTTCTGAGTGCTTTCACATAAAACTCATGAAGTAAACATGAACTCTGAATGCATGCAGCATTGTAAACATGCTTCTTTGTGATCATCTTCATCACATGACCTTTGACACAAAAAAAGAATAAATACTTTCTTCTTAACATGCGCAGCAGCATGCAAACACACACTCATACATATGCAAAAACATATTGTTGCTAAACAATTTTAGTGATATATCTATATATATAAGTTACATTTTTACAGAAAAAGTCAAACAGTAAGTTAGAATATTAAGGGCTTCATTTCAAAAAGATGTCAGATGGCGATAATAACAAATCCTGTTTTAAGTATAATTATAAAAAACATATTTCAGAGGTAAAGGAAAGTTGAGGACATCAGATGTTGGACTCAACAACTTCAACATAATTAGCTGGGTAGAAACCCTCCTTGCCTCCACTCAGCACCCCTCTGCACCAGCCCTGGTCATCTTCCTCCTCCACCTTCAGGAAGATTTCACCTAAACAACACATTTTATTTGAGTCACACTAAACAAGCACCAGCAAACACAGTTTCAGTCAAGAACAAAGTACTTATTAAATGGTAAATGGTAAATGGCCTGTATTTGATATAGCGCCTTCTAGAGTCCTGGAACCCCTCAAGGTGCTTTACAACACAATCAGTCATTCACCCATTCACACACACATTCACACACTGGTGGGGATGAGCTACAATGTAGCCACAGCTGCCCTGGGGCGCACTGACAGAGGCGAGGCTGCCGAGCACTGGCGCCACCGGTCCCTCCGACCACCACCAGCAAGCAATGTGGGTTAAGTGTCTTGCCCAAGGACACAACGACAGCGACAGACTGAGCGGGGCTCGAACCTGCAACCTCCCGATTACAGGGCGAGCTCTTAACTCCTGTGCCACCGTCGCCCCAAATAAGTATTAACTTACTTTCTTACTTTTATTTAAAACACTGAGTTGAAATCAGTGATTTTTACATCCTGCAGTGGAAACATTTTCAATTTTCATGAGGAGACTGGTGCTTTGATGGACCACAAATAGATTAATCCTGTGTAATTTAAGACCATTAAGGGCTGTGTGATGTCAAGGTGTAGTACAGAAAATATTCTAAGCGTTAGCCCTGATTTAGGCTAAGCATGTTACTGCAGAGATCTTATTGTATTGTTATAAATAAATGTGAAAATATGTTAATAACTCCTCATATTCAGATGGGACATTCAGGGAAGAATAGAGAAGGACAGACACAGCAATAAAAACGACGTTCACACAGAATCCATCGTGCTGTTTTAAAGGAGTGACCAAAGTGTTTACTGTAGTTATAAAACAGCTTCAATCTACTAAAGCTCATAATGATTTGTGCATTATTATTATTTTATACATCTTTACTTTGCCATTTATTTTGCTGTAAATTGTCAAGTAAATGGAATTTGGGGTGATGCATCAGCAGCAGTGTGTAGGTCATCTAGTGCATCCAGGGGTCAAGTTCACGCTACATGATGGACCGCTTTGAAATGTAGGACATTTGAGCTGTTTCAAGGAGACAGCGCCCTACATTAGAAATGTTTTGTTAGAAACCAAATAGCCAATCTGCCTGAACCAACTTTCAGAGAGAATTGTTTCTTGAATCAGCTCTAATCTCATACACATCACAACGATCATAGGAGGTGCATTCCAAAATCTTTTCACTGCTGTCCTTTTTGCCTCACAAAGCTGTTTTTGGTGCAATTATTAAGAAATTCGTTTTTAAGTTGCTTTGGGTAAAAGTGTCTGCCAAATGCTTGAACATAAACACAAGTTCCAGCTGGTCTTGACCACTGGGTGCACGGTAATGTAGCTGCAGATGATAGTTACACATGTGGGAAAACTAACACATTTGAAGTGGTCTCTGGAAAGAAGGAATGTCTTGCAAGTCATACTCGGGGCAAAAAAAGCCCATCAGCACAGACAGGTCTGCCACATTAAAGGAGATTTTAAAGGTGGTCTGCATGGCTCTGTGCTGCCAAATGACGTCATTTTAGCAACCATGGCCCTCCGCGCAGCCTCTGTGCGGCCCAAAGGTTCCACACTGCGCACCTAGGACATTTTCTAACTACTTACACGGTCCTGTGCGGAAAAACAGGGCAGACCGGCAAGTGCTTGTAGTGGCGGAGTATTGTCAGCACAGACATCTTTATGATTCAGCCCATGAAGCTCACCGTGATCAAAATATTGTCAATAATTGCTGTCACAACAGTGATTTCTACTTCTACTATGGTATAGTGTTGTATGCATGCCGTAGAGCTCCATGCCGCTGCCTGCAGTCTGGAAGAATATTGGCTCACAGCGGAGACAAGCCGCAGAGGGTAGGAAGGAACCATAAATGCTACATTTTCTGCCTGGAATGTACATGCGTCAAGCATAAACCAAGCTTAACACTGTGAGATTTGGCATCTTATTTCCTGATATTTGGACACCTTGCCTCAGATTGGACAACAGCAATGCAACTCTACCACTGACTCTGTTTGCTCTGCAAACTTATCTCCACAAATAACACAAGCCTGGAGGAGTTTCTGCTGTGTGGTTGAGTCGCTAATGCTAATGATTAGCTTCTGCTAGCTGAGATGTTCTCTGCTGATTCTGGATCCTAAAAAAACAACAGCTTTCCCAGTCACTAGCCAGTATGGGTGAGTCCAAGAGACCGCTTGACATAACCCTATCAGAAGCCCATGCTGGAGATAGGTGTAGGAGACTATTTTTATGTTCAGCCTGCATGAAAACTCTGATTATAATAAGAAATATCATTAAATAACACTTTTTTTAGCTGACACTAGTGCACTTTCTTCTTGGCTGCATCCCGCCACGTTGTTCGCGGTGGGAAACAACAGTTCTTTTTTTCAACTGTGGCTATTCATGAAGCTATCTATTACCTGACTTATTTATTCGTAAGTTTTGAGCAGAAACACACTAAACTAGCTAAAATCTGGATTCCATTTTCTTACTTTACTGGCTGCTTTCACAACCTTAAAGGGGAACTAGTCAGTTTTGGCCTGCTTTTAGCGTCCCCTGGTGTCTGTTTGTAGAACCAAAAGCAAAACCTATCGCCTTGCTGTGCGTTCGTCTTTTTAACACCTTAATCTAACAGCTGAAATGTCTCTCCAGCTGTGTTCATGATCTAAAACATGCAGGAAACATGCTGGAGATTGACTGCAGCGCCAGGTATGTCAGCTCCATTTTTTCCAAAAATCCCAATAGAGAGGAAGTGGAATATTCCAGCCACAGTAGACAATAGGGGCTGGGTGACCTTTCAGTAACCATGTAAAGCAGGCCTATTCAATTCTGGGCCTGAAGGGCTGGTATTCAGCACGTTTTGGTGATTTCTCTAGTCCATCATACTAGATTTAGTGGTTGAATCACCTGTGCAGCAGCTCATCAGGCTCTGCAGAAGCCTGTTAATAACCCGGGGCCTCATTTATCAAGCTTGCTTACGCACAAAACGGGGTCGGAAAACTGCATAAGCAACTTTCCACACAAACTTTGGGATTTATGAAAGAAAGCTTAGCGGAAAAATGTGCACAACTTTAAGTTGACTAAGGACCTGCCTTACGCACATTTTGGACATGGAGAGCACCTGCAGTGCTGCTGCTGAGAAGGATAATATTATGAAATCCTGCAGCATTATCACTTGTACTGCTTTGTTTCCACACAGAACAAGACCCCCCACACGCACACACATGTGGGCATGCGCGCGCGCACACACACACACACACACACACACACGCACACACATGCGGGCATGCGCGTGCGCGCACACACACACACACACACACACACACACACACACACACACACACACACACACATACACACAGCCTGAAGCGCAGCATACAGAATGCAGAATATTAGCAGGGAGACAAATTAAGACAGAATGTCATGCGTCTGTGACAGTGTGAGCGTCCTGTCACTGTGACCCGATTGATCATACACACTGACTACTTGGACAAGGGAGATCTCCATTTGGGTGACTGTTTAGTGTGCGTGACTTTCACCCGGGAGTCTGGGGATCAAATCCCGATTGGACCATTTCTTTATATCCACCACAGATCTCTCTGAAGAATTCACAACATTGACGGCTTCAGCAACGCTGTGCCACTCCGTGGATTTTCTCTTACTGTACTTGTCTCCTTCAAAAAGCAGCTGAAGACTCAGTTGTTCAAGCTGGCTTTTGTATGACCTTCTTCAACCACTCTCTCTTTATTCTGCTCTCCCCACCTATTCCACCTTCCTCAGGATCCACTGATTTCCCTCTTTCCTGTTCACTCTCTCTCTTTCTTAACATTTTTTCTTTTAAATCGCAATTGCTTATTCTTGCTCATTTTAAATATATTTTTAAACATTTTTGAAATGCTTTTTTATATTTTTACAATTTTAAATTTTTTGTTTTTGTTTTTGTGAAGCGCCTCATGATTTTTATCTTGAGAGGCGCTATAGAAATGATATTTTTCTTTCTTCTTTTCTTTCTTTCTTGTTTTGCAAAAGCACCTCCTTTCATTTCTCCACCTCACCCGCAAGTACCTCAACTTCTGCTTGTGAAATTCCGCTTCCTTGATCTGCGGTTGTGATCGAAATGCTGCAACAGCCGGCTTATGTATATGCATGAGATCCACAAGGCACTTTACATTGACTATTTATGGCAGTAAGTGGGTGCGGTGAGGGCGGGATGTGACTAAAATGCAGCTGAGAAACATTCTGTTAGTCTCTGATTCATGAAGTGGAGATTGCGTGCAGCTGTGCGTACTCCATGTTTGATAGGTCACAAACCTACTTGGCATAAGTAAATTTTTTTGCTGAGCTTAAGTACGGTTTTAGTAAGGATTCTACGCAATGTTTGATAAATGAGACCCCTGCTGATTGAAATCAGATACTGGCCCTTGAGGCCCGGAATTGAATAGCCCTGGTCTTTTGAGCACATACTGTCTCAAGAAAATGATTTCAAAATATCAAAAAGTTGCAAAATTTCCTTTTAAAAGTCTTGTAATCCCTTTTTATTTTCTCCAACAAGGAGGATGGTATTGTTAATGCTGACATAAACCAGATACATTCATCATGTCAGTAGGACAGATGCAGAGATGTAATCTGATTAAATTGCACCCACATGTCTACTAGCCTGCCATCACTTTGGAGACATAGATTATATCTCTGTAACAACACATAGATACAAATGTGATAGCAGTTTCTTTTACCTGATTTAAAAGATAGCTCATCACCTTCCTCTCCCACGTAGTCATACAACGCTTTCACCTTCACACCCCCGATCATCACACTAGAAGGAGAAGGCTGGAACTTTTAACTCAATGTTTGCATTATTTAGAGACAAAGTTAGCATCCTGTTCGGGAAAACCTACGTTCGACTTTCTTTTCCTTTCTGGTCTCTTTTTTTCCTCTTTAGTTTTTTCACAGGTGGAGCCCATTCCTAAAAAGCACAGAAACGTTACTGTAGGATGATTTAAAAAATCATTGCGCCATTTTTTTTTCCATTTGATACAAATATGTTTTTGTTTATTAATTGGGTTTAAATGTGAATAAGTAGAAATGTTTTACTTGAATTCTCTTGCATTTAAGCCACATCTGCATGAAAACAGTAAAACTCATCACATACCTCGACCTTTGGCCAGTCGGTCGGCATGCCCGGGCCGTGATTGTTCTTCCACCATTTGAGGTCATCCTGCTCGTCGATGGACATCAAGGTCTGATGGAGCTCGCTGTAAACAGCCTTCACGCTAACACAAAGAGTAAGAGCAGTGGGCGTGGTGTTAAAGTTACACACACATGGACAATCACTTGGTTAGCCGCTCACCTCTCGTTGTTGGTGACGTCCAGATGTCTGTGGATGGAGAGAAACACTTGCTTCAGAAAGCTGATCCTCTTTCTCTCTTCTTCCTGCGACTGTTCAAAAATGGCTTCCATTTCCTCCATGTACCTGGGCGTGTAAGACGACACTTCCTCCAGCATTTTCTCGTATCGATCCCTGACCTGCGAGCCGCTCGGGAGAAATCATTCCACGATGAATAGTTGAACACGCTCTCAAGGATGGAGCATCTGCGTTTCACTAACGAAGATCTAAAATGTATAAATCGTCTCTTGTTCCCATGCTGGTCTCCAAAAACAAAGAAAGAAGTAAGAATAACAACATTTCCACAGAAGGGAAATGCTCAAAGCAGAAAACTGGGGTTGAGTCTCAAGAGATTAGATATTACCACATGCAGAGGGGCAACCAAACTCCTGGCATTCGTGTTGGGGATTGGGAATGGATTTAATAAACCTAATGCAAATCTCAACCTCCTGAAGGTGAAGCTTACATCAGCAGTAACATCTTCCCTCACCTTTTCTTTCTCCTCAGTGGCCTTCTCTTTGGCCTCAGTGATCTTCAGCTTTTTCTCCTCACTCATCTCAGAGCTTTCTCTTGCTTGTCTTTCTTTGTCAAGAGCTGCTTGCTCCTTCTGACAAGTCTTGTGATATGAAGCTCGGACTTTCTCCAGCTGTTAAGTCACATATACCGATTATTTACACAGGCAGCAGAACTGAGGGGCTTATACATTAATCCAGTAGTATTCGAGTGAGAATACTGGACTTTCCTGCATGCTGAGATCATGATTAGCTTAATCTGAAGCTCTAAACAGGATGAAATCACTAATATGTTTATGTCAGAATGTATTTTGTGATGTTTGCTTGTTTAGTTGATATATTTTCCCTCTCAAATAGCTAATTCTGATGCTACTATTTATTTTTGTTAATTTGACTTAAGCCATGAATCTAGACTCTGTTTAAAGTGACAATGTGTAGTTTTTACCATTTATCTCTGGAAATATCCATTGAAATGTTGTAAATGAATAAAAAGATGGCCAGTTGTTGAAAAATATTGGCTGTTTCATAACATATAACCATAAAAATCAGGTCTAAAATACATGGGAGTGGGTCTAAGTCTCTGGGCGACACCATATTGGATACCACGTTTCCTTTTACAGAAGCCCGTGAGGACAAAATGCATTTACTGATTTGTAACAAATAGTTACAAATCTTTCAGCATTAATAAATGTTGTTCTTTTACACATTTAGCTCTTCGCTCATTGCAAGTGATGAAAGAGAATCTGATGTTCTTGTTATCTTACTGGATGTTGCACTTCCAATGATTTTTGACACTAATGGCCATCTAAGGTCTCACATGAACACAAAAATAATGCTTGTTTGCAATGATTTAGGGATGTACTACCCCCTATCGCCAGAGAAACTACACACTGTCACTTTAATACAACTTTGGAGAAACAAAACTCTGGAAATGTCACCCCACATAACCTGCTGCAAGTAACCCAAAAGAACCTAAAACAACATAAAAATAAGACCAGATTCCAAAGTCTTCAGATCTCAAGCTTTTACAAAATGTCTAAGGGTGGTGGGTAATCTGTGATTCTGCGTGGTTCAGACAAAGGCAGCTCAGTTTTCTAGACTCTTGAAAACATTTTGTTGATTTTTCAATGAGAAGCAAAACCTTTTCAAAAGTGAAGAAAAAAGCCAGCTGCTTCCATCTGAAGCTAGGACCAACATAACCTGGACTGTACAAAGAGTTTGTTCTAAAAGCCATAATTACAGGTGGAATTTGAAAAACGAGAATATGGTGCAAACGCTCATTTATGTCAGTAATTGAACTAAAAAGGTGAAACTAATATATGAGAAAGACTCATAACATGCAAATCCAGATATTTCAGACTTTACTTGTTACAATTGTGAGGATTATGGCTTACAGCTTATGAAAACCCAACATTCAAGAACATTGTGAAAAGGTTCAATATAACTCAAAGTGTCATACTCCAATCAGCTAATGAATCTAAAACACCTGCAAAGGATTCCTGAGCCTTTAGATGGTCTCTCAGTCTAAGTTGAATAACTGACACAAATTGGTTTTTGCACCATATTCTCATTTTCAGAGTTCCACCTGCACATAGAGGTTGATTATCTAGATGTTTCTTCTGTGAAACTCAATAGTTCTAATGTGGTGAAAAGTTTCTTTAGACCTTTTGCAGCTTTTTGGACCAGGGCTTCTGGGCTCGTGAAAAACTCGTTTTGTTGTCATAGGTCTCCTTGAAGCCACAGAAGATTTTCTTTGGGAAGGTCTCTTTCTGCCAGGTTTTCACTCGTTCTCCTTCTTCTGTGACAAGTGACTGAGCGATGGAGGAGTGGAGGGCAGACAATCGTTCAGTGGAGGTGAAGAAACACTGCCATGCCATCATGAGGGAGCCATAAAGAGGCCCTGGACGAGTAAAAAATAGAAGAGGACATCACGTGGAGATGATTTATGGGCATTGATGCCACCAGATACTTCTTACACACTACTACTGTTGATGTGCTGAAGCTAAGTAGATGCTTACATCACTCCATCAGGTCTACCAGTATGAGCAAATGTGAAATGATAACAGTGATTAAGATCTTATTAATAAAAGCAAAAGTGGACAAAATTGGATATTCAGATATCATTTGACCTAAATGAAAATTGTCTCAAAATCAACATGTTGTGTTTTTAAAGCTAACCAGACACCATACCTGTTGTTTTTTATACTTACGAGTATCCACCACCGACTTCCATTTGTTGCTCCACTGGTTAAGCTGCTGAGCGTATTGTTTTTCCACCTTTGCTCTCTCCACAAAACAAGCCACAATGTCATTGCAGGCCCGGAAGGATTGCTCAGTTCGGTGCACGGTACGCACATAATTTCCTGGCTGGGAGGAAGGGAGGCAAAGGTGTGTTGAAAGGAGTTATCAGTGTTTAAAAACATAAACAAACTACAGTTATGGATTACTTTAGATTTGATGATAGGTATGTATTTTTTACCATCCAGAAGCTCTGCTTCCTGGGATCCTCTGGGGGTTCTGTGGGTCGGTTCGCCATTTCTGGGAATGCGTCTGTCTCAGAGAGCATAGAAATGCCGGCTCGTCATTTACAGGAAGTTGCTAAACTGGTTGAGATACAAACACTTTTTTTGGCAGGAGATGATCAGACTCATTAAGTCCTACATTAGACATCTATCTGATGTCAGCCGTCAAACTCCCCGTCAACAAAATCTCGTTTCCTGAACCTATGATCAAACAGACATCGGGCAAAAGTCTTCAGTATTTTCCTTCTCTAACCTCCATCCAAATGACATTTTATTTAAACAACAGAAAGCTCACACACTCTGACGCCCCTCTGCGTAAGCACGGGAAGCATCGTTCCACCGGCGGGCTGGAATTCACAGGGGTGGGATCAGCCAGCAGGAATAGAACAGCTGCTCCAGCATTCTTCCTGTTGCCTTCCCAAAATAAACAGCAGGGAAAAGGTCATCTTTCCCATTGCTCTGACTCACACAAGGCCTGTTCGAACCAACTGTTTTCCACTCTGACTCCTCCTGCAGCCCTTTTCTCAGATCATGACCAGAAGAGTTTAACAAGTTTTACTTTGATCTGGATTTCAGCGGAATGAAATCTTCACATATTAACCGTTTTCCACACAATGTGACGTGCACCACATGAGTCTGAACGAGGCACAAAACCAGAGGGATACATGCACAAACATGCAAAAGGACAGTCAGACTCAGGCCTATTCCTGTCTGTGTTGACACGCTGCTGGCTCTCTTAAAGGAAAGTGACTAATCCGCATCACAAGACTCATCGCTCATCACAAGACTGAACTTGTATAAAAAGTTTTGGATCATCTAAAACCTCATGCCCTTTTTGTGCTTATATTGGTATACTTTTGTACAAAATTCCCCTCTTTTCCTGCATGCTGGAACAAAAATAAAAAGTGGGTTTAAGCAGGAGACACTGATTGACTTCATCTACATGAGGTTGTCCATGTAAGGCAAGCGAAGCGATCGCATTCTGTCACCCAGACAGATTTCGATACCAAAATCTTCACTTACAAGCTGAAAAAACATCTAAAATTTAAAATGACAGCTGAGCAGTCATGCCCGGAAGCAACCGTGACTTACATTTCTGTCTGAATCTCCGCTGATTACTCAAGTGTCCACTTGTTACTGTAGTTTAAGAGCTGCTGAGGATTCCTCTCCATGTCTGTCTCCCCTCTCCTCTTCTCCTCCAACACATGCTTCTCCCTGTCTTTACTCGCTTTGCTGACCCACTTTTTCCTTGGCATTTAAAGTTACACACACACACGCACGCACGCACGCACGCACGCACACACACACACACACACGCACGCACGCACGCACTCACATACGCATGCACGCACGCCGCACGCGCACACACACACACACACACACACACACACACACACACACACACACACACACACACACACACACACACACACACACACACACACACACAGGGCAGTGATCTCAAAGTTAGCGTGTGACAATCCAAGCCAGCAGGATAAAAATAAGATTAAACAAATCAAAGCATTAGCATGGCAGTTACTTCCATGCTAATTGGCTTCAAGGCAAATAAAGGAAGAGGAACAAACTTACCTCTGCCTCCCTAAAATCCAGTCTGCAGTCATCCCAGGATCAGCGTTTCTCCTGCTTCATTTTGATTCCTCTACTTCAACCTCATATTGTGCTTCTTACATTCATCGGGTGCCTTTGTGTCGGGTTGTCAGACACTTCTTGCTCTCTGTGACGATCTCCGTCACTTTGCTGTTATTAGACAAACAGCTGGAAGACCCCCCACTCCAACCCCTCCCTCTGCCTCTGTCAATATGGTGCTAATGAGATGCTGAACTTTAATTTTGACCATTCACTGGTTACAGAATCATGTCTCTGTGGCACCCAGCCATGTGAGCTTATTAGTGAGGGAGTGTGACAGCAGCAACGGAGGGGTGGGGGGTATCCTCAGTGACCTGCCAGTCTTTTTGTTGAGGCCTGAAAAGCATCTTGTATGCCCACACATTGTTTAACTGTTTCGTTTTTGTCAGATTGTGATGCAAACTGTGATTTCAGGGTGAGCCCTGCTGTCATCCAGAGTTACGGTCTAATAACTGCTGTCACTGCTCTCCTCTGTGATGAGCCGGGGGCAATACAACAACGCCATGACACCTTTTGAACCTATATGGCGAAACATTTAACAGCAGCCGCAGAACACAGCTATTCTTCACCTGGAGTTTGTTTTTGATGATCCAGAAAATACAAAACCAACATTCACTGTCTTTAACCCTCCTTTGGGTATAGTCTTTTTTTTTAAATAGCTGAAATAGCGCAACCATCTCAATACTCTCCAGTTGGTGTTTGCTCTTGTTTTGAGTTTCTTGGTGGACTGAATGATTGCACTCTCCCTCAGTTCAAAGGAAACTATTATCTTGCTTGTGTCGTCTTCCTGGGATGTCCACTTTGGGGTCTGTCTTTGACTCTAGATGTCATGTGGCTGGCATACAGCTGATAACACCTGCAGCTCAAACAAAGGGTAAATACCAACAGGAGAATATTTTAGTGGATTTTGACGCACTTCAATGTAGGCAATACAAATGTGAAAGCACCCAAGATCCTTTGTGTGAAACATGCTTCCAGTATACCTTTTGTTTATATTGGGACCATAGAAGGATTAAACGATCTGTTCCTGCTTATCCAATTTTTATGGGATTTTTAGAGACAAACAATGTTGGAACACCATGCTGTCACAGCTGCAATAGAGGGCTGGGAAGACGATGTGGAAATCTGACTAAAGCTAACATACAGTAGCATTTTAGCTACTTTCTTAACTCTGTCGCGTCTGACGGCGAGGCAATGTACAATCTGAAAAACTCCAAGGCTCATCAATACCCACATAGTAATAGTAATAAGGTTGGTTGTGTTTTGTTGAACGAGATGGAACACAATCTAGTTTACGTAACCCTCCCACTGTCTTCATGGGTGACCCCGAAAAGAAAGTTGACCATTGAGCAGGATTGATGATTTATCCCTTGAGGTCCACGTGGCAGGGGTGAGGTGGTGCTCACTCCTCACCCCTGCCACATGGCCATCAATCCTGCTCAATGATCAACTTTCTTTGCGGGGATCATCCATGAAGACAGTGGGAGGGTTAAAAGCAGACGTTGATGTTCAAATGTTCAGATGTTCAAAAAACGGCTACGAGAAACTACATCTCACCATGTGAACCAAAAGCTATGAGCTACTTCTGGTATCTCACTGGATGTTGCTCGGATCATCGTTTCTACATGAGCAGGCCCAGGAATAACGTGGACAACCATTAATAGCAGTAATGCTAACAGCAGAACAACATTAGCCCCGACTACTGCTAACGCCCAAGCTATTGCTAACGCTAACCTAAGCTACTGCTAAAACCCTTGTTGGATGAGAGGAAAACAACAATGAAGAATGTTGGCGCACCACTTATGTTCTACGAACTTAAGTTACATACAGTAAATATCTGAACAACGACGAAATGCCACTTAGATCCTACTGAGTTATCTAAATACTGTAAATGGCTGTACACTGAGTTCCTAGCTTTAGGCAGCGTTAAAAAGCCATGGGGTTAAATCAGCCAATCAGCATGCAGCTCATGTCTTGGTCTAGTGGTTGAGGTTAACCAGTCTTTACATTGTAGGGCTCTATGATGGGGTTGTGTTTGGCCATTTATCAGGGCTCCTGGGCCATTTTTAGCCCCAACAAAGTTTCATAATGCCACATACAGGCACAAAAACCAGTTTCTATTTGTTAAGAAAATTAGTACCCCTTTAAAATAAAATTAGGTGATAGATGGTTTTGGATAAGTGTTGCTTATAATTAAGGTTGCTTTGAGCCGTCTCGGAGATTAAAGTTATAGCCAAGGAACTTTTTGTTCCTGGTGGATCATCTGAACCATTGGTCCACATAACCGCCAATCATTCTGGTGAACCATTCATGCGGCCTTTGTCGTACGTGCTCGTTGCTGGTAGTTTTCACTTCCTGCGCAGACGCAAAGCGAAGGTTGATCTCCCCACAGGTAAGCTCTCTTGACAGGTAAGCTAAACTTTGGCATGCTATTTGGAGAAATTCGTTTCAGATTGCTGCAAGAAGTTGGCGGCAAGGCCAGCAGCTACTGGTAAACAGAGCATGCACAAGGATAACGGTATTCTCACTCATGGGCATTTTTTTCAAAATGTGGAGAAAGCGGTTCTTTACTGAATTTCAGAATAATCCTCCGTGTCTGTTATTGACACCTTGAAGCCTTTGCACGTAACATATCACACACACAACTCAATAAATATTTAAAACTTTTTTTTATGTTTATGTATTTAGCAGACACTTTTGTCCAAAGCGACTTGCAAGTGATAATCGGCATATTGCCCTTGAGGCTAACAACAACAATAACAACAACAACAACATTGACACCAGTCATGGAGAGTAGGGAACAAGGAGTGGACAGTAGGGGGGGATGGGTGTAGACAAGGTGTTAGTTAAGATGATGCTCTCTGAAGAGCAGGGTCTTCAGGAGTTTCTTGAAAATTGAAAAAGAAGCCGCAGTTCTGGTAGTGCTTGGTAGGTCATTCCACATTTGTGGAACAATGCATGAGAAAAGTCTGGATTGTCCTGAGTGTGGTGAAGGCACTGCTAGCCGACGATCCTGTGATGACCGGAGCGGCCGGGCCGAGACGTAAGCCTTTGCAAGAGGATTCAGGTAGATGGGAGCCGTACCATATCGGACTTTGCATGCTAGTGTTAGCAATATGAATTTGATGCGTGCTGCTAGAGGTAGCCGGTGGAGCTCAATGAACAGAGGGGTGACGTGTGCTCTTTTTGGCTGATTGAAGACCAGATGCACCGTTGCGTTCTGGACCATTTGAAGAGGTCTCACAGTACTGCCTGGAAGACCGGTTAGAAGGGCATTGCAGTAATCAAGGTGGGAGATGACAGTAGATTGCACCAGGAGCTGGGTGGCATGTTGTGTTAGGTATGGTCTGATCTTTCGTATGTTATACAGCGCAAAGCGGCATGAACGAGCAACAGAGGCAACATGATCTTTAAAGCTCAGGTGTTCATCAATCACAACACCCAGATTTCGAACTGCTTTTGAAGGAGCCAGAGATAGGAAGTCATTTCGGATTGAGATATTGTGCTGTATGGATGGTTTTGCTGGGATGACAAGTAGTTCAGTTTTAGAGAGGTTGAGTTGGAGATGGGGGATTTCATCCATTTTGATATTTCAGATAGACAGTTTGATATTCGTGCAGAGACAGTGTGGTCGTCTGGTGGAAATGACTGATAGAGCTGGGTGTCGTCTGCATAGCAGTGGTAGGAGAAGCCATGTGATCGAATAATCTCACCCAGTGAGGTGGTGTATATGGCAAAGAGAAGAGGTCCTAGTACTGAGCCCTGGGGGACTCCTGTGGCAAGATGGTACACAGTAGAGGATTGTCCAAGCCAAGATGCATTGAATGATTGTCCTGTGAGGTACGATTCAAACCAGGCGTGTGCTTTCTCTGTGATGCCCATGGTAGAGAGTGTGGACAAAAGGAAGTGTAACCGGATTACAGGATACAATAAGATAATTAAAAGAAAAAATAAACAAATGGGCCAATAATTAGGTTCGGGGAGAATTGGAGGTTGTTTAAGAATGACTGGAGTCACGGGTATAGCATGAAACGGTTTATATACTAAATTTTAATAATAATGGGAAATATAACACATAAAGATAACACACAAAAACAGATGAAAACAATCGACAATAGTAAAATGCTCGGTATGAGATTTGATCATATGAGTCACAAGTCAGCCGGCGTCAAGTCAAATCCCCACGCTTGGGGTGAAAGTCAGAGTCCGGTGGTGCGATTTTTTCCTACCGCACCGTTGAGATTGTTCACAGAAGAGAGCAGTCTGCTCTTCAGTTACTTGAGATGTCCTGGTTCGTTCAGTGGTTAAGGCTCGCCATCTCCCTCGTCAGGAAGAAATCCAGTTCTCGTTCCAAGTGAGTGATCATAGGAGTCGGGATCAAACCCAAGGGAAAAAAAAAACCCAGCCTGTAAACAACAGGACTGTTAGCGAGTTGGCATCGACCCTTCTCGTCACATCACAGCATAAAGTCTTACAGACTTAAACAAATGCTTCACTCTATTGGCATAGCCAATCATGTTTGGGTTCACAGTTCAACTAACATAACATCAATTTGATTGTCTATTAAAATAATTCTCAGTAGCTCTGGAAATATAATTACATATGACAACAATTGTTCAGCTCAATAGGCTCAGTTAGATTCTATTACTCTACACTATTCAACAAGAAATACATTCATGACAACAAGGATACATTTAGTTGTGTTTCTATACAGCATTGTGACACCTTGTATATCTGTAACACAATAAATAAATAAATAAATAAATAAATAAATAAAATGTTCTATAACAAAATTCAACAAAATATAAATTCTGGTCCTTTGGTCCACCTTTGTAAAATAATTCCTCCCTAATCAGTTAGCTTTTATTTATTTTTATTTATCTATTTTTTTATTATTAAATGTTTGGTTAAGGGACGCATGGCTAATTCTATGGCGTTAGCTATAACGCCCCTGAGGACCTTGTACATCTAGGCCGTACCACCATTAACTGGCGGTTTGAGCCGTTAACTCCTGGGAATCCCATATGCCCTACCGCCGTTAACTGGCGGTTTGAGCCGTTAACTCCTATATGCCCTACCACCG